ATATTACATTATAATTATATGCGTTGCGACCCATTTGTGTCCATTTCTAGGTGCCAAAGAATAGCGATTTAGCTCCTTTAAACGAAAATTTATATTCAGTATTCAGAAGGGAAAATGGGAATTGATACTTGCAATAGGTTGTGCTTGAAACTTCAAAATGTGATTAAAGGAGAAAATTGTCATGGGTGGCGGCTTCTTAAACAGAAATTTATATTCAGTATTCAGAAGGGGAAAAATGGGGATTGACACTTGCAATATATATGCAATGTATTCATTTGAAATTAATGTGGATATTACCTATAAAACTTCTTTTGCTCAAGAATTTATGAATATAAATTCACTTTTTAAAGAAAAAATGCATCAAACGCATTAAAAAAAATAACATTGAAATTTTGCTCTATGACTTTAGTTCATGTCACTTTGATACTAGATCACTACTTTGAACAAGTGGTGTAAAAAGATATAAAAAGTTGCTTTCCTATGTGACAAATTAAACGATATTTTTACAGTCAAAGGTTGAGTTTAGTCTTTACAATAGTTTTTGAATATTTATGGGCAGGAAATCTGGCCTATTTTAGGTGGAAATGAGTTGAAAACTAGTTTAAATTTGAGCTGGTTATCTTTGTGCTTTGGTCCTGGGAAAACTTTTCTATCTATACCTCACTGTATCTGTCATTGAACTTTGACCTTTTAAACCTTTAAATTTTAATTTTCAAAAGCTCTAAGGCTACTCGTATGCATAAACATGAAATATCTGCTTTTTTTGCTTTTTTTCAAGAAAAAAAAAAGTTATAAAAAAGAACGATGCATGCAATTATTAATTTTGATCAAATGTCCAAATAATCTTTAAAACATTGTTCATCGATATAAAAAAAATTGCAACAAAATAACATTACATATTGATAATAAAATTTTTATCAAGCAGCTTTTGGTAAACTTTATTACTCCAAATAAATTATTTGTTTGAAAATAAAATTTATGTTTGTCATCTTGAAAACTAGTCTCAAATTACTGGTGTCCTCTTAATGCAGACATTTTTACAACGAAATAACTTTATTAATGACATTTATATCTTCTCTTATTTCACTTTATTTTCAAATTACTGGTATCCACAAAAAAAAAATAAGGGAAAATATGTTATCTGGTGATAAGAGAGTGAAAAATATGAATATATGCTGATGGTTTTTGGTGGTGTGACTCTATTTTAGTACTGTTAATAAGTTGATAGATTTGGAGTGTTTTGAGGATATTAGGTTATATTTAGAGCAGAGTCCTGCTTATATTTTTGGCGAGATAACACCATAAATATACAATAAATATATCTTTCTTGGCCTCTGCCCAAATTCCAAAGGTGCTTAAATTTTATCTGATACAAATAAATTACTTTAGATACTGACAAATTTACATAAAATTTTCCAGAGATTTAGGGTCTTTTTCATAGGTATATTTCACTCATCTCAGGTTAGCATGATTACACAATAACCTGATCTACATTATCAAGTGGCAATTTTTATGAAATGATGACAAAAATATCTATTACAAATCTTTTCTTGTCTGGCTTTATTTATTGGTTTAATTTTATAGAATAAAGTGGTATATAGACATTTAAATTGTTTTGGAAAGACAAGTGTTGTTTTAGTCTATAGTGTGTGCACTAGTTCCATTCTCTGTGTATTCCCTCACACGTGTAACCATAGGAATACAAATTACCACATGTTAGTCTCAAAATGACCCTTGATGGTCACTACATTCTATTCCATTCTATTCTCCATGTAGTTGTGCAATTTATGGAAAAATGAAATGAGAGAGAGAAATGGGGTTTAACATCCACTTGACACAAACTAGGTCATTTTAGGACTAATATATGGAGGGAACCTGAGGACCCGGAGAAAACCCACAAGGTTGGACAGGCGACCCTACTCCTTGGCACGCGCTAACCATACGGCCATCTAACCCCCATGAAATGAAATGGGGGTTTAATGTCCCGAAAACGCCATGCAGTGTGGTATGAGGGCAATTTTGCCTCGACAGCAGCGCTACGGTCTACTCTTATATCGAATTCCAAAGAGATCTTTTACATGCATGCCAATGAGTACAGGGGACCATGGTTTTTTGTTGCATCCAAACGACTATACGTTGTCCCCTGTCAGTACCTCAGTCCTGTGTAACTGATAAGGAGGAACCACCCCTGAAAATCCCGATAAACTTTCCTGGCACACAGGAATCGAACACAGTGGCTCCCCTGGAAAAAGGACTTAATTTTATCTACTCCAAAATAAAAGAGTAGAATTTTTAGAAACTTATTTATTACAAAACTAGAAAAAAATGTTTATACATGTATGGGACAACAATCACTGGTTTATTATGTGTAAGCACAACATTTCAACATAGAACTAGAATAGCATTCTAAGTCTTTGGTTTCAATAAGTATTCAAATATTTATAATATAAAAGAACCTTAGTACCAATGTTTGGTTAAATTCAGTTCCAAATTCAAAAGTTTATGTAACCCCAAATTAGTATGATAGAGAAATACTCTTAAAGATAATCTGAAAACTGAAGAAGAACTCTCAAGTCTGTGCTGTAATTAGGGTTTAATTTTTTTTTTAAATAAAGTATTTTAACTTTTCTAAGTATTTATTCTGATTTCAAGTTACAACAAGAACTATGAGTATGTATTCTATTCGATATAATAATGCAATGTTATGAATATCACCTTGGTAATGTCAAAATACCAATGAAACTGTTGAATATGTAATATTAGGGTTACAACTCATAGTTCACAGAATTTCTTACAAAAGATTTTTTTTTAGAGAATAAATTAATGCTTCATTATTTGGCTTGTTGCCATTTGGTTGAGTCACACAATTATGTATAAATATCCTTTATTAACAAATACTTATGTTATTTATCTAAAAATTGTTTTTTAAAAAGCAGTGGGGTAGTGTACTGTACAGAAGAATAATTTATAATAGATATAATACAAGCCTTATAAACATAGCTTGTAGGTAATAATATGTAACCATTAGCAATTCTAACAATTAAACAACTTTAGTTATTATACCAATAACTTGCTGTAAAGAACATTTAATGACTAATTGTTGTGAACCTTTATTTATGATTTTCAAAAGCATGTTTACTTAATAAAATAAATTCTCCTATCGAATTTAAACTGAATAGCTTCATTACTTAATAATTTGTAGTAAAGTCAGTTCTGCATATCAAATATAGTATATTATGTGAATAGAGCTGCATTATGTACTTTGTGCTTGAAATACTGAATTTCTGATTTATAAGTAGAATTACAAACAAGTTTTGGCTTGCAATGTTACATTCAGTATTGTATTCAAACCATGATTTTTTTTTTTATAAACTTTGTATAAAAAGGGTATGTAAACACATGTATGTAATGATAAGAGAACTGAGGTTGTTTCTTGCCTGTATGATATTCATATTTTCTTCAGTCTGATGTGTGGGCATTGGGTGGCCGAATGGTTAGCGCATGCGCATGAAATCATAAGGTCTGTCATTGAATCAAGTGGCATGGTTTCGATTCCTCGCTTCTACTTGACAAGGAGTAACGCTGCCTGTCCAACCTCGTGGGTTTCCTCCAGGTCCAACGGTTTCCTCCCACTTCCCACTGCTAAAGACACCTGCATGCAAGCAGTTATTGAAATAAAATTTTACCCATTTGTTAGTCCTGAAATGGCCTAGTTTGTGTCGAGTGGACGTTAAACTGCATTTCTCTCTCTCTCTCATCTGCATGGTTGCCGTTCATAGTGAATTGAAGGAAGTACCAACTGCATTTAAAGCTACATTGTCCCGAAAGTATTTATCGGCTGGATATATCCAATAAAAGTATGACAAATTTGGTAAATATGGAAAGTATAGACATGGCCTCTTAACATCAGTTTATTTAGAGCTTGAGGAATCTCCCCACAAACACAATTTAAGCTACTTCAGAAAAAAAGTTCAGGGCACAGGTTTCCCCGACCTATTTCACAACTCCGGCGCTCAATATCCAGTTTGTGTAAAATTTAATACCATGAAGGCAATTTCCCTTTAGTGTAATAACTCCATCCCCGTCATTATTTTATATAAGCTTATTATATAACCCATTTAAATTTATTCTTTACATTTTAAGACATTTATTGCCAAAAAGTGAATCCAATTTGGGTTGTGAGACAGGGCATTCCACATTTATGATGAAAAATGTAAACCTTGCCACAAGATCATTTGTAGGTCAAAGACCTTTTAATATTCCATCATATTTGTTTTCTTTGGTTTATTTTACTTGCATAACCTGAGTGTCATGTTTTATTCTTCAGTATACATAAACACCAAATCTTTTTATACTGGAAATTAACTGGGGTTTTATTAGGCGACTTTCAACAGCTACAAAATATTTTATATTTAGGTGGTTAACTTATAAAATAGGATTTTAAAAAGTTGTTGTTACATGATATGCACCTTAGAGGATAAGCCAACCCCAATAAGTATAGACCTAGAAAATCATCCTATGACAGCAACTCGATTTTTGTATGGCTCTTGTATTTAGTTCCTCTAATTATGTGTCTTCCAGTAATCTATCTTCACAGATACTTTTGTTAACAAATTAGGTAATATGCATCTTAAGAGGAAGAGAAAACTGTGATGAAACACAGGATTCAGCTTGTTTGAGCCTGCACAATTATCTTGTGATTTGCAACCAGACATTTATTTTTTGACTTTTATATCTTGTTAGGTGATAAATTAAGCAATATGCACCTTGGAGGAAGAGAAAACTGTGATGAAATACAGGATTCAACTTGTTTTGACTTACACAATCATCTTGTGATTGGCAACCTGACAATTTTTTTATGGCTTTTTTTATCTTGTTCCTCTAATTAAGTGTTTTCAGTAATCTATCTTCATGGATGATTTTGTTAAGAAATTATAAATGGGTGACATCAATTCATTATATCCTACATGTACTTATATGTTTGCTGTTAATTTTTACAGGTTATAAATCAAGTGCCAAACCATTATCTAGTCCCTCCTTTACCAAAGTTTCCTCATCTAAACTACCAGGATTAAAATCACTCGGCTCATCTAAAACACTTTTACCAGATTATACCAAATATTTAAAAAGGTAATTTATACAAACATTTCTAGCTTTATTACTCGACAGGGTCGTTAAGAATGATTTAAAAGTTGTGTTGCAATTAGATTAAAATATCTTATCCTCAAAGTATTTAATACATCCGCAATTTTATATATTGAGGATTTACCTTGAGTCCTTGACCAATCCAGTTTCAAATTTTTATCAAGATCATGAAAATAAATTCTATTATTTGACAACTTAATTAACTTGATAAGTTAATACATTAATAAAATTCTGACAGTTTCAATCCATCTGTTGGAATCACCTGAAAGAAAACAAATCAAAACATTCATTTTGGAGGAAATTAAATGGCAGTCATTTTGTCAATAATAATAGCATGGACATGTTTAAAAAGTTTGTAAATATTCTGGGAGAATCTTTGCACAAATTTCTAGCCCATTAATAACCTGTTTGAGTAGGGTGTATTGATTTGAAATTGATGTTGGTATATTTTGAATGTTTTTTTTTATATAAATATAGATTCAGTAATGGAACTCAATGTGGTGGAAGTCATTGTAAAGAACTTGGTTATAGAGAACATTATCATTGTCTCGACTGTTGTAAAGTAAGTTACACTTATTATCTCCCTTTGGTTCATTATTTTAAAAAATGGGCAATGAATGTTTGATGATATATAAGTATTTTTGGGCATGGTAAAATAATCAGACATACCATACAGTAAGACTTCACCTTTATAAGGTTTGTTTCAATTTAATGGTTGCTAAACCTCTTTGATGGGTGCATTATGTAAGATTTAAATAAAGAGCTGGCTGGACGTTCTTGCTATAATAGTTCAAAAATAGATAATGAATATATTGAAAATTTCATTCAAATTACTTTATTCTGAGCAAAGTTATGACTATTTGAAGATAATAGCTTAGATCATTCATTATCATAGCAACGGTACTTAAAAACTGACACTTAGCCTTGATCGTCCATTTTAATTTTAGAATTTTAAATCCTGCAGATGTTTAAATCCATTTTAAATCTCAGCCATGCGATGGTCTAGAGAGTTGATTATAGGCTTATGTTAAACATGCATTATGCAAGAGCTTAATCTGCCTATTGCAGGTCTTTTGTTAGGCCTTTTGTTATCTAAAGTATTAATTAAACATTAATTAACTTATCCAGACCATAATCAACTCTCGATATAGCCTCCGATATTTAGTGGATTTGAATACATTTTGTCAAGGATAATTTAAGGTAAAAATGGATAATCTAGACTTATTATTGCACCAAAGTTAGTAATGACATTGGAGACAAGCCAAAAATTGAATCACTAATATCTCAGTTCAAAGTGGAGCAATTTAACTGAAATTCTCAGCATATTCTGTTTTCATTATCTATTTTTTAACTAGAATAGCAAGAACTGTCAGCTCTTTATCTAATCTTACCTAATGCCCTTTAATAAATGTCTAAATAATAATTTATATAACAATTGAATCAAAAAGAAAGACCTGCAATACGCAGATTAAGCTGTTGCATAATGCATCTTTAAATTGAATCGAATTGAATCTTTAAAGAGATCTAGCAACAACATGACTCCCAACAAACACCATAGGGATCTCTCTAGAACATGTATAGTCGCAGAACCCCAACTGTTTATCTTGAATTCTGATTTTACTATTGGAATGTTCCAAGTCATCTTTTGAATTTTGGGCTTATTTTGCAGACATTTTCAGATTTCAAGAAATTGTGCCCCTTTTAAATCTATTTTCTTGTCCTCCTGATTTATATTTGAATACGAGATAATGTCGTTAATTTGATATTATAAACTACAGGATCAACTGATCAAACTCAAATATTTTAATCCACAAATTGACATTGAATAACGGATGCAAAAAAAAAAATCTGTTCGTTTAGCCTTGACAAACTATTTGAATATTACTGTGTGAGTACTACTAACATCCACAAAATATCATGGTGGTTTGATCTGTTGAAAAAATCTCCTGACAGTTTGACTAGCTTTGGATGATATTTTGTTTTTTTAGACAATATTTTATCATTTGTGCATGATTGATTAGTTAGAAATAAGGTCCTAGCAATGAAAATAACAATAACATGTAGCATGCAATTCATAGTAATCTGCTTTAAGTGCTTTTTAGCTGAAGTTGAGTGCTTAGTATTTAGTCGCAAGCTTATAGAAAGCAATTAAATAATTTGATTTTACATCATCAGGTTTATGTTAAAAAGGAAGAAATGGTTCGACATTTTAAATGGCATAAAAAACGGGAAGAGTCTCTCCAACATGGGTTTATGCGTTATAGTCCTATGGATAACTGTCAGTCTAAATTTGGTATTTGTACTCATAATGGTCGACAAACTCATTACCACTGTCTTCAGGTTCGTTTGACCTTTGTATTGTGTTATGACGAGATTCTATTGTAATGATATGGTGTATTTAAGTTATTGGAGAAGTGGTTGATATTATTGTCTTCATCTCTAACTGACCATCCATACTTTCTTGACACAGGTAATGGTGATCCCATTTATATGGAGGGTTTTCACAAAAGTGGTTCGAGACGAAATATTATATTTCTTACTCATCAATACAGAATTCACCTCCTCGTAAATTTTCCCTAATTTTTTCGCAATAAGGGTAAAAGATGATCCTTGTCAACATAATATTTGTTGTATGAGTTTACTTCAAAACTTCTGGCCCCTGCCCCAAAATTCTTAGAAACACTCTAAAAGAGAAGGACAAATCAAGTTTAAGAAACTTATTTCGACACACTCCATAAAACTTCTGGTTGGCATTTTGATATGGGAAATCATCAGGCGAGAGTTAATTTAAGGTGCAGTGTTGATAAACAGGTTATTATGTATTTATTTTACTAATTTTAACATACTTATATTTTGTTTTATTTATAGAATGGCTGTGATAAGGTATATATTAGTACTTCGGATGTTCAGATGCATGCTAACTATCATCGTAAAGATTCAGCCATTATTCTGGAAGGTTTCCAACGATTCCGTGCAACCGAAGATTGTGGTACTCCATCTTGTCAGTTTTATGGACAACGAACAACACATTTTCACTGTCGACGTGCAACATGTAACTTTACCTTTAAAAACAAAGCTGACATGGGTAAGTTTTAGTCCCCACCTTTCAGAAAAATCAATTTTATCGCACAATTTTACACATAATGTCCTTTTACTTGATCTGAAATTTTGCATTTCTTCTTATTGATTAATATTGATTTTTTCAAAAGATAGTAAATAAACATTGTAAATTTTACCTGCACTACTTATAATCAGCAATTGAAATTTCTGATTAATCTAGTGTGCCTGTGTCACGCCCACCCCCCACCCCCCCACACACTTCCCTGGACAATAATTTGCCCTCTTGTCTTTGAATTTGCAAAGAGAGGTTGATTTGTCCCTCTGGTATAATTTCCTATCTGTTTAATTGAATTATTTTTATTGACTTATTCAGAGAAACACAAGACATACCATCAGAAGGATGAAATATTATCTAAAGATGGATTTAAAAAATTTATGAAATATGAGAGTTGTATGTTTAAAAATTGTAAATATACAAAGATCAGCAACCATATACACTGTATTAGACCAGGTAAGTTGATATTAGAAATAGGGAGATTGGGTGGCGGAGTAGTCCATATCATAATTCCGTCAATGATTCAGGTGCCATGGTTTTGATTTCACACTTTTATGTGATAAGGAATATGGTCACCTGCCTAACCTCATGGGTTTTTCTCTGGCTTCCCTGGTTTCTTCTTACTGCTAAATACACCTGCTCGCAAGTCAATTATTGAAATACCATGTGTTAGTCCCAAAATAACCTGGTAGGTCAATCCACATTTCTGTCTTATGCGGTCTTATAAATGTTACGTGATATCATATGTTCAATTTAAATGAATTATTTATTTTGTCCGATTTTAGTATTATTTTGTTTCCATTTTTTGATCCAAGGGGAGATAAGAAAATTGGAGTTATCTCCCTTGATCAAATTAAAATTGTCTATAAAGTTATGGTTGGAATGAATTCTATTTTCAGGTTGTGATTATGTCCTACATTCCACTGCTCAACTTTATTCACACAAACGAAAGCATGAAAGGCGAGAGTTTGAAAGTGCTTATCAAAGTTTTCGCACCACTCAGCGTAATGGTCCTGTAATAAAACAGTCACTCAGTCAAGGTCAGACAGGTCAACTTGTGACCACTAGACCTGTCACTGTTAGCAGTACTGCTCCACGATCTGTTGTACAGACTGTGACCACAATGTCCCTACCTGTTACAATTAGTCCTTTACAACCCATTTTCCAACAGTCATCCACCGAGGAAGGAGATTCACCATCAAGGGAGACAACTGAAGAAGAAGATAATGAAGAGGAGGAGGAGACAGAAGAGAAGTCTGTTTTGAAGAATTATTCTGATGAACTGACTGGTGAAAAATTAAACGATTCCCTTACTTTACCCATTCCAAAACTTGAAGTTAAATCAGACCTAACACACAAGAATAGTTTGAAGACATTGACACCCACTCCACAGAAAGATAGTCTCACTTTTTCACCAGATGTTGGTCGTCCATTAATAGATCGCAGAGATAAAGATGATTCCTGGAAAAATTATCTTATAAGGTACAAACTATAATTTTATCTTGTAATTTAACAATGCTTTCTAAAGTCTGTGGAGGGGGTGGCGAATGGTTAGCACGTGCATGCTGTCAATGAGTCAACTGGCCTGGTTTTGATTCCCCAGTTGTATGTGACAAGAAAGAGGGTCGCCTGTCCATCCTTGTGGGGTTTCTCCGGGTCTTCGATAACCTCTCGATGCTAAAGACCCCTGTGTGCAAGCAAAATATTGAAATAAAATTAAACCATACGTTAGTCCCAAAATGATACAGTTTGTGTCGAGTGGAGTGGACGTTAAAACCCATTTCTCTCGCTCTCTCTCTGAAACATTGTTTTGACAAGACAATAACTTGTAACCAGTTATGATGTGTTGTATATTAAATCACCATGTTTATTATATATTACAGATATACAGCTAATGATCCATGTAATTCTCGATGTGTTTTACTCTATAAAGATCATTATCACTGTCATGTTGAGGGATGTAATCATTTATTCCGTGGTAAAGATGGAGTCAGAGAACATTCAAAGTGAGTCTGATTGTCTGATTGAAAGAATTAAATTCCAGAGTGATTAATCAGGTTCTTCATACAGACTTCCCAATCACAATGAGTTGAAAGAGATCCTGGGTTCGATCACTTTTTGGCCAAGAAAGATCATCAGCATTTTCCCGGGCTGATTTCTCCCTGCAGTGGTGCAGGATGAGGAACAGGAAAAGCTGTTTAGTGGTCATATAAGACCAAGTTGCTGCTTATTCCATTAGCAGAACATGAACGACTGACACCTGGATATCAAAATAGGAGCTTAATGTAGCACTGCTGTCCAGGCAAAATTTCCCTCCCTTCTTTTGCTGATGAGTGGAAAAAAATAGGATGTTAAACACCATTTTGCTTGATAATAGGATCATTATCCATATTTTAGACAAATATTTGACTTCGAACAAGATTTTTAAGATCATCAGGCCCTATCTCATGTCAGTTTATTTTAAAATATTGGTTATATTTTTCAGATTTCACGAACAACAAGATCGTATTAGTCCACTGGTTTATGAATCATTTGATACTGATGAAGATTGTTCACGTACTGAGTGTCAGTTTAACGGCAATAAAAAACATCATCATTGTAATTGGGTAAATATATTTAGTATTTATTATTGGTTGTTTATGAACCAATCAAAATTGAGAACACAACCTGACCGTTACTTGGCATCCATTTCAAAATATTTGTCTGGTAGTCTATTTTTTTAAGAAATTCATTAGTTGTGTAATCTTTTAAAATATAATATTTTATGGCATATTAATGACTGACAGGTAGATTTATTAGCCAGTCAATTTCACTGACAGGTGGTAAAGACTTGTAAATATAATCAAAACAAAGCAAAAGTAAATTTTAAAAAGCATGGAAGTCGCTAATTGGTTAATCGAATGACTGACGTTATTGGGTCAAATGTCGCTTGCTTGGTACCTGATGTCATAGAATGTGAACTCCCACTATGACTTGTTAGATGTACATGTAGTGTAGGCCATCAAAAGTATAAAAACGAAACGAAATATAGATCTATATCTGAATTAGATTGCATAGATCTATATAAATTTACAGAGTTACAGAAAAAAATTGATTTTTTTCGCACATGAATTAATATAAGCCTAAAATAAATTGAGAAAATATAATAATTTTTGCTGTTTTTTTTATTTTTCAGTCTGGGTGTAACCATGTTATAGATGGGGAAAGTAATATGTTTGCTAGATTAGAACATTATAGAATCCACGAATATGCCAAGGTTTCAGCTGGTCGATCCTCACGCTCGTCAGGACTCGGTTCTCTTGATAAATTTGATGATGATCCATCCAAACGTAGACGAGGCAGACCACCAAAGTATCCACGTTCCATAATTCCTAGTGTGCCAAAGGTCAACCTCTCTGATGATGAAATAACAGATTCCGTACAACGATATCTTCATGGGGAAGTTGACGAAAGCAGTAAGGTATTTAACGGATTTCAGAAATTTGAAGAGAACGAAACTTGTCCCGATGATTTGTGTCTGTATGCTGGAAAAGATCATTATCATTGTGCCCGTAATCGTTGTTACCATGCCACGGACAGATTGGATGTTTTAAATCTCCATGCTAAAGATTTTCACAGCTTTGTCACTATTTTGGATGGATATGAATTCTTTGATCGAAATGTCAACTGTCGTAGAAATCATTGTCATAACAACAAAGCGAATCGTCATTTCCATTGTACGCGACCCGGCTGTGATTACTCGTTCGTCCGTCACAGTACAATGACTCAACATGAAAAGAAACACAACCAAGCTCACACAACGGATAGCGATAAAATTTCCCCACCACTCAAGAAAACAACGAACTTTGTCCCAATCGTTCCTGCAACTCCTGCATCCATCGAATTAAGAAATAAAAATATTGTAAAATCTGCTGGTACTTTTTATCCCTTGTCGGGTCTTAACAACACTACCTTTGTATCCGTATCGCTACCCAACATGATATCTGTTGGACAACCAAACTTTGTGACGTCAACTCTTCTCTCTCCATCATCAAGTGCTGCTACTCTTTTCCCGATACAAGGATTAAGCCTTGTTCCTCAATTGATTGTTCCAACTTCACCAACCATGCAAACTCTTGTACCCATAACAGTGCCATCTACCGAGACCAACTCCAGTACTCTACCTGTTCTTTTACAGCAGCAGCAAGTAGAAGGAAACTCAGAAAACCCAGAATCCTCTTGGTCAAATCTCAGAAATACCATGCACTTTTCTAACAACCAGAACTGTTGTCGGCCATTTTGTAAATTGAAGAAGAAAGACCATTACCACTGTATTGAATGTAACCAGGCCTTCTCAGATCCTCTTCGACTTCGCACTCATATACAGAAACATGGCATCAAATTAAAACGAGGACCATCATCCACCAAAACTGATGGAGGTCTTGACCTGTCATCACCAGCCAAGCGGATCAGATGTTCAGAGACTGTTACAGAGCATGGCAACGGGCGCCAAGATGAAGCAGATTTGACCTCATCATCCTTGAACCTTGACCCTGCTGTGTTTTCTAGTATGTGGAGATCAGAGGAAATGTGTAATGAGAATAAGATCAAGTTGAAAAGAGAACCAGATGATAGTCTGACAAGTAACGACAGCGAGGTGTCCGATCATTCTAATGCTGACGACACTGACGGTTCTCCTTCTGATTTATCTAAATGGTCAGGACGAAAGAGGACAGCAACAAAACATGAAGATTTTATAGACAGTGATATCGTTGCTCCTAAAGTTCCGAAAATGTCGAGTCCAAGAATAAAACAGGAATTTGATAATATGCAAGAAGGATATTCGAGATATCGTTTCAATGAAGATTGTGAATATATGAAATGTGCATATAAACATAGTTCTACTCACTATCACTGTTTACGATCAGACTGTGGTTACGGTTTCAGTGACAGATCACGACTTATTCAACACACAATGAGACACGAAAGGATCGATAAAATTATGGGAGACGAATTCAGACAGTTCCGAGCTTCAGTTCATTGTACAAAAAACAATTGTGAATTTTCCGCTAAATCGTCACATTTTCACTGTCTCAAATGTCCCTTTTCTTGTGCCGATTCAAGCAAAGTTTCTGCTCATAGGAAACATCATCTAAAACTTGACAATATCAGTTCAAAAGGCTTCGTTAAGTATATTGGTAGTCAAGACTGTGAAGTTCCTTTTTGTGCTCATTCTAAAAAGCAAACCCACTATCACTGTACATTCCAAAATTGTAATCATGCTGTCTTAGGACCAGCACAAATGGCTCCCCACAAACTGAAACATTCCGTAAAGATAAAAGAGGAAAAACATTCATAACAATTTGTACATTCAAATTATTTTAAATTTAATACTTGTTGATTTTATTTATGGATTGTTTCATTCATGTTAGAAACAAAAAAATATTGTTTGTTTTTGAAAATTAATTTATTAATTGAATTAAAGGGATATCTTGCTGAAGAAAAAACAGACCGTTAATTTAAAATACAAAATGTTAGCGGTATGAATTTCCCCAAGAAAAAATGAAGCAGATTTGATTGTTCTAGAAAGGGTATCCATACCCTATCTCATGCACAACACCTAGCACTAGTTTGGCTAAATCGGCGATAGATTGGAATATTTAGAGAGAATTGACCATCGCCAGTTGAGACATTTCTTACCTTTCATGATAAGGTATATCTCAGTCTTTTTGCACGATGTTGATTAAATATCAAGATGGACATTTATTCATTTTCTCATCAACATTGCCCTTTATACATTAAAATGCTTTGTATTGAAACTGCTGTTAATTAGAATTATTTATGATAATTTAATCACCATTTAATGATGTATTAATAAGTAATTTACAAATCTCCTAGTATGTGAAATAGTATTATTATGCAATAAATTTGATAGTATATTTTTTACAAGTGAAAATTACATCACCTTAGTCCATGTAATAGAAATTATCTCCCTTTGTTAGTAATAAAAGTATAATTTTGTTATTAAGTCATCAATGTGTAAATATATTTTATAGTGATCACTTTAAAAATGCCCATTCCCACAGTATTCCATTCCCTGTTATCATTAAGGTTGTTAATTATTATTTATCTGTTTCTTTAATTATTATTTATACATTTCTAGCCTTTCAAAATTTTGATTTATATTTTAAATTTCAAAATCTTGAGCTGATTTGTCATTCCAGTCATGATAACATATACCAATACCTTAAATGTATATAAATAAATTTTATTTTTAAAAGTATAAAAAAATTATAGTAAAGAAGATTAAATATGTAAATTGTAAAGTAGCAAGAGATGTTAACACATGTTCTAGAATGAGTAGACATACTCTGCCTTGTACACAGCACACACCAGTATGCTCCAACGGCTATATGACGTCATCTTGAAAAACAAATATTCCTGCCACTGCACAATCTATGCAAATTCCCCTCCATTTTCTATAACTGAGCACATACAATCTATGTTAAATACAATACAATGGATTGTAGCCTATGTTCATATACATCTCCACAATGTCAAGGTACTGCAAGATATGTCTGATTGACTGTATTAGCCAAAACGTACCAAACACTGAGTTCAAAAATATTTTGGCAAGATCCAAGAAAAATCAAAAATTGTTCATGGTTTGTGACAAAACATGTGCCTTGGTCGGTACAGTTAATAAGCTTTACAGCTTCATAACCTGCAGGGGGTACAGTAGAGCCAGCTAATTTTGTCAAGGTATCAGACATGTTGTTTTTTCCTTGACATTATGAAGATAGTCCATCCATATACTGCTGATTTATTCTATAAAGACACAAGTTATATAGTTTATATATTGTTATCATTATACCTATATATTATCCAGTATTTATTACATTTCTTTATTCGTTATATAACCATCATAGATGTAGACTGCTGAAATAGTTACTTTTTTATTCTCTTATGCAATTCCATCCCGACCATAGAAAATACCAGTAGACCTAAGGCCCATCGGCTATTATAGTTGAACTCAAGTGGTTATAAATTTATCTGTTAAATGTTTATATTACCGTGATATTTTAGAATTTTTTAAACACTTGACATTCAGTGTTTATTATGAATTCTTCAAAACTTTATACTGTAATTTGACCTGCAATATTTCATTGGAGTTCTAATTAAAGCCCCTCATTGTCATTTGCATTATTCAGACAATATTTAATTTTTTACAGATTAATCCACACTAGAATCTGTTCAAATGGATTATTTAGAATTTTATTAAGAAAGCACATTAAAATGAGACGATCAAAAGATTTTAGCAAAAATTATAGATAGTGCTGATCTTATTTGACCATGTCCTGTTTATGTAATCTAAACAGGATGTCAAATGTTGACAAATTATATCCATCATACTGAACATTTTTAGGTGGAGACATTTTTAAGAAATTCAACTTTCACAATATTGTAGTTTGTAAAGGATTTAAAATCCATTAATCCGGTTTCCTCCCCTTGCTAAAGACCCCTACGCGCAAGCAAATTATGTAAATAAAGTTAATCCATATGTTAGTCCCGAAATGACCTAGTTTGTGTCGAGTGGACGTTAAACCCCATTTCTCTCTCTCTCTCTTAAAATCCATTAAATGATGATCAGAGATTTCAAGCTAAAGTAAGAGTGGTGATTACCGGTATTGTTCTTAAGACTAAGAGTCACAGAATATGTAGATAGTAGAAATGTGTAGAAAGTCATTATGCAATTATATACCGATTATACAAATACCCTCTTCTTTTCCATATATTGTGTTTGAAATTGATTTGAGTTTCTAATGTTGAGTTATTAAATTTAGGAAAATTATTGATAAGCTTTTTATTTTTGTTATTTATATATTTTGCTTGATATAATTATCACAAATTACTGCTGATGACTGTTTTATATTTGAGAATGATTTACAATTTAGTTGCCTTGATTTATACATGTAGTATTGGATAGCTGTTTAAATAGGTCTCAGACCTCTCCTTAATTCGCACCCTGTTGATATGTTACCGAGAGGGTTCAACTTATTAGTCCTGATTTATTATTAATTATTTATTACTGGTCACATTAAACTATATCATTTAGAGTTACTTGTTAATAAAAGAAATATACCTTCATGTAAATTGATTGTTTTTGTTATTGAGATGGGAATGCATGGATATATAAAATACTTGTACTCTTAATTGCATTGTAAGATACATGATCTGGAAATAATGATGCCACATGGAGCCGCTGCTTTATTAAAATTCTCCCATATTGAATTTATTAAAAGCAAATTGCTAAGATTTGTAGTAATTGCAGACACATAAAAATCTTTTAACATATAAAACTCTATGCTTACTTAGAGTTCCTAGGAGCCTGGTTTCCAAATTCCTTCTAGCAAGATGGCTGACCAGTACCTGTCTTTAATCAAATTATAAATAACCTTTGACAGAAGTTACATGTATGTAATGTCAGCATTGTACTTGGTTACTGAGAATGATTCGATACTGCAGAGGTGCTCTAGAGGCGATTTATGATCACAAGGCCTACAGGACTTAATTTTCATCACTTATACATAATGCAAGAGCTAAATCTGCCTATTATCAACTATACACTAAGTTTCATCACTCTCTATCAGATAGAATCAAAGTTATCTTGCCCCAAAGCATCGACCAATTAATTTGCTTAGCTTTAGCCCGAAATGTTAATCATTGAACTCAGTCAAGAAATTCACCTAATGAACATCTACATCAAGTTTAAACATTCTACCTCAATTAACACTAAGTTTCATCACTCTCTATCAGATAGAATCAAAGTTATCTTGCCCCAAAGCATCGACCAATGAATGTGCTTAGCTTTAGCCCGAAATGTTAATCATTGAACTCAGTCAAGAAATTCACCTAATGAACATCTACATCAAGTTTAAACATTCTACCTCAATTAACAGCAGAGTTGTTGTGTTCCAAAGTCTTGACCAATCAAATTGCTTATCGCTCCTTAGTCTAAGCAGAAAATTCTCATCACCGAAGGTAGTCAAGGTAATGATATAATGAATCTATACTCTGCGTTTCATCACTCTCATTTAATTAAAACTAAACTTATCGTGCCCCAAAGCATCAACCAATCAGATTGCTTATCTCTGCTTACCGTAAGCAGACAATGTTCATCATCGAACTCCATCAAGGCATTCACCTAATGAACGCCTACACCAAGTTTGAACATTCTAGCTCAATTAGAAGGAGAGTTATTGTGTTCCAAAGTCTGGACTAATCAAATTGCTTGTCGCTCTGCTTACCCTCAGCAGAAAATGTTCATCATCGAACTTTGTCAAGGTATTGGTGTAATAAAACTATATACCAAGTGTCCTAAAGTTATCCTCTCCCAAAACATCAACCAGTCAAATTGCTTATCTCTGCTTACCCTAAGCAGAAAATTCTCATCTTCGAATTCCATCAAGACTTTCACCTAATAGACACCTACGCCCCCCAAGTGTGAACATTCTAACTCAATTAGAGTGAGAGTAAGAGTGTTTAAAAGTCTCGACCAATCAAATTGCTTATCGCTCTGCTTACCCTGAGCAGAAAATGCTCATTATCGAACTTAGTCAAAGAATTGATCGATGTAATGAAACTATACACCAAGTTTCACCACTCTCACTTAATTAGAACTAAAGTTATCGTGTCCCAAAGCATCAACCAATCAAATTGCTTATCTGAGCTTACCCTAAGCAGAAAATGCTCATCCCCGAACTCCGTCAAGGCATTGACCTAATAAACACCTACACCAAGTCTGAACATTCTAGCTCAATTAGTCTCGGTCAATCAAATTGCTTATCGCTCTGCTTACTCTGAGCAGAAAATGCTCATTAACCAACTTAGTCAAGGTATTGATGTAATGAAACTATACACCAGGTTTCATCACTCTCACTTAATTAGAACTAAAGTTATCGTGTTCCAAAGCATCAACCAATCAAATTGCTTATCTCTGCTTAACCTAAGCAGAAAATGCCCATCTTCGAACTTCATCAAGGCACTGACCTAATAAACACCTAGACCAATTGTAGCTCAATTACAAAGAGAGTTATTGTGTCCCAAAAAGTGTGACGGACAGACAGACGGACGGACGGACGGACGGACGGACAGACAGACAGAGAGAGAGAGAGAGACAGACAGACAGACAGACCCATTTTAATAGTCTCCTGCTTTCTTCGAAAGGCGGGGGACAAAAAGTGTGTGTGAAATAGCTTTGTTTAATGTCCGCTCCCACCAGGGTGATATATATATATCTGAGACAATATTAAATTTAGTCTACTAGTACCATTTATATAGCCCACCGAGTACTTTATTAAGCTTAATGTAGGGCATGATCTTTAATGTTTATCATTTACTATAAGATCTGCCAATTATTGATTCTTTCCTCATCAGTGATTTTTTGTACCATGCGTGCTGCTTGTTCTGTTTGAATTTCAAACTCCTCGGTTGTGAATGATTCGGGAGACCAGGGCTTTGCTGGAGATCTAGATCTTGATCTCGGGCATCCTCTACCTCCATCCCTACCTCCCCTTGTTTTTCTTAAGCACTGCCACTCCCCCTGAATGTTCCACTAACTGAACTTTCTTTGAAATCTTTCTTACATCAGCAACATTTGCATATGTCGACAATTTCTTCGCTCCTTTGCTAGGTCCTGACAAAGCGGATTTGTTTCTCAATAATTGCTTACCCCGAGCACCCCTGCCATTCAACGCTCCCCATACTCGTCGTGTCACAGCTTCCACATTTATGTCGTCATCTGATGCTTCTTCCACTGATCTTTCTACCTCTATATTCGCATCTTCCATCCATCGTTCAAGATAGATTTCCTCTTGAGCTCCTCCGATAATAACTTGAGTCAGTGCTTTAACTCCTACTAGAGGAACATATTGTCCACCTGTTAAATACGCCAGAGCAACAAAGAATCCTTATATGGTGTGACGCTTGGTTCACAGCCAACAGTATATAGAGTTATCCCCTTTTCTGCCATACTTCTCACGATTGTCATTGGGTCCAAATTATTTGGACATTCATTTGGGAAAGTATCGTTGCATTGGGTCTCCAACACAATCTCGATCAGTACATCGTGGAGAGCATCTGCTACAGCTTCTGGCCTATCACCGCCTCCCTGAGCGGAACACGCGTCTAACCATCGTTTTATGAAGTAAAATCATGAGTTCATCAGTACATCGTGGAGAGCATCTGCTACAGCTTCTGGCCTATCACCGCCTCCCTGAGCGGAACACGCGTCTAACCATCGTTTTATGAAGTAAAATCATGAGTTCAAGTAACAAAAGTTATTTCCTGGGGTGGATGATCACGATATTCTATTAAAGCTAACCGTATATCACTTTTCCCTGGAGCTATGGTTTGCTCTACAATTTTTATACGCCCACATGGAAATGTTGACGTATATTGCCTTCGCCCCTGTCCGTCCGTCGGTCCGTCGTCCACAATTTCTTGTTATCCGATTGTTTTAAAATTGATGTATGTGGTTTACATTAGTGAGATGAAGAAGCCTATTTAATTTCTGTTCATTACGTCTAGAGTTATGGGCCTTGTTTCACTTTATTGAACCTTGTGAAAGCTCTGACGCCGAAAGTTGTCATCCGATCTTTCTGAAATTTATATGCATTATCTAAATTAGTGAAACGAAGAAACCTATTGAATTTCAGCAATTTACAATGATTACTTCTAGAGTTATGGCAGTTGTTTCACTTTGTTCAACCTTGTTAATGCTCTATTGATGAAAGTTATCATCCGATATGTATGAAATTTATATGCATCATTTAAATTTGTGAAACAGAGGTCTATTGAATTTCAGCAATTTTCGCCAATAACTTCTAGAGCTATGGCCCTTGTTTTACTTTGTGAACATTTGAATGACAAAAGAGATCATCCGATCTGTATGAAATTTATATGCATAATTTAAATTAGTAAAACGAAAAAGCCTGTTAAATTTCAACAATTTCTGTAGACTACTTATAGAGTTGAGGCCCTTAGTTCAGTTTGTAGAACCTTGTGAACACTCAAACGACAAAAATTATTATCTGATCTGTATAGAACTGTCTTGTAAAGGCCCACAATTACCTACAAAGGAAAAAATATGCGACAACCCTTGTCGGCCGCTTGGACGATTTAGCTGCTGCGGGCATAGAATTCATATATCCTGATGAGCTCGAATTTAAAAACACTACTGACGGTGACAATTACACTTCCTGCTTGGATTTGCGTCTCGATTTTGACAATTGCCATAACCTTAGTGTTAAATTGTACGATAAACGTGATGACTTTGACTTTCCGATTGTTAACTTTCCATTTATTAGTTGTAGTAACATTCCAATATCACCAGCTTATGGAGTGTTTGTGTCTCAACTAATTCGTTACGCGAGAGCTTGTTCATTTTATTCTGATTTTTTAAGTAGATCGAGGCATTAGTCATCTAAGCTTCAACTACAGGGATACTTGCGAACTAAACTTATTAAAACCTTTAAAAAGTTTTATGGCCGTCATATTGACTTGATTGGTAAATATAACATGTCTCTCTCGGCTATTATTTTAGATATATTTAATTGACGCGTATACTATCCCTGATAATGTCTGTCTACTACATCGTTAACACTGTTCATCACGTGCATTTTGCATACCGATAGTCCATTGGCCAATCACGCTATTTTACCGAGATTTCGCCTAATAGTTTGGATGCAACTATGGCGGGTGTGGCGCCAGGCAGGGTAAGCTTACTCTTCCGGACACCTGTTACCACTGTTTGTCGTGTATTTTGTACACGGTGAACAGTCCATATGCTGATTACACTATTTTGCCTTATTACACTATTTTGCCAATACCGTTTTTTTAGGACTTCGAATTTTGTCTAATGGTTTGGATTGTTCGTACTTGGTTTTATTTTATTTTATGTTTAGGAAGAGTGGGTTGTTCCGTTATCCCGGCCATATTACAGCACTGTTGTTCAAAATGAATATTAATTGGTCAGCCACATATACCTTATAATATACACTGAACAACGTGAATAGTAGGATCAATATTTAGAATACAATAGCTATGAGAGTGTCTTCAAAAGGCAGTGAGGGCAACATTACACGTACCACCAGTTCTACTAATTATCCAGGCGTTGTACTTTTCGTTTCATACACGACCAAATTGTTATTGTATAATTGATAATGACCGATAGCTGGTGTTGTCAACATCTAGATTGCACAACCAACTGAAATGTGATTCGGATGACTACCATACTACACGTAGCGTTAAAGGACAATATTGGTGTCAGTCATTATCACATACGTGATAGAACTGGTTAAACCCGTTCCAAATATAATTTGAACACAGAGATCATTATTCATTGCTACGATGGATGCGTAATGAAAGTTTCAACAAACGGAAGTGACGAACGCAAAAGGAAAACACGAGTTATACTTCTATATGTACTGACTGAAGTGACGAGTGATTACAGATACACGGGCGAATTTCTGCTCACTAATAATTCTTTAAGATTAAGATTAACTTAATGAGATTTTCGCAGTAACATCGATTAAAAAAAATATCGGGCTTAAATTTTTTTACAAAATTTGACTGGGAATGAAGGTTTTTTTTGGTCCATATGCTAACGTTTAGTACACAAAACATTTAATGTCATGGATTTAGCTGTACAAGTTATCAAAAATCATTGAAAATCAATATACTTGTTCGTCTCAAGACCTTAAACTCTGTGTATCAACCTAAAGTCAATCGAAACGATTAGATATAAACGTAAACACGGTGTATGAATATAAAATCATGACGTGACGACCTTAAACACTGTGTATAAATTTAAAGTCAACCGGATATTAACTTTAGCCTCGAGAGCGCCCATAATAAGATCTTTCAAAGTGATCAAGGGTCATAACTCTGGCAGTAATTATCAATAGGCTTCTTCGTCTCATGACCTTAAACACTGTGTATAAATTTAATAGTGGACGCCGGACCGAAGGACAGACAGACGGAGGCTACGACCCACATTTTAATGTGGGCGTATTAAAAGAAATTGACTGTCACTAGATAATAGAAAATGAAAAAAAAAAAGAAAAACTCCGTGCATTACTGTGTTTTTATTAGGTATTTAGTAATTTCTATTTTTCTCGTGTTCTTTTATCTAGTGACATAAATTTAATAGTGGACGCCGGACCGACGGACCGACGGACGGAGGCTACGACCCACATTTTAATGTGGGCGTATTAAAAGAAATTGACTGTCACTAGATAATAGAAAATGAAAAAAAAAGAGAAAAACTCCGTGCATTACTGTGTTTTTATTAGGTATTAAGTAATTTCTATTTTTCTCGTGTTCTTTTATCTAGTGACATTCAATTACGTTTTTGAATTGTCAGATATCCTCTCACAGTCTCACATAACAACTTTTGGTCTTCGAAGATATTATTAGTCAGCAGAAATTCGCCTGTGTAACTGTTATCATTCTTCACTTCAGTCAGTTATATATAGGGATAACTCGTGTTTTCCTTTTGCGTTCGTCACTTCCGTTTGTTGAAAACTTAATTACGCATCTATCGTAGCAATGATCTCTGTGTTGAAATTATTTTTGGAACGTGTTTAACGAGTTCTATCACATATGTGATAATGACTGGCACCAATATTGTCCTTTAACAGTAAAACTAGCTATTTTCACAACGGTATGCAATACCAGAGCAATATCTCTTTGGGGATAATACACATAAGAAAACACGCTGTCAGCATTCTGTGTCAAGCTATATTTATAGTTACATATCTAATAGTCACGTGATCCAGTTTATTGACGGGGATTCTATTTTTAGAATATGACACATATCCTAGTTTATAAACATAGTAAATACGTATAGGTGTATATGGATCTTTTATCAGACGGACATATTTCCCTAGTATTTCATACAGCGCCCACAGCTAGGACTACAAGGTTTGGTGAAAATGGCTAATAATATGGAAAGTGAAAATATTCAGCAGCCAACCCTGGCTAAACACGATTCAAGCGTATTAGATTTAGCTTTTGCTATGGACTGTACAGGAAGCATGAGTTCTTACATTAAAACCGGTCAAGAAAATATTAGAAATATTGTTGAACAAATTGTGGCCTCTGAGAAAAGTAACATTCATTTAGCTTTAGTAGAATATCGTGACCACCCACCGGAGGACAGTACTTTCGTGACCAGAACTCATGACTTTACTTCTTCCGTTAAGACTATGAAAGGCTGGTTAGACGCGTGTTCAGCTCAAGGTGGGGGTGATACACCAGAGGCTGTAGCAGACGCTCTTCATGATGTTTTAAAGTTATCTTGGAGATCTGAAGCAACTAAAATATGTGTTTTTATTTCTGATGCCCCACCTCATGGACTTGGCGCACAATGTAGCGATAACTTTTCTGACGGGTGTCCAAATAATTTGGACCCAATGACAATCGTGAGAAGTATGGCAGAAAAGGGGATAACCCTATATACTGTTGGCTGTGAACCAAGCATCACACCATATAAAGAATTCTTTGCTGCTCTGGCGTATTTAACAGGAGGACAATATGTTCCTCTTGCAGGAGCTAAAGCACTGACCCAAGTTATCATCGGAGGAGCTCAAGAAGAAATTTCTCTTGAACGATGGATGGAGGAAGTTAACCAACAAGTCATAGCTGAGATGAACGAAAAGGGTGAAGCTAATGTTACTGAAGACGAACTTTGTTCGAGGGTACATAGCCACCTTCAGAGCAAAGGAGCTAAATCAAAGCAATTGCATCGTAACATGGGCAAGCTACAAGAAGCGAGCACATTCGCCAAGAAGGTTTCGGCTTACTCTAATATGAGTGACGTGAAATCTGCTTATGGCGAGACATTGGCAGCAGCACCTACGCCGACACCTCCCTCATCAAGGTCAAGAGGGATATTTGCCAGATCATCTGCCCCACCACCCCCACCTATGAGTATGGCCATGGCACCTAGTGCTATGGACGGTATATCAGCTAGTGAAGAATGTTACAATGTAGAGGAGGATGAAGTACAGATGGAACAAGCCAGACGAATGGTACAAAAGTCTAAAATGAGAAATAACTTTAACTTCAAATAACTTTAACTTCAAATAACTTTTATCATCTATATCACATGAATTAGTAGCAACTCTGGACTGATCACTGTTTACCGATTTATTGATTAGTTACCCTATAATTATACAGGGACTAAACTGGTTGATACTTTTTTTTTTTCTTATGTTGAAATCATAAATAGGTGTGAACAGGTACATATGTGATGAAGTTTTGTACTGTATTCTATTATAGCAAACCATGTTTTAACAAAGTGGCATTCCCAATACAATGTTATCTTGTACATTGTATTCATAATATAAGACATATTTTCGCTCTGCATTATCTCGCCATTTTATTTCATATTTTGTACTCATTTATGTTACATTCTATTTTAAATTAATATCACGTTATGAATTTATTAGGACTAAATGCGTAATATTTATTGTTGTTTACATTTTTGTATTCTTTTGTTTTACTTGGTAATAAATAATGTTTTGTATTATTTTGAACTTATTGTCTTAGTTTTTGAAATTTGAGAGAAAATAAAAGAGTAAGTGAAACGAAAACAGCGCTTTCAGAAATTTCTCCACCCCAGCTTTGTCTCATCACAATTAAACTTTGGGAGGAAACCAAAAACGTTGTGTTACAGAACTAAAGTGTATAGTCATACCAAGACACCCAACACAACAAGATTTTGTCGAAAACTTGTTTCCTGGCAGCGACAGTGCCTAGATGCCCTTTGGTTAGTGGGGACCTGCAGGCACCATTTACGCTGATATTTCTTTAGAAATTTGGTATCTTTAGGCATTTTCCAATTTGACAATCAACAAAACTTTCTTGATAGTTATCACAGCATCTGTGGCAATATTTTGCACTAGCCTCACCAATTGAAATTATGGGTTTTAAGCATGAATTGTATGCAACAAAGCCAAATGATGAAAAAAATATCCATTTATAAGCTTTGCAGGGGTTTGATACAAAGTTTTGTGCACAAATTTCATAAAGATTGGTTGTCAGGCAACAAAAAATACGCCCACAACAGCTAAGTCGTCTGGGCAGTCAACAAGGGTTATCGCATGTTTTCATTTATCAGTAATGAAAACATTTACAAAACATGAAAATCAAATTACGAGTAGCAACCGATCAAGTAATTATCAGAAATAATTAGAATTTGTTTCAAATGTTTGTCTCATGACCCTAAACATTGTGTATAAATTAATATGAATTATTTATTTTATGAAAAAGCACATGTCGTATTTCTATCCAGTTTGGTGAAACACAATACAGAACATGACAGCCCTTTTCTTTGATCTGAGGTCTTTGGACAGTTGATTAAATGTATTAAAAGATGGTGAAAATATTGTTCGTCTGCTGTGTGCTCCAAGAGATGATAACCAGCCGCTGCCAGGCAGAATACGCCCACATTTTGCAAAAGATGGATAGAGAACAAGCTAAACAACCTTGATACCAGATGTTCACACTATTTGCGTACAAGGGGCGAACTCCAGCATCATTAGGGTGTAACGGTGATATACTAAATCGGATACAATCAGGGGCCTTAATTCAGGAAGTTACCATCCGATATGCACTTATCGTAAGGAACCAAGATCTTTGGGTTATAAACATGCATTTCAAGTTTCATCAAAATCGGATCAAAATTGTGACCTCTAGAGTGTCCACAAGCTAAAAACGTGATTTTTCGTACAATCACTTGAATCAGGGTCCATAATCCATGAAGTTATGGTCCGATACATGCCAATACCGAAAGAAACTGAGATTTTTGAAAGATCAGATGATAACTTTTGACGTTAGAGCGTTCACAAGGATCAATAAAGTGAAACAAGGGCCATAACTCTAGACGTAATAAACGGGAATTGCTGAAATTCAATAGACTTCTTCGTTTCAGCAATCTAAATAATGCATATAAATTTCAGAAAGATCGGATGATAACTTTTGACGTGAGAGCGTTCACAAGGATCAATAAAGTGAAACAAGGGCCATAACTCTAGACGTAATAAACGGAAATTGCCAAAATTCAATAGGCTTCTTCGTTCCAGTAATCTAAGTAATGCATATCAATTTCCGAAAGATCGGATGATAACTTTTGGCGTTAGAGCGGTCACAAGGTTCAATAAAGTGAAACAAGGGCCATAACTCTAGACGTAATACACGGAAATTGCTGAAATTCAATAGGCTTCTTCGTTTCACTAATTCAAATAATGCGAGTAAATTTCAGAAAGACCGGATGATAACTTTTGGAGTTAGAGCGTTCACAAGGTTCAATAAAGTGAAATAAGGGCCATAACTCTAGACGTAAGAAACAGAAATTGTTGAAATTCAATAGGCTTGTTCGTTTCACTAACTTAAATATTGCATATAAATTTCACAAATGTCGTATGTTAACTTTTGGCATTAGAGCGTTCACAAGGTTCAATAAAGTGAAACAACGGCCATTACTCTAGACGTAATAAACGGAAATTATTGAAATTAAATAGGCTTCTTCATCTCACTAATGTAAACAACATATATCAATTTTAAAACAATTGGATGATAACTTTTGGCGTTAGAGCGTTCACAAGAAATTGTGGACGATGGACGGACCGACAGACGGACGGGGGCCACGGCAATATACGTCCACATTTCAATGTGGGCGTATAAAAATGCTTAAAATTACGGGTGGGACGATTTACCCAATACCACCACATACTACCCAATACTACAATATAATGGTGCAAAATAGACATAATTTGATTTTTTTCAAAAATAGAGAGTTATATCGCAGGAAATGTACTTCAAATGCGATACCGATGTGTGGCTGTTCCAATTGCCTCCAAACAAGCCAATAAATACTCATCAAATACTACCCAATATAATCAAATAACAACCTAATATTGTCAAATAGCAGCACATTAGTATAATTACTGCAACAATTATTCGATATCTTGCAGAAAATTGAAATGTTTACCCAGTTATCTCCCTTTACAACCGGTAAATAGATTTTAGATTGATACATGGTTAAATCATCTTCTTTGGCTTTGCAGTTGGTTTCCAAGACGACTAACTTAAAATAAGAAAAACAAGCCAACAGTGAGGCTGATGTCCCCCGCTGAAATCCCAAAATAAATAGATGACACACATTAATTAATAGCACCTTTATTTTTTTCAAAAGTATCAAGCAATCAAACTGATTATCAACTATACACTAAATTTCATCACTCTCTATCAGATAGAATCAAAGTTATCTTGTCCCAAAGCATCGACCAATGAAATTGCTTAGCTCTGCTTAGCTTTAGCTGGAAATGTTAAAAGTTACAATTTCATATTTTCTAAGAAAGTCAAAACATAATTATTTCTTAGCTTTAGCTGAAAATGTTAAAAGTTACAATTTCATATTTTCTAAGAAAGTCAAAACATAATTATTTCTATGTCTTTTGCTCAATAGGTTGTCAACTCACTATTATACGATCATAGGTGTTATTCTCACACTTAAAACTCATTTACACCGGAAATAATAACACAAGTACCTCCCTTGTTTTCTATTCTCCACCATGGAGAAGCTATCTTCAAACGTTTGAATTGGAAGAGGAAAATGATATTTTTGCCAATTTCTCAACTGGCAATAGTGAATTATAGGATTAATAGGATTATTCTTTAACAAGGTAGGACTGTTTATAGATACCATCTATTTTAAGGCTTTATTTTAATAAATTTTAAAAATATAACGTAAAAATATGAAATTGCAACTTTAATCATTGAACTCAGTCAAGACATTCACCCAATGAACATCTACATCAAGTTTGAACATTCTACCTCAATAAAAAGCAGAGTTGTTATGTTCCAAAGTCTTGACTAATCAAATTGCTTATCGCTCATCATCGAATTTAGTCAAGTTATCGTGCCCCAAAGCATCAACCAATCAAATTGCTTATCTCTGCTTACCCTAAGATCTGTGGGTTATAAACATACATTTCAAGTGTAAACCAAATCAGATAAAAATTGTGACCTCCACAGTGTTCACAAGCTAAAAATGTGAATTTTCGTACAATCAGGGGCTATAATCCATGAAGTTATAGTGATAAACCTGTATTTCAAGTGTCGTTGAAATCGGATAAATAAATGGTGACATGTAGAGTGTTCACAAACAATTGTGGACGGATGGACAGACAGGGGTGACGACAATATACGTCCATATGAAAATGTGGGCGTATAAAAATAGATAAACGAGACTTCGTTGTTTATTGTACTGACTTTAGTAATGATGATCGAGGCTAGTCTAAAATTCAAAAGCTGATATCTTGGTTCAGAGTGGAGCAATTTGACTGAAATTTTCAGAATATTCTAGTTACGTTATCTATTTTTTAATTATTATAGTGAGAACTATCAACTCTTTATCTAATCTTACATGTCCCTTTAAAGATGCAGTATGTAAGATTTAGACAAAGCTGATTTTTCTTGCTATAATAGTTCCAAAATAGATAACTCAAAATTAATATATTGAAAAAGTCATTCAAATTACTTTATTCTGAGCAATGTTATCGCTGTTTAAAGAGAGAGAGAGAAATGGGGTTTACATCCACTCGACACAAACTAGGTCATTTTGGGACTAACATATGGTTTTTAATTTTATATAATTCGCTTGCGCGTAGGGGTCTTTAGCAGTGGGAGGAAACCGGAGGACCCAGAGAAAACCCGCGAGGCTGGACAGGCGACCCTACTCCTTGTCACGTACAACCGTGGATTCGAAACCATGCCAGTTGACTCAATGACAGGCCTTGTGATACAGCATGCGCGTGCTAACTATTCGGCCATCCAACCACCCTCGCTGTTTAAAGTTTTGACATTTTCAAATTAAATCATTAAATGGCGATTGTATTTTGACCTGTTTACATCTGCACTGTCCAATTGTCTAGAGAGTTGATTATAGACTTGGCATGTGAATAAATGTAAGCCAAAATAAAACCATGCAATAGGTAGAGTCAGCTCTTACATAATGCATCTTTAAGAAAATAAGGCAATTGTAAAATACTTTCCATCACACTGCTTAAACACTGAGTGCATTGACCAGTGGTCTGTACCACAAGTAATTAGTTCTACATGTTATAAAAAAAAAACCCGGAGTAATAAGGCTTACCATCACTGGAACCTTGACTACCCCAGACAAGGAACAAAAACAAGAAAATATCCCTACATCATAATTACAGAATTGTTCTTTAAATGGCATTTAGTAACTGGATAGAGTAACAACAAAACACATACTTAGCTTGATAACGTTGAGAGAATACTCTACGAAACGTCGCCTTAAATACACTAGTATCTGTTTTCCATAAGTATGTGTTTTGTAGGGGTGATGATTTTCCGTTTCAGAAAATAGCAAATTCCGTTTTAAGTATTTTTAATTCCGTTATTTTCCATTTCAGAGCTGACCATATTCCGTTTTTTCGAGATAAAATGTTATTTTATGAATAAATGAATAAAACATCTTAAAATGCCTTTTATTACAAAACGAATCATTTTAAACCAATGATAACAAATGTTGAATTGTGAATGACTTGTAATGTTCAATGACTAGTTATTCTTTAAACCTGTTTCCCGAATTAAATAACAGAAAATTACATCCTGTGATCTCGTTTCATCTTTTTAGCAGACGAAGCCATTTTTCTCAGCTGCTAGTTGTAGTCGCGATTTATCCAGACATCTTCGTAGTTACTACCGTTTCTTCGAGAATAAGGGCTGGATTCACAAGACTACGGTATATTTGTGATGTCACCTGGTTAATGTGGATAAACACGAGTCACAAGCCTGGCAGTAAAATAAGAAGTAAATGAAACGATTTTTACTTTTATGAAGTGACAGAAGTTTTTTTTTAAGACATATATATACATTACAATGTTTAATTTAAGTTAAACTACAGAGTAATTGTATTCAGGGATACATGAAAGACGGGTTTTCGTTTCGATTAAAATTATGATTCCTAAATGAAAGTAGCTAAATACTAAAATAGACAGTAACAAAACCACGCGATATCATTCAATATTTCCGATTTTTATGAATAAAAAGATGAAATACTTGGATAACTGCAAAATTGTTTTGAGTTTGTGTTTAGTATCAGCAAATATCGGCTTTTCCGTCTTTTTCTGTGTGAGATTTCAAATTCCGTTTTGAGTGGACAATTCCGCGATTTCTGCGTTTTTTCCGCGATCACGGAAAATCATCACCCCTAGTTTTGTTGATAATTACAGAAATTGCAGAGGGCTCTAGACAAATCTGGGGTAGTTATAAACGTCAGGTTTTATAAATTTACACAAGGCAAATTTGGGGTTTTTTTTTAATTTTTTATTTTAAAGAATAAAATGCAATGAACTGTAATATTAATATTGTAAAATTGTCTAGAACGTCTTTTCACATTTCACTTTCACCATGACAAATAGAAGATGAGTGTTCTGATGTAGAATGACATAATAAAAGTCGATTGGAGATGATGTAATAATTTATAAGACTTTTTCGTCATTTCTTTCCAGATTTCTTTATACCTCCTGTACCTGAAATAAATCATCGAACTTAAATGAGATTGTACAAGAATAAGGTACATGTAAAAAAAAAAGCAATTTAGTAGATAATTTTCAAATATTACTTCACCATGATATTCAACTTTTTGACTGATGCCCACATTGCCCCACACATAATAAAATCGTACTGGATTTTAAGATATTAATGAGAGAGAGAGAGAAATGGGGTTTAACGTCCACTCGACACAAACTAGGTCATTTCGGGACTAATATATGGTTTAATTTTATTTCAATAATTCGCTTGCGCGTAGGGGTCTTTAGCAGTGGGAGGAAACCGGAGGACCCGGAGAAAACCCACGAGGTTGGACAGACAACCCCACTCCTTGTCTTAAGATATTAATGCATTGGGTTCTAACTTCTTTCATGGAATCCCACCTAGTTTCAGAAATCAGTTGTTATCTGATAATTTATGCCAACTTGAAATCATTTGTATGGGCAATATCAACTAAAGCTATGACACATCAGCTACGACAAATTAGGTGAAATAATTTAGTAAATCATACAAATTGATTATATAACCAATTATGTTAAGGCCGCAGTAATGTGTAATATGCTTGCGCATAGCCATAGCAGTGGGAGGTAACCGGAGGACCAGGAGAAAACCCACGAGGTTGAACAGGCGACCCTACTCCTTGTCACGTACAACCAGGGATTCAAAACCACGCCAGTCGACTCAATGACAGACTATGATACAGCGCGCGTCCGCTAACCATTCAGCCATCCACCCCCCCCTAGTAATGTACTGAAATACCGTCATGTACTACCATTAATAATTTTTGGAAATGTTGCAATACAATTTGTTGAATTATTATATATTAGACAATCTATTATATTTAAGATAAAATTTCATTTGAACTGAATTACAGTCTATTTACAATATTCTTGTCATTAAATATTGTAGGCCAAGTCTAGTTATTGAATACATCTAGCTATACAATATTTATGCAGTGCAGTATCAAACCCGGTTTTCTACATAATGCTCCTCTTTAGCACTATTTATTAGTAAATCTGATTCTGTGATATATTAAGTTCCTGACACATGACACTTTATCATTTGGAAACTTACCTAATGGTCCTTTTTTTGCTTTGTCAGCCATGTCTTTTAATGCTTTCTGTTCTTCTCTCTGTTTTTGTTTAAAGGCTACGGCATCCTAAAACAAAAAGAAACAAAATTTTGAAATGAAGCTAAAAATTATTAAAGAATTTTCAATCTGACAGCTGTAGTGGTGTCTGAAAGAATATGCAGTATAGTTATAGTTGTTGTGGTTATCAGGTTTTTCATTACATATCAACAAGAAAAAAAAAAAATCTTCAACTGGGGTATACATGTAATCCTGTTAATCAATTCTGGCAACTGTGAGCTGAAACATTGGAACAAGGAAATTGGCCATTTCTAACATTTGATTTGCATGTAAAAACCACTTGTATTAATGGATACCCTGTGATGAGATCTGGTACGACTGCTTTAAATGGTTTTATACTTACTTCATCGTCATCTGCCTTCTGTTTCTTGGGTGCTTTTAAAGGTTTTTTCTTTCCACCTAAAAATAACAAAAAAAAGGAGAAATAACAGCCTGCATAATTACAAATTAAAATATTAAATTACTTTTTAATTTTGGTCTGGAGAAAAAGATGAAAGAGACAGTCATATAGAGTGATGTTAGAATCTGGTGCCAGACACATTTTAGTAAGAAGAACCTTAGTGTTTAGAACACATTTGTGACTTAGAATTTAAAAAATAAACTTTGGGTCTTTCCAGTTTCACTATCAAATCCAAAATTATCCCATGTGAATTTGATTAAATCTTCTATGATGATTTATTTACATCTACACAACATTTATCTGTCTAAACAGGGTCTAGTTCCTCCAAGATAGGATCCAGGTATATAAAATGTTTTATCTTTTGAAATAATATTCATGATGGAATAGATCAAGGTGGGAAAATTTGGGATGTTTTAACATGATGTTAAATTCAAAGTTTGAATAAAAACAGAATCTATGGGGGCGCAAATTTTTGTATATAAATGATCGTATTCTAGCTATTGTCAAAAGTTTAATAAGCTGGATATAGTCTTGTTAGTTATAATCTTTGAGAACGAGCATTCAGGCAAGTATCAACTGATTGGGGATGATATTGATGAAACAGGCGTGGGGTAGAAAAAAGGTGTAATTCTTGCCTTTACTATTTACAGACTGTGTGAGAAGAGGTTTCAGAAGAGTTATTTATTGTTAATAAATGTATCATCCTTATGTGTATATGAACAACTAGGCTAATGAAGACAGGCATGCCACTTGGTGTACTAAATCAGTTTTACTCATCAGGTGTTCTTGTTTTATCAAATAGTATACAGGCCTACACAATTGACTGATCATGGCCGAGATTAATAGATGATCGATGTTTTAATGAATAATGATAATGTAGCTCTGTATTGAGTCTTGATTGGCTTTCTGCTGAATGTTTAAACTGATTAATTGGATAAGCCAATGTCTTTTACAAGATTATAATCAATACTCAGTGAACAATCAAATGCAGGCTAGATTTACACTAAAGTAAAGTGCTGAAGATCTGCACTATATACTGTATACATGTAAGCTTATCATATATGCAAATCGATGTATCAATATGAAAACCATGTGGATACCATGATACAGCATCACTCAGTACACTTAATTATAATCACTATATGAATAATATCCAAAACTGTAACAATAGTATTACAGGCCTATATAACCAATGCTGTGTGTGGTCAGTGGTAACAATTAAATTAGGCCTTGATCTATTTAATTTAGTATATTTAATTATTATTTGGAAACTATATATATTAGGTCCCTTTTTCATTTTTAAGACCTGCAGAAGACTAAGGCAATAGATATAGACAATAAAAGTATCTCTTATTTTAACATCACACCATTCCTTATAACATAGAAATTTATTTTTATTACACAATACAATCCAAATTTTTGCAACAATCTTGAATATCAACCAGCGGCAATCTATTTATTACAGTACAGTTTACACACTACTTTCGGAACTAGTTACTTCTTAACGTTTAATTTACCATAAATCGTGAAACAAAATAATATACAAACCTTCTCTTCCAGACATGTTGTTTTTCAAGTTGTATGAACACCTTAATTGTACAAATTCGTGTCACGTTTCTCTATCTTCGGCTCTTCTTGGTCACTTTTAGCGCCCTCGAAAAATAACCAAGACAAGGGGGGTAACTCTAAGAAAAACCTCTAGGTCGTTGCGATGCAGCACAAAAAGAAGTATTTATAATAATAATTATTACTGCCGTATTTAGATTTTAGGGCTTTGGCCTGTTTACAAATCTGCGCACTAGACTTCAATTCTTTAAAGATACACAATTGTTATTAATATCAACGATGATAACTATTTACAAAAGAATGCGAGGAAATATGTTCATGTTGAATTTATTACAGTAATCTAGTTTTGACTAGTTTGATACTATTTAGGCCTATACATTAGAATGGCGTAAACTTTCGATTTATTCATAATATGTTTAAACTAGTTTGGACTAAATGGGAGACTCCTCAGAAAACATGTAAAAAAATGAAATAGGGTTAAACTTACTACTGTTCTGAACAAAAAAGATTCATTAAGAATAGGGGTGGGCTGCAATAATGTGCTATGTTTGTTGGGGGGGGGGGGGGGCAGCGGCGTTTCTGCCATGAAGATGAGCAAGCAGTTAAGTTACTATAGAATTCTGTGGGATTATATATGATTTTAACTCATAAAATTTTCGTTTTTAAATTCAGTCTAGGCCTTATCATTTCACATGACCTATAGATCCGAAATAATATATAGGCTACATAATTTTGCGTCTGTTTAAAATTGTATTTGTACCTTCCAATAATAGAATTCGACAGAATACTATATGTTATTTTAATGTATCAAAACAAAACACAGTGAGGACAGCACACAACAAGGAATACAAAAAATAGTCTACGTATACGTGTGAACAGTGTGCTATGAGGGACATTTTGCGAAACACCGAGATTCTGTGTACACCTTCATTAGTCCGGTTGGTGCAGAAAAACAAATACATATATATAGAACGTTAAACTCTTCATCTTCATTTCACACTGTGTTATATTGCGGTCTAGTACGAACCATGCGGGCGGTTGTTGGAAACATTAAAGTTGCTAAATTCAGAGGCTAGAATAGCAGAAAAACGCATTTGGGGCGGTTAAATTTTCAAAATTCAAAATTCCCCCATACCTCGCGAAGATTGGTTGGTTTGGGATTTGGGATTCAGTTAAGTCACCTAAAGTAGACAATATTAAATTGGACCACATTGAAGTTGCTGTATTCACGGGCTGGAATAACAGGAAAACGCGTTTGCGGCAGTTAAATCTTCAAAATTTTATCTCGACGGTCCCGTCTTTGTGCACTGTAAACGATTGATTGGTTGGTTGATTAGAATTCGAGTCTTAATTACAATGTCGGCTATATATTAGACCACTTTGAAGTTGCTGTATTCACGGGCTAGAATAGTATAGGAAAACGCGTTTGCGGCCATCAAATTTTCTTGGGGGGGGGGGGGGCTACACGGTAAGCTCCGCACCTCCGCTCTCGCAGAAGACTGTCGCCGTCGTCTGTAACCCGAAATTTCTTCGGGCATTTCGGGTTCTGCCCCGCTAAGTGTCATGGGTCTACTAGAATTTAGTGATGTACTGAAGTGGATTCAACAGATATTCGTAAATTAGGCCTTTCGTTGAATTTGATACTGCCGATAACTTTGTTACCTTCAAATTACTGGAAACTGGTCGCCCCGATGCCAACCGTTAGTTGAATCAAAACAATACCCCGAGCTAAATAGTCACGAACATACGCTGGCTATCTATTTCATTCCGTATTGAGCTCAGAATTTTAATATGCCAGCTGTGAGAAAGGAAAACAACTTCAAACGAACTGTAACGTGTATAGCCTACATGAATCTTTGATTTTTGCCCCACCCGAAAGACTAGACTATCTCTTGCCAAGCCATGCACAGAAAACTCCCGAGGATCGAACACACGCCCCATCTGTTGGGTCAGCCGGCGCCTAAAATACTCACTGATCGAGCAACCGCGGCCCTCTATATATAGATAGTATAAAGGTGCAGTTTGCAAGATTTATGCAAAGAACTGACCGTTCTTGCACTAATAGTTTAGTTCCAAAATAGATAATTTTAAATTAATATATTGTAAATTTCATTCACATTACTTTATTCTGAGCAAAGTTATCACTGTTTGAAGTTTTAACAAGATGTAATATAGATTGTTTATTATCGTAGCATATTAAATCATTAAATGGCGATCGTATTTCAATCGCACTATAGTACTATTAAATATTACTGGTTTATTAACATGCAACGTTTCGACGATGATACTCTCGTCTCTGTCAAGCTCGTCTCTGTCAAGCAAATGACAGAGACGAGAGTATCATCGTCGAAACGTTGCATGCTAATTGCTATTCCATAAATAGTGTTAGTGTGTTACTGTTCAATTACTAAATGCCACTTAAAAAAGTATTTCAATCGGTTTAAATCTCCACCATCCGACGGTCTATAAGTGTTAATTATTTGCTTGTCCTGTGAATATACATTTCTAAATAATAATTTATATAACATTTAAATACAAAACAAAGACATGAAATAGGCAGATGTATAGCCTACCTCTTATATAATGCATCTTTAAAATTAAAATGTTTGTAAGGCCGTATAATTTGTCATTCTTAACAACATCAATTTCAGGTTTCTTCTACGACCAGGTGCGGTAAATGTTTGGTGTATACGAAAGTACACACAATTAATATGCTGTTAAATTATGTGTTATGTAAATAAACTATTATTAATTTAAAATTGCAATGCCAGTACTTATAAGGGTTTGTTTCCGACTACTGGCTGCTGACTTGAAATGTACCAGGTCGATAATGCGTTTTATTTAATGCCGCTTCCATCAAGATAATATCGCAGACAAGATGGTCTGGTTTGAACCGGTGGATAACCGTTCTACCAACTGGCTTATAAACTGAATGACGTCGAAAACAACTAGCTAGCTGAAACCAGTTTTCTATAATAAATACATGCACTGGCAGCCAGTGATTCACAACTACCGAGGACTTTGAATAGATATAGTTACTCCCCTTGTCTTGGATATAATTTTTGCGAAGGCGCTGAACGTGAGCATAAAAAGAGTTGAAGTTAAACCAATTTGTGTAATTATACAACTTTTAACAACATCATGTCTGGAAAAGAAGGTTTGTATTTATTTATTTATTTCTCGATTTCACGCAAGGGTCGACATATCGCATATTTACGGAATTCTTGAGTTAGGTAAAAAGAGATTTTTATTCAGCACCGCAAACTCGGAACAAAAATATTCCAAGAAATCTGAATTTTTAAATTATGGTGTGAAAATAGCCGGGGAAAAATAATTTGTAGTTTCTGTCCTACGGATTTTTTTCCTTGGCCGTTGATAATGATTGTTGGTAAAATTGTAGTTTCTGTCCTAAGAAATTTTATACGCGCACATTTTCATGTGGACGTATATATTGTCGTCGCCCCTGTCCGGACGTCCGGACGTCCAAAATTTGTTTGTGGACACTACAGGTCACAATTTTGACTAAAATTGAAATATAGGGTTATCTTTCAAATATCACGATTTACTTTCGAAATTGGCATGTATGGGACCGTAACGTCATGGATTATGGTCCCTAGCTGATTGTACGAAAAATCACGCTCTATAAAACTTGAAATGTATGTTTATAACCCAAAGATCGCGGCTCCTTTCGATATTCGCGCAATTAGATTTTGGCCCTTCTTATCCTATTTTTTTTTAAAAAAACACCCGAATATATTACCGTTAAACCATAATGACGGTTGAGTTCGAATTTCGTAAAATCATAAAAAAACGGACCGAAACTGCCTGACAAAATGGCCGATCCTCGTACGCAAATTGAGGCAATTTCACAAGGTGTCCCTAAACGTTTGCTATAGACTGTATGAATGAAGATTGTGGACCCACCAGAGGTCACAATTTTGATCCGATTTTGATGAAACTTTAAATTTATGTTTATATCTGTCTCCTTCCCATAGTCGCGCATATCGGAACGATCGGAACGTGACTTCCTGGATTATGGCCCCTGATTGTTCGGAAAATCGCATTTTTAGCTTGTGGACCCTCTAGAAGTCACAATTTGTATTCAATATTTCAATATATCACCGTTACATCCTAATGACGATTGAGTTCGGATTTCGTGGAAATCAGACTGAAATTGCCCGACAAAATGTATGCAAATAGTGTAAAAGTATGTAATAGACCAAGGTTGTGGACCCTCTTTCGATTTCACAATTTTTATCTGATTTTGATTAAACTTAAAATATATGTGTATATCACAAATATCCCGGTTCATTTCGATATGTCGCGCATCGAGTATGACTCATGATTGTACGAAATATCGCGTTTTTAGCTTGTGGATCCTCTAGAGGTCACATGTTTTATTCAATTTTAAAAAAAAACGTTTAAATATATCACATTTACATCATAAAAATGGTTGAGTTCGAATTTTGTGGAAAAATCAGAATGAAACTGACCGACAAAATGTGTTCCAAGGTTTGCCGTTGGCAAAAAAAAAAGGTTGAGAACCACTGTCTTATAGCAATAACATTTTGACGCCCTTGCTGAAAATAAACCCAAAAGAGCGAAGCTCCCGAAAATTTGGCTCCAAACGTCGCTATAATTCAAGTTCCCATATTGACAACCCATATTTCACATCTTCGTTGGCTTTTTTACATGCCCACGTGTGAATGTGGTCCTATAATGCCGTCACCCTGTCCGTCGTCCACATTTCTTGGGAAAACTCACCGACTACATTTATCATCCGATCATTTTAAAATGTATATAATATTATGTTGTTTACGTTAGTGAGGCGAAAATCCTAATGGATTTCCATTAATTCTAGAGTTATAACCCTTGATTCACTTTGTGGAACCGCGTGTGAACGCTCTGTATCATCCGACCTGTATTAGTTTATATGTATTATTTAAACAGGCTAAATCTGTCTATTACAGGCCTCGAAGTGTGCATGCACAATATGCTGTGCCGTAACATGTGTCACAGATTAGAAATAAATTAAACATTAAAAAGAAATAAGTTTTGACTTTTCGTTTTTAATATATATATATATTTCTCTTAACTGACTTATAAATCTAATTGCATGATTATGTTGGTTTTTTTTAATGAAATTTAATATTTTTAGTGCAATGAACTATTTATCTGACTGTAGGCTATAATTTCTTTTTTTGTTGTTTTTTTTGTTCAGGAGGAAAGAAACATGCTGTAAAAGAACAGAAAAACCACAAAGAAGATGAAGTAAGTATGCTCCAACCATTAAAAGGAGGAGTGCATGTACCAGATCTCGGGGCCGGGTAAGAGGCAGATGAGGAGGGGGATGGCTGCAGCCAGGGGCCCCAGTATTAAAGGAGCCCACAAATTAGTTATAAAAAACAGAATTTGTACCATAAATGAATGTAATGTCATTCATTGTGTTGTATATGTTTGTGCCAAATAAATCAATCTATCTACTATACTGACATACAAATTGTATTTGGGTGAGTGTGATGGAGAATGATGAGAATATACCAGTGATGGGATTTCAAAATATACCTGCAAAACCCCATCACTGGAATATACCGGTACTCAATTTCACTGTTGATGCAAGGGCCCCAATTATGTTTTTAGTCAGGAATCCCATGCATGCTTAATTCAGCCCTAGCTGCCAGACTCACAAGCAAATCAAATGATGGATATAGCTAATAATTACGGTACCTTTGTTTGAAAGTTGTTGGATTTTTTCTTGTTTTATTATATATAATGAAAAACCTGATAACCACAATATCTATAATTCTTATTGTCAGATCGAGAACTTGTCGGCAATCATATAAAAACGGACAGAATGTATTTCTTTTTTAAAGAAAAATATGAAAGAACTTCTGGTAGGCCTAATCATTGTCAAGAGTCTTTCAGAATTTAGCAGTTTTATTCACCACAGTAAATATATAAAGATCTCTCTCAGTTCTCTTAATCTAGCTTCATTTCAAAATATTGTTTCTTTTTTTTTTAGCATAACAAAGCCGGTAAACAAAAACATAAAGAAGAACCCAAAAATGGCACAGGTCCCAAAGCACCAAAACATAAAGAAGACAAAGCAGAAAAACATCATGATGCACCACACAAAGAAAAACATCAAGATGGACCACACAAAGAAAAACATCAAGGTGCACCACCCAAAGAAAAACATCAAGATGCACCACACAAAGAAAAACATCAAGATGCACCACACAAAGAAAAAGGTAAGTTTACAGGTGATAAAATGTCAATTGTCAGGAACATAAAATATATCAGGACATCAGATTTACTAATAAATAGGGCCACAGAGAACATTATGTAGAAAACCGGTTTGATACTGCATAGCATAAATATTGTATAGGTAGATGTATTCAACAACTAGACTTGAGCTCAAAGTAGCTAAGTCTCTAACTCAATATCATCCAAAATCTTCAACATTGAAAACACGATTTATTTGTTAATTAAATCAACATTCATGTTGTGATCTTACCGGGAAAAGATGGGCTTTTGATATCCAATATTTAAAACAAAATAAACATTTTGCCATTGGTACACAAATCGTGTACCATAATGCGCTTCAGCCCCAGTTGTATCAATAGACTTGAGGGACGAGGCTAGACACCTTGCACCAAATAAAACGGCGTATGTAGACTGGAATAACCAGACGCTAGAAATTTGCACTCGCTTGAGACTGCTGGCTTATTTCGCCGAACATTAACTGATTTGAAATTGGAGTAAAAACGGAAACCATTGAATGTATATCAGTTTGTATACATTCATATTACAGTATTATATGCATTGCGACCCACTTTTGTCAATTTCTAGGTCCCATATGTTAGCGACTTAGATCCTTTAAAGTAGTAATATTTACAAGTCTACTATTAATATGAAATGGATACAGATTTTCTGTCATGGTATATTAAGCATATTGAATCTAATATAAAATAATTCAACAAATTGTATTGCAACATTTCCAAAAAATATTAGTAGTAGTACATGCCAGTATTTCTGTACATTACTGCGGCCTTAACATATTGTTTAAATGAATCAATTTCTATGATTTACTAAATTATTTTACATATGTTTCATAGCTTTAGTTAATATTGCCCATACAAATGATTACATGTAGCTATAAATTATCAGATAACAACTTATTTCTGGAACTAGGTGGGATTCTTCATTAGGTCCAATATGTAAATGAATTATATGAAATGGTGTTTAACGTCCTACTGTTCTGCTCCGACTGGGCTAATGGAGACTGACATATGTCATACAGTGTGCGATGAGGGAAATTTTGCCCAGGCAGCGGCAGTTATATCAAATTCCAAGGGATCTTTAACGTGCACGCCAATGTCTTCATGGACCTCGTTTTTTTTCGTCCGATCCGAACGACTAGACAGTTGTCATTGTCAGGCCCTCCGTCCCGATGAACTCTCTCGGCCAATGAAGGAATCGAACACGCGACCTCCAGGCTAGTTAGGCCAGTGTCTTTCCCACTTAGCCACCGTCCAGGTCCTACATGTACTGATGAACATGAAAGACATTACCGATATGACTTTGCTGTGTGTGGGAATCTGTTAAATAGTTATATATCACAGTGAAATATGTTAAAATGACAAATTGTAAATTAAATTGTTTTTGTAGATGTACTTTATACTAGTAAAATATATGTTTTATTTCTGTTTTCAGGTGGAAAAAAAACTGGAAAGAAATGACAATAAATTCTTATAAATTATTACATCATCTCCATTCTACATTCTACATCAGAACACTCATCTTCTATTTGTCATGGTGAAAGTGAAATGTGAAAAGACGTTCTAGACAATTTTACAATATTAATACATGTATTACTGTTCATTTTTATTCTTTAAATTAATAAAGTGAAAAAAAACCACCAAAAACTTGTCTTATGTAAAGATAAATGCCCTGCGATTCTGTCTAGAATCCTCTGTCATTTCCATAATTCTGATGTAAGACCTGGGACGTAATACTTGTAACATGAATACAGGGGAAAATTTATGCTTGGTTCCTATCTGGAAGTCGGAGCAGTTAAACCCCATTTCATTTCATTTCCTGTCTGGAAAATCATGCAAGGCAATCAATTCATGGTAGTCAAGGCTATAGTCAGTGATATCAGTCCATGGTAGTCAAGGCTTTAGTCAGAGATATCAGTCCATGGTAGTCAAGGCTTTAGTCAGTGATATCAGTCCATGGTAGTCAAGGCAAGGCTTTAGTCAGAGATATCAGTCCATGGTAGTCAAGGCTTTAGTCAGTGATATCAGTCCATGGTAGTCAAGGCTTTAGTCAGTGATATCAATGATTCATACTCACTGGATGTTCTACAATTAAGATATGAAATGGGGTTTAACATCCTACTTTACTGCTCCAATTGGTTTAATGAAGACGGCCATATATTCCATGGAGTGTGCTATGAGGTGCTACGGCCTACTCTTATTCATCTTCAATAGAAGGCTTGATCTCGCTTTAACTTATCAAGGCCTTCACGTAATACCCTGCATATTGCGGCACTAATTTCGATTGGGTACAAGCCTAACTTGTGCGCCTATCAGATTCCTCGATCGGCACGAATACCAAGTCTCGCGCTTTCAAGCTAAAATGTCTACCTGTGATAATCGAGTTGCAAAGTTCAAGGTTCATTCAATGTCAAGGTTTCCGTGGAGGTCGCGATGTCACAACCTCTGATTGGATGCTACTGCTCACGTGTCTGTAGATAACATAGCTATAAGTTCGGGAATTGTGAAGTAAACAAGCAATGGCCAGATGTTGTGAAACTCGCAGTCGTTGCTTCAGGAACATGACTCTTACTTTGAATTCTAACTATCAACAGTTCTTTGACGTGCACACCAATGTGTGCACAGGAGCTGAGTTCGTATCATCCAATCAACTATACTTTGTCCCTTGTCCAAAAATTAAGATGTATGCGTTACGCAGTGATATGTTTCTGTGCAACCAGATGGCTTAGGAAGGGGGCTTACTTGGAATTCATATCACTTCAAATAATGAAAACAAAATCTAATCTTGCACATTGAAGATGCCATAGATAAACATAAACATTTATTAATAATTACTGTATAATTTATAAAATAAAATACTGGAACAAGTTGCCAGGCAATAAAACATACACCCACCAACAGGTTTTGTAACAATGCAATCATTGAAAATTTGTAACTCTTGTTTTTGTTTTGAGGAAAAACTGGAAAGCTACATTTAAAGAAAATATTACAATGTACATATGGTTTATAAGTCAAGGATTAGGCAGAAATATTGAAAACCAATATACCGGTTATATAAGCTGAAAAGCCTATTAAAATTTCAAACAGGATTCAATGATCCACTGTCACAATAATAAATCACGGATGGACATGGTGACCACAATATATGACCACTTTAATACATGAGCATATAAAAAAGGACGGAAAACTGAATACATTTTATAACATATATAGAATATAACTAATCCAAAGCTTTGGACACGATAGCCGAATCAATCGCCGCCAAAATTCTTCTAGTGTCTCCTGTGTCATTCGTTCGAAGTTCTATTCGTCCAAATCGAAAGTTTGATATATTTTTGGGCAAATTTTCATTCGCCTAGTGTGTACATTTGGCCGAAGCAATCCCCTGATTGTAGAATCCATTAGCCGATCACCACTGATGTTGAGAAGTCACATGATTGTTTGACGACATGGTTGCTGCCATGTTTAATCATGTGATGTAAAAGGTGATGCAATCGTCTGGTGAATCGGGCGAAGAATTTGGTTAACGTGTCCACTCATTCGACCATATAAATTCGGCGGCCATTGATTTAGCCATATGATTTGGCTAGTGAGTCTGCCGTTTTAAGAAAGATGCATATAAATAAATTTAAGCTTATATTACAATGAATTGGATTTGGATAACTTGAGTCTCCCATAAAAACTTTTCAGAGATCTTAGAAAATATATAATTTAGGAAAAGAACATAAGTAAATAAGCTATCATGAAACTAGGTTATTAAACGCATAATGCAATAATTTCAAGGAGATAGTTTATACATGAAATCATAATAACATAACAAATACCTTTAATATTGTTTTGGCATAATAAATTAGATAAGATATGCAATGTCTCTTAAATGGATGTACAATTAAAAAAATATATACATTAATAATCATTAACAATATAAAATTTGACTATAAACATCAGGGCTCTATCAGTTCACAATTTCGCATGTCAGAAGATTATGATCTGAAAATCTCTTATGGAGGTATTGTATATTTAGCGTTTGTAATTAAGTTATATAATTGATTTTCTGACAGACCAAAGTCTAAAAGAGTTCCCTGATATAATGTAAACTACCTGATAATATTTTATCTATCACAGTTTATTTTATATACAAACAGATCTTTTATCACATATTATAATAATGAGCATATTCAATAAAGGACGGTATAATAATTAAGAATCTTGATAAGGATATTTTAGTTAAATATTTATAATTTTCCACTACCTCCTCGCCCTCCCTCTAACCCCGTCCTGTTTCAATTAAACAGTCCCAAAGAGAGAGGTGTTACCCAGCTGACCCATGAAGCCTCAGGTTGGCGGGTACCGGTAGGGCCTACCCATATTTCAGTTATTAAGAAATAACTGTTCATTGTCTATTCAAGCATTTTGATATAAGTTTAGGCACATTCTTTTTGTAAAGGCCACTTGGTAACTTTCTTCCATCCAGCAAATCAATTTCATCCAATGATTTTTGATTGGTTAATCATCTAATTGACAGAGTAAAGCCACACCTCTATTAATCCAATGACTTTCTGGTTGGTTTGTTTTAAGAAGAATAGTAAGAACATAGTTTGTGGAGTGTCCTGTTGTTGATAAGGTTCCACGTCTAGCACTTGTTTTATAAACTAGAAAAATTAAAAGTAGATTATTAGTTGTGTATTACTTTTGATTATCGATAACTGATTAGTCGCGTATTACTCATTATTTACTCGGTATTTACTGCTTAAAAAATAATATTAGAGAATAGAGAGAGAGAAATGGGCTTTGATGTCGACTCAATAAAAACTAGGTTATTTCGGGACAGTTTAATTTTATTTCCATAATTTGCCTGCGCATAGGAGTCTTTAGTTGTCATCAGGTCTGTCGTGCACAATAGATAATGATTAGAGAATACGATAGATAGGTGATCATCAGCTCTATCAATACGCCTACAGAATAATTGATTAACGAATTGTATTGAAATTTGAAAAATTTGATTAATCCCTCCCCAAAACATACTAGTAATCTATTGGTGAAATTCACTAACCTGGGCAAGCATAAGTCATTTCTTCTGCAAAGTTTGCTTTGTCTCCTGGCTTCAACCAAATCTAATTTATATGTTAAGGTTTATGTAGATCAAATTTTCAAAAATATTTTCAATACCAATTATTGTTCAATTGCCCACAATGTTCAACTAAGTTACTCTAAATGGCAATCTAATTAAAATATAGATCTATATTTCATTTCGTTTTTTATACTTTCGATGGCCTACACTACATGTAGATCTAACAAGTTATAGTGGGAGTTCACGTTCTATGACGTCAGGTACCAAGCAAGCGACATTTGACCTGATTACGCCTAGTGCCGAACTGGTGGGTCGAAGGTCCACCGTTCAGGTCATTGACCAAGGCCCACACAAGTACGCGCCGAAGGGGCTTCACGAGCGCGCCAAAGGCACTCAACGTCTTTTTTGGGGGGGGGGGGGTGTCTCCTTCCTTCCTTCTTTCTTTTCTTTCCTCCCCCTCTCTTTTCTTTCTCTTTTCTTTTTTCCTTTTTTTTTCTTTATAGGCTTAGGTCCACTTTTTTTAATGAGCTTAGGCCCACCTGTCACGGACAGGTGGACAGGTGGGCCCAGTCCGGCACTGATTACGTCAGTCATTCGATTAACCAATTAGCGACCGACATGTATTTTTTATCTACTTTTCCTTGGTTTTGATTTCTATTGCCGTTAATGTCTACCCACAGTTCCGCGCAAAAAAGGTCAAACGCTCGATTCGACAGACCATTTGATTGGCTGACCCCTTATTTCAAGCAGAACACGAGTTAAATAACAACGCTTCCAGATCCAAGTGTAGTAAAGACAAGTAAAATTGAAATTTTGAACAATAAAAACGAAACGAAATTGGATCTGTGTTTTAACCAGATTGTCTACATGGCAGTCTCAGACATTCACTATGGCACACATGTACTATCAGGCACTGATTAAAGGGGGAAGGGGGCTGACTGGGCTGCAGACAATGCTAAAGCTGCCCCCCCCCCCCACACCAAATTAGTTCTAATACATATGTCATTTATTATGTTGTACATGTTTGTGCCAAATAAATCTATCTATTTATCTACTATACTGACATACAAATTGGATTTGGACAATGATCAGAATATGATCCCTTTACACTTTAATGCAAAGGTCCCATGAAATTTTCAGCCAAGAGCCTCATACAAGCTTAATCCGGCCCTGTACAGTGTTATCTTATATTTATGTCAATTTAATAACATCTATATGAGAACAAACTGATATATTTACATTATTTGAATTAAGATTCTATATTTAAAGGATACAACTGGCATCATATCGTAGAGGATTTTAGGCTGTGATTCTTCGATGACATGATTTTGTCTACACCATCTTGCACCTTCCATATATAAACCTTTTACGTATGCTCCATTAGTCTGTAATAATAAAGATAATGCACATGTGGCATTATGTTCAAAATCTGCAAAATCTGAGAAATGAAATGCACCAACCAGACTAATGAGAAAAGATTTGAGAGAGAGAGAGAGAGAGAGAGAGGGAGGTCATATGACCATGTCATTTTTGGACTAACATATGGTTCAATCTTATTTCAACAATCTGCTTGCAAGTAGGGGTCTTTAGCAATGGGAGGATTCACATGGTGGACAGGACACCCTACTCCTTGTCATTTACAATCAGGGAATCGAACCCACGCCACTTACTCACTGACAAACCTTGTGATCTATTGTACACGTTAACCCACAAGACCACCCAACACCCCCTTTAGAGGAGAATGACATTGCTGATTTAAAATCTTCAATTACCATGACCTGGTGATGCGATGAGCAAATTTGAAATCTGAAGGAAAGCACTGATGTAAACTGGAATGTCCATCATTTATTAAAAATAATCTTCAAAAATAATTAATGCAACTTTATTTTATGCTGGTAAAATATATTGCAACCCTTTAACTACACTCTCTAATTAAGATTATTTAGTCATTGAGACCAAGTTTAAAGCATAAATCAAAATGATGATGGGGTTATTGAATGGATATTTATTAAAAAACTTACTGGTTTAGCTGGCATACTTGTCTCCTTATTGGTCACTTCAAACTCAAAAGCAAGATGATCAATAGGTATTTTATACCGTCTGGCGTAGTTCTGTAAAACACCCGTCAGGAAGGACTGGGTAAAATAAAACCCTGATATCCAAAATACAGACGGAGCTCCACTAAAAATCCAGTCCTGAAAATCAGTTAGACAACAACAGTTGTTATGATATACAAGTTTGTTTTAAATATCTGTGTATATTATGTCCTGTCCGTAGGTTTGTGTAATTGTTTGTGTGTGGTGTGGTCCTCCTGCACTGACTATTAGAAGAGATAAAAGTACTCTGATACCTATATCTGGTGAAATATATACAGGTATATTAAATATATTGATAACAGTGAGTGTCCATAGGGTAGTGTGACTTGATGCGGAACTCATTTGATCGGGCTCTCAATAGTAAGTGCAGGGCAACTGCACCACACATAATTTACACAAAAACAAATCGATGGACAAGACACAATACGCAGAAATCACAAACAAACGAACATATCAAATTAAGTGAATGGATCCAGGAGCTAGCCGTAATCGTCCACTGCGCTTTACAGTTCCTGGGTCTGTAGTGACACAGACTTCACTCAAATTTGAAAACAATCAGGAATATAACCCAGAGAAACCATTGTGTAATGTCAGCAAGAGTCATGATCTGCCATATATTACAAGAAATATGAATGTAAACATATTGAAGTAAAATTTACCTATAAAAGTAACCATATCAGTGAAATGTATAAAAACAACAGGTAGTCTAAAAACTAAAAGTTCTAAGTTAAGTGAGAAAACATTTTTAGTATTCAATAGAATCAAGGTATATTGAATATAGTTATCCTAGTAAGTTTGTGTAACTAACAGCTCTGGATTCACTTTGAAAGTAATTTACTGTAAAGATATACCTTGAAGAACTGTAACCTGGCTAGAAGATCTGTTATATAACTACCCATTGGTTTTAATGATGGATACGACTTGGCAGCCCACATGGCAGGAACCTAAAATTTAGAAGTAGAAGTAGACACTTATGGTGGGGGATGGCGGGAGCGAGGAGAGAAAAATGGAGTTTAATCTCCACTCAATATAATCTAGTTCATTTCAGGACAAACACATGGTACAATTTAATTTGCTTGTGCTTAGGGTTCTTTAGCAGTGGAACAAAACTTTAATTAGGACCCATTGAAAATCCACAAGGATTGGCAGACGACCCCTCTGATCCTCCTCACATACAAGCTTAGGAGATCAAAACTGTGTCACTTGACTCAGTGCCAGACCTTATGATCTAAAGTGCACTCAAACTCTCAAATATTTTTGTAAACTTTTGAATATAGACACACACTCCCTTAAAAACATTCTTGACTGCAAGGTTTGTATACTTTTGGGCTATTTTTAGACCCAAGTATACATCTATCAGTTGAGGTAAATGGGTACTTATCATTATGAGAATATTTACTCAAACTTTGTATATGAACATAAAAATATTCCATTAGTTAATAGCACAAACCTTTCCAACCATCATACTATCAAAAACATCCTCTAATTCGGATGACATGACAACCAAGCCTTTAATAGCTTTACGTATGTCTTGTAAACTCTGCCTTACAACTTGAATTAAACGATTAAATCGGATCAATTCTTGAACTAATACAGTATTCATTGATTCCTCATATCGTACTGGGTATTTATTCTGAAAAAAATAAAATCAGAATTCTATTGTCTCTGATATGGTATAATGTTTATTGTAGTAAAATCATGCATCCTCGTTCATTATGTTCTTTCTGCATGTTATTTTGTGTCATAGATGTCTTTAGATTTATTTTCAAATAATAAAGAAAATGTTTTTGATAAGCCTGTATTTTGTTTATTACGACGATATGTTAATGCAGCATATGTCTAAACAATGGCCTCATTTGGAGCTATTTTCAAAAAGATTGAAGTTATGGCTGCTTGGATTTTTCTAAAATTTAGCTTGAACTTTTCTCCTGGGTTCTTCAAATATTTGTATTATTCTTTTACGGCAATCAAACCTATGACATATTATGAAAATATTTAATAAATATATGTTGACCTTACCTGGACTTCTTCCAGATTGAAATCTGGTGGTATCTTGGTTAAAATATCACTGGCAAGATCTTCAATAATAGCTTGGGATGATTTACCTCCCCCAGACATCTAACAAAAAGAGATGGGAATAATCAAGTAGGTTGTATAATTATAACACAGATAAGAACAAGCAAGAGGAGGATCAAGCAGTAAAGAGGATATGATGAAGATACAAATACTGAAATTATCATACCTGTCTTGGTAATGTAAGAAGAATACCATCAAACATCTGTTGTGTTTCTTGTTGATCTTTAGATATATCAGCATTTTCATGCAAACCAAATACCTACAATGGTTAATGAAAAAACAGATATATTTACCACACATTTTAATATTGAAATAAGCTTGTCAAATCATTTCTCAGGGTTATTGGCAATTATTATTTCTATTTCAATAGGAATTATTAAATAGATTCACAGCTATGTATAAATTCTGTATTGAACATATCACATATCATCATATCTTACATCATTACATAGTAAAACCCCATATAACACCTGCTCTATCAGTTGTATGTCATACTTATCCTTCAGCCTTCATCGTTCTGCACAAGATCTTCAACATACTCATCCCTTAACCCTCGTTCTGCACAAAATCTCCTGCATGGCGGGAGTTTTCCCAGCAGTTCCTCAAGATCAAATGACCTGTAGGCTAGCAGATGACACAAGTTATATTTGACAGGAATCATCTACTAAAAATTCTCATATAAACCATTTGTTTCCCGCTCCCTCCCATCCGATCTACTCATATTGACCATTATTATTTACCTCTGGATGTGGAATAAGTGGAAGCTGTCTTATATAATCTAGATATTGCTGATATGTTCCTTTTACTGGAGCAAAATACGATCCACTGGATGAAAACTTGTAAGTATCATCATCAATTATATTCTCACAGTAAAATATATCTAATATACTCATAATCAATCTTCTATCATAATCATCAGTAACACGACCACCATAATTACATTCACCAGTTAAATATTTCAATGCTTCTAAAGGTGCTTCTTCATAATCATTGATAAACATCTGAAACAGATCCGACCAGATTTCATAAAACATAACAATCACAGACACAGAATGAGGAAACTTGATTGTCAGTCTGGAGCTACCCAAAATTGACAGAATTGCAATCGAGTGATGCAGAATTCAGGCCTGTCACAGTTCTATCAGTCCCGTCACAGTTCTGTCAGTCCTGACAATGGAGATGGTGTAAGTAAAATGGTTAGTTGATATATATTCTTACGCCATTAGCACACCCATCATAGACCAAAATTCCCCTTTTCACTTGATTGTTACTATTTTTGGAATTGATAGAATTCAGTTCCGGAACATTCAATCAACAGAACTTTTGAAAATGGGGATAATTTGGGACACAAGCAACTAGGGAACACATCCCTGCATTCTACTCTGGATCAGCCTCTTAAATCATTCATTAACTACTACTAATTTCAGTGCAATTCCTTCACTTATTTTAGAATAGAAATAAATTTAAATACTGTACAATATGCATTACCAAAAACAGTGTATCTAAAATAGGATAGGCCTAACAACAGAAATCTCAATCTATGTTTATAAATATTGTAATAAAATGCATTCAAACCTCTAGTTGTCTGACTGAGATTCTGAGATCAGATTCGTTAAATTCATATGGTATATTCCATCCTAGAGCACCAAATTTTCTCCTCTCTTGAACCAAGGCATGGAAAAAACATAAACCAAATAATAGCTTCTCAAATACCTGAAATTATAAAATGATACATCAAAAGGAGAACGCTTGCAAAATATAATTTTATATCTATGTAGCTGTAAATGGTTACAATTAGGGACAACTAATGGTTATATTCTATTCAATACAATTAATACATGTTCAATACATGTTCAATACATGTTCAATACAAGTTAAATACAAGTTAAATACATGTACAATACATGTACAATACATGTTCAATACAAGTTCAAAAAGAAATGGAAAACTGATGAATCAAAGTAAGAATTCTTTCAAAATTTAATCTCTTTGTTACTACATGGACTTATTTTTTCAGGAATTTATCAAAGTTTACAGATTTCTTCTATACCAAATACATTGCACAAGCAAATTTTTTCCAATTTCTTGCACAGTAACTTAATACGAAATTTGTCCATACCCTAGGTTTAGTACAGTTGGCAAAGAACAAGGGATCAGAAATGGGATCATTGAGATATGATCGGAGCAAATTAGCTCGAAGACCTTTCGGTGGTTCGTTGGTCATCTTGACACCATTCTGTAGAACTGAGACAGGGAAGGCAGGTGATGGGTAACTTGTCAACCATAAACGGAATGTTGGTTGAGTTTTTGTAGCATCTGTAATCACCTGTTTTAAAAAGAGAAAATTTATTATATTTACTACTTTTAAATTAGGATACTTGTGTTGATTTTGTCATGGACCTTATAATACATGTACATGGAGCTTATAATACATGTGCATGGACCTTATAATGTATTACAAGGTCCATGTATTATAAGGTCCATGAATTTGTATATATGTGTGTTCAATTTACAATTGAAGACTCGCTTATTTCGAGATGCTGCGAGAATTACCTTCCTACTCACTGTGTATGTAACTATTTTCTCATCACTTTGAGTGTGCATTTGGATGAATTTGGCACTCTACAAGTGCACATTATGTCATTATTATTATGTGGTAAAACAGGTTATTGTTCTATGGCAAAAACATATCTAACAACTTGATTGTAAAGTATTTATCCATTTAGTATTAAGTAAGGAGGTTACGTTTATTCTTTCTAGAACATGTGATATCATTTCTAATTTATTTGAAGAAATGTTTTAACTAATTTTGTGATCTTACCGATTCACAGATTCTCTCGAGTTCTGGTAACCAGGAAGCAGCCAGATGACAATTCTGTAAAACAACCCATGTTCCATTCTCTAAAGCCTGAAAACATAAACATTTACACTTTGTTAATGTGGAAAATCTGATGAATAGAGATCCATGGAACAATTATATAATTTAAAGGAACATACTAGTATATGTGGAACATACTAAAATATGAAACATCCAGCTGGTTGCCCATCATATTTTGAATCACTTCATTCATACATGAGTTACAAACGAACAAGCCTTCCGCCATGCTGATTTGATGCATCCAATACTTTATCACTAATGCTGTGGTGTTTCTTGCTAATGCTGATAACTTTTGAATGAAGACATAAATAAAGAGTAAAAGTAATGGGACTGGAGTATGATCAATAGGAAGTACATTACTAGTTTTGTTTTTTCCATAACCTTTAATCCAATGAGATATAACATCATATCGGTGTCATTATCACTGTGAATCGTCAAACAGGCACCAGCTTAAACTCAAGTCTGAAAGGAGCTAACTAAAGTGTGAAATTGGGTAATCTGAGATATTATTTCAATTATCGATTAAGCAAGTTTAAAAAAATTAAGTGGAAAATTGGCTATATCTCAACATTGTCTTTATCTACAGATGTAAACAAATTCCAGGGATACATGTCTGGTGATTGATTGTATTGACAGTGTTAGGTGCTCCAAAATAAATGGAAAGTGGCTCAACAAATTTTACCTCTAAAATCATTTTCTCGGCTATGGGACCTTGACCCTGTCCTAGAGATATTGTCTGTAAACCTTTACTACCCATACCTGTAGGAAATTAATTATAATGTAGAGGTATTTAAATATCTAGCATATGTCAGCTGGGTTACTTTCAGATTAAATGAAATACAATCATAAAATAAATACCCACTTCAGTAAATGTATAAAACATGTTTCCAATAAGACTAACAAATAAAATCTTTTGTTTAAAAAAAAAATGATGTGTACGTTTTACGTACAAATCAATTTTAAATAATTTTTTTCATTAAAGAAACCATGAATTGACAATTCATAAAACTTTCTTTTAAAAAATAATTAATTAAACATCTGTTTAGTAATTTCAGTTATAATAAAATCAAATCAACAAAATTTCAAATCATTCACACCAAAAACATCATAGCGGAACAAATTAATAAAATAACATCAACTTTGTTAACACAATAACTTATTAGATATTAAAGGTTAGAAATTAATAAAAGTATCAAAATGTGTGACATTCAATCTGTAATACATTATTAACAATTAATAATAATTTCTTATATCAAATTCTGGTTTGTGGTTTAAAGGTTAAACTTATAACAGAAATTCAATTATAATCATGCTTTATAGCATGCAATAAAACATTTCTTTTTACCAGTTCCATAATAATACTGTTAAGCTAGGCTGTAAATAGAAATGGACAGAAAAGTCACACCAACAAATATATATTAATTAATCCCATTTATTTTCCACTATTGGAACCTTATGTAGGAAACCCAGAATGTGCTATAACCAGGCCTGGAACTGCTGGTACCTGATATTTTTAATTTGGTGCCAGACATGTATTAGAAATATGAACAAAAATACAAAACACAGGCAAATCTGTGACTTATAAAAACACAGGTACCTGCAGAATAGTGCTAGACATAGCCTAGATTTTTACCTGACATTGTCTCTAACAGGAATCTTATTTCCAGGCGTGGCTAGCATACACATAGCCACTGAAAGATTATGAGAAGAAAGAGAGATAGAGACAGCAATGGGGTTTAACATCCACTCAACACAAAGTAGGTAATTTTAGGACTAACAGGTTGAACAGGCGACCCTAATCCTTGTCTTGTACAAGCGGGTAATCGAAACCATGCAACATGACTCAATGACAACCCTTATGATGCAATGCGCATGTGTTAACCATTCGGTCAAATGTCCCCACTGAAAGAAGACTTTATGACATTTATTTGCTTCTGATCTAAAGTTATTGATGAAAGTTAGAAAAAAAAAGTATGATCATACTACCGACCAGGAGCTGACCATTTTTAACCAGCGGCTGCCAGGCAGGATACGCTCACATTTTCGAGAGATGGATAGAGAACAAGCTAAAAAGAAAGTGATTTTTCGTACAATCAGGGGCCATAATTCAGGCAGTTACGGTCCGATATGCGCGAATATCGAAAGGAACCGAGATCTTTGGATTATAAACTTACATTTCAAGTTTCAACAAAATTGGATAAAAATTGTGACCTCTATAGGGTCCACAACCTTGATATACCATATTTTTTACGCTATTTGAGAATGAAGGGCAGCCATTTTGTCTGTCAGTTTTGGGCCGATCTTCACAAAATTCCAACTCAGTCGTCCTTAGGGTCTAACGGTGATATAATAATACGTTTTTTTAAATCGGATAAAAATTATGACCTCTATAGGGTCCACAAGCTAAAATCGCGATTTTGCGTACAATCAGGGGCCATAATTCAGGAAGTTACAGTCCAATATGCGCGAATATCGAAAGGAACCCAGATCTTTGGGTTATAAACTTACATTTCAAGTTTCAACAAAATCGGATAAAAATTGTGACCTCTATTGGGTCCACAACCTTGATTTCCATATTTTTACGCTATTTGAGAACGAGGGGCGGCCATTTTGTCTGTCAGTTTTGGGGTGATTTTCACGACATTCGAACTCAGTCGTCCTTAGGGTGTAATGGTGATATCATAATACGTTTTTTTAAATCGGATAAAAATTATGACCTCTATAGGGTCCACAAGCTAAAAACGCAATTTTTCGTACAATCAGGGGCCATAATTCAGGAAGTTATGGTGCGATATGCGCGAATATTGAAAGGAACCAAGATCTTTGGGTTATAAACTTACATTTCAAGTTTCAACAAAATTGGATAAAAATTGTGACCTCTATAGGGTCCACAACCTTGATATACCATATTTTTACGCTATTTGAGAACGAACGGCGGCCATTTTGTCTGTCAGTTTTAGGCCGATTTCCACGAAATTCGAACTCAGCCGTCCTTTGGGTTTAACGGTGATATAATAATACGTTTTTTTAAATCGGATAAAAATTATGACCTCTATAGGGTCCACAAGCTAAAAACGCAATTTTTCGTATAATCAGGGGCCATAATTCAGGAAGTTACGGTCCGGTATGCGCGAATATTGAAAGAAACCCAGATCTTTGGGTTATAAACTTACATTTCAAGTTTCAACAAAATCGGATAAAAATTGTGACCTCTATAGGGTCCACAACCTTGATATACCATATTTTTACGCTATTTGAGAACGAACGGCGGCCATTTTGTCTGTCAGTTTTGGGCCGATTTTCACGAAATTCGAACTCAGCCGTCCTTTGGGTTTAACGGTGATAATATAATAATACGTTTTTTTAAATCGGATAAAAACTATGACCTCTATAGGGTCCACAAGCTAAAAATGCAATTTTTCGTACCATCAGAGGCCATAATTCAGGAAGTTACGTTCCGATATGCACGATTATCGAAATGAACCGAGATCTTTGGGTTATAATCATACATTTCAAATTTAAACCAAATCGGATAAAAATTGTGACCTCTACTGTGTTCACAAGCTAAAAACGTGATTTTTCGCACACAATCAGGGGCCATAATCCATGAAGTTACAGTCCGATAAATGCCAATATCGAAAGGAACCGAGATCTTAGGGTGATAAACCTATATATGAAGTGTCATTAAAATCGGATAAAAATTGTGACCTGTAGACTGTTCACAAACAATTGTGGACGGACGTCCGGACGGAAGAACGGACAGGGGCGACGACAATATACGTCCACATGAAAATGTGGGCGTATAAAAATCTAATTGACCAAATCCTTACAGAATTGTTCAAAGAACAAGAATGCAAATTTTCATATCGATCAGATTTGAAATGACAGAGCCTTATGCTTTTTCGAAGAGTGTTACCCCAAGAAGAAGATGAAGAAGAAGATGAATAGCAGTTAGCGACCAGTTCCTGGTCCAAATATCTTTACAATTTAACCATCAGGAATATTAAAATTATATGATTATAAAACTAAAATAATGTTGAAGCATTTAGCCTGGTTTCATCTATAATCTATGCAAATAAAAATAAACGGACTAAACTAATGGAAAATTAAAATAATAAATTGGGTAATATGGAACAAAGCAAAGCTTTTTTGGGCTTTTTATAGACTTTGTCAGGGTTAAAAGAAATCTGTTACAATCTGCTTTTAAAGAAATGATATAAAATATACATGAAATTGTAAAAAATATTTTTATTACATTTTTAAAATGACATCTGAAATTGAAATGTTAAATAAAATAATTTTGAAAAAAGCTAGCGTTTAGCATAATATAATATATGCTATTTTTAGAAGCAATCTACGAGTTGTCTTAGATTATCGTCATACGCTTTGCTTCTTCTTCTGGGTCATCAACTGGTAATATTGACATTCTACGACTAGCTTGACGTACAGGCTTCTTCTTGATTTTCTTGGCTTTTTGCACAATTCCTACATTGCGATAAGATTTGTATTATTCTTGCAATGTACAGTGTCACAAATTTTGTTTAGGAATCTTAAATGGTTTCAGTCTGTGGATTTAGTGTTTTTGTTCTGGTTTCCTTAACTACACTAGTCATAGAACTAGTATATGGTACTTAAAGTTATTCATGTGACTTTGTTTGAGGTAGGGATGCTGTTGCAACCATATATGCCGGACATGTCCAACATGAGTTAGCAAACGTCCAGCTGAGAATATACTGAATGGACATCAAGATATGGTGAATCATATTCAAAATTCCAAAAAATAATGACTGTACGGTTTGAGGTGCTAGAGGGAGTAATAGTTTTGGGCAATTCAAATGTCAGTGGGCTAATAGCATATTAATGAACAAAACTATAACAACCTACTGATAAATAGCAATTTTGCTTTAAAAAATGATCAAATTCGAATGATAAACAATGCTTCAGTTCTCTTCTATCATTAATTTAGCCAGCTCACCATAATGCTAAACTCAAAACTGAATCAACTACAACCAATAATAAAATAACTATCAAAATCATTTTTTTAAAAATAGCAATCTACAGCAAATCAAAAACACTAACATCACATAAATTCTTTACTATCTAGCCAGCAAAATGCCAAACAATTATAAAATACATACTTCAACTTCCGTACTCACAGTTTATTTTTTTTTAAAAAATACTTTTCAAGTAAAATTTAAGCAAATTTTTAACCAAACGATGATTTTTTAAAACAAATATAAAAATTTGTAGAGTATATAAAATTACCTTTTTCTTCTGCAAATCGATACAAGCCAGCCATTGGATCTGCTCCGGGAGACAGAACAAAGATGAGAGGAGAGAAACAATTTGAATCTTGGTAACAAAGTGATAGGTCAAAGGTCGGTGGTTCTATATACAACTGACCCATTCTATCAGCTATATATCTCTGTATGGCTGGCACCATCTAAAAACAAAATTGTTTAATATATCTATTTTTCAATAAAAAAATGGGTTGGGAGAAGCATATATGATCGCACTGCCAGGCGAGGCATGCACCTCCGCAGTATCGGGAGATACCTGTATCACTATAATGTCAAGAGATATATGCATCACTTTGATGTATCACTGGAATATCAGATAACAATTGCATCAGTGCAATGTCAGTTCATACAGTTATATCGGTACCATGTCAGGAGGCACATGAAAGATGGAAAAGCAGTATTGTGATGTACCACTGCATAGCCAGATAACCTCTGCTCACTACAGCGTTAAAAAATACAGTTATCGGTGCAATGTACAGAGGCACATACAGGATTTATATGCAGTAGTGTGATGTCAGTAGATACACCATAATAACTGAAGACACATGTCAATGGATATCTGTATTATTGCACTTAATCATTTAATAGTTTTCAATATTAATGTTTTACAATTTCAAGATAAAACATTTCATATTTATGAAGTCCACAACCCAACATTTCATCAATATTAATGTTTTACAATTTGAAGATAAAACATTTCCTATTTATGAAGTCCACAACCCAACATTTCATCAATAACCCTTATTTTTCAATGATATTTTGAATTTTTACAACAAAGTAAGAAATATTTTTAGTCAATGTCTAATTATGTTATTTCTATTTGGTCAGAAAATTTGACAAACCTTATCTGGTCTGAGACAGCGTAATACTATCAACTCTTCTAGATCAGTTAATTTATCACACCATGGTGTTGGTAAGGTCTCTGTGTGAGGTGTGGCTGAATCATAAATCATCTTCCAGTCATCAATCTGCAGCAGAAACATAATCATTTTATAACAACTCACCCACCAAACATGTTACATTGTTGACCAGGAGTACAAGAGAAGTGGTTTGTTGGCCAAGTGGTCTAATGCATGCAGTTTAGATCATAAGGTCTGTCATTGAGTCAAGTGATGTCATTTCAACCAAAGCTTAACCTCAAGAGTTTTCTCTGAGACCTCTGGTTTCTTCCTACTGCTAGAGATTCCTGCGTGCAAGAGATCATCCTCCCTCACAGATAAAAGAAGTGATATAGAGGCAATGATACCCCCACCCCAAACAAAAAATATAGACAACTCATCAACGCCACTTCACAAACTACCAGAAAATTTTACATTCTCAGATATATTAGGCAATTTCAAAAAAAGGAGAAATACCTGTTTTTGAAAATGATCCATGAATCCCTTAAATGCTGGAAGTGAAGAAGCACGAACAATCTCAGCCCAGGATTTATCAGCTAACCAGGAGGCAGCAGGATTTGGGAAGGGGTTCTCTAAAGCCACACCTCCTGTTAGTAAAAACCTCCAGTCCTGGTCATCTATATCACCTCTAAATAAAAACATTTTAAAATATAATTTAAAGGAAAAATTACTCTTAGTACCACTAATGACTTCTACGTGCTAAGTGAATTATTGAAATATAATTGAACCATGTTAGTACTGAAATGATTTAGTTTGTGTCTAGTGGACTTTAAACTCCATTTGTCTCTCTATTGATTTTTCATGGTAATCCCACTTTTATCACCAAAAGATCAATGTTATAAATCTGACATCTTACCTCCCTTTCTCTAAACCAATGCACAGTAAAAAGGAAAAGAGCAATTTATCCTTCTCAAACAAAGAGCGGCAGACATTTTTATAAATACTGTAGGTCAGATGTTCTCGTAAATTATTTATTCTTTCCCACAATTCATCTGATTTATCGCTGTTGATGATTGACTGAAAAAAATAGAATATGTATATGAACTTATAATGGTTTTTATAAATAATTTGTATTGTCATTTCAATCAATGGCATAGGCTTAACTGAAATACTGTGCCCATTAAAAAGGGGCAGGACAACTTAAAAACACTATGTTTTCCACTCGGCAAACATCGGCAGATTCCGGTACCCTACATCTAGCCTAGGCTGTATGACGGTTATTGATATGTACCTACGCCTATACAACAGCGATGCAGCACCAGTTTACTTATTAGGAAAAGTTGCCGCTTTTAGAAAGAAGTTCTTACAATTACCTCGTTCCAAGAGTGTGTAGAATATTCAGTGCAAACTTGTCATTGTCTAAAGAAAATCGGATAAACTTGAGAGAAAAACAGCTTCATACTTCGAAATCTTTGTATGATAAAACATTCTTCAAAGGCGTCGTCATGGGCAACGCCATTGGTAATCTGGGAACTTGAAAGTAGTTTCAATGGCGGACTTCGGCATACAGCCGAGGCTAGATGTAGGGTACTGGAATCTGCTGAGGTTAGCCGAGTGTATTTTTTCTGCATAAAGTTGGGCTCTAATTATTGTTTTTGTATTCCATGCACCAGAAATCACCACAGACACAGTCATTTAGTGATTTTGTCAAAATTTTCTTACCGAAAAGAACCCTCTCCCCTTACACATGTCCCCTCGGCCCTCAAAAAATCCTGGCAACGCACCTGGGCTAAAGATAATATTTGCTTGTAAATATATCTTACCTGATGATATAAGTTTATAAACCATGTTAATGAATACTGGTACATAGGATCTATATTAGCGAGATCCGAGATGGTAAAAAATAAAATACTTCCATGATGAGCAACCTACAACAGAAAACAATTTATAACGTCTGAATTAATAGAAAACATGTTATCAAATCATCACATCATGGTTTATGGACCAGGAACAGATCCCCATCTTGATGTTATTGGGGTTGACACTCTGTGAAAAAGCCTGAGGGTCCACTAATTTATGTACGATCGACAATTCTGCATCGATTGACAGATTTCGATTTTTGATATGACACAATTCCAAGATGGCTTTGATGACATCACACTTGGTTCCTGGCCCATAGTATACCTGTACTAGTTTCTTTAATGTATCCTGGAGGTCGGGTGTTCGATCCCTGCATTGGCCGAGAAAGTTCATCCAGATTTTCCGACGTGGTTTCCCCTTGTCAGTGGTGCAGAACGGAGGGCCTGACAAAGACAGCTGTCTAGTCCTTCGGATATATATTGGGCCCGTGTATATATTGGAATGCACGTAAAAGATCCCCTGGCAGTTGGAATTTGATACAAGAGTAGGCGATAGTGCCGCTGCCCGGGCAAAATTTCCCTCATAGCACACTGTATGGCATATGCCGATTTTCATTAGCCCAGGTTAGGAGCAGAACAGTAGGACATTAAACCCCATTTCATTTCATTTCATTTCTTTAATGTATAGAATTTAACCACTTATAAAGTATAGAATGTTCTCTTCCAGCTTTATTTCACTATGCAACAGATGTGATATGTAACACTGTGTAAGGAACAAATCAATTACAAATGGTAAAATTATCCAGTACTTACAGGTTTATAGCCATTTCTAACGCCATCAATTTCTGATTCTGTTTGGGAAGCTATTTGTTGTTTCTGTGAAATTTCTTCTGATAAAACTTTACTAGATGATAAAATATTGATAGCTGTTTCATCCTCTAAAATATTACCCTATAATAAGAAAAAATAAATGTTGACATAAATACAATTTAAATTTGAACTTCATTTTTGTCTGCTGGCTAAGACCAATTGGTAGGCCTATATGTGATCAGCTTTGAAACATATGTTGCAGTCCACTTATTTGAGATACAGCAAGAAACATGCAAAAAAAAAATGCCTTTTTTTCTGAAATGGTAACTATATTTTGCATTACAAAGTTTACTCCATGTCACCCCCAATGGCCAAAACTTCAAGAGAAATGCACAAAAAATGCTTTTCTGTGAGTCTACAAGATGTTGTTTCTCTGTGATGAGTCTCCAGGATGTTGTTTGTGTGTTGTTTCTCAGTGATGAGTTTACAGGATGTTGTTTGTGTTTTGTTTCTCCGTGATGAGTCTCTAGGATTTTGTTTGTGTGTTATTTTTCTGTGATGAATCTCCAAGATGTTGTTTGTGTGTAATGTAATGTTTCTCAAGGATGTTGTTTGTGTGTTGATTCTCTTTGGGGAGTCTCCAGGATTTTGTTTGTGGTTTGTTTCTCAGCAATGATTCTCTAGGATTTTGTTTGTGTGTTATTTTTTTCTGATGAGTCTCCAGGATGTTGTTTGTGTGTAATGTAATTTTTCTCAGGGATGTTGTTTGTGTGTTGATTCTCTTTGATGAGTCTCCAGGATTTTGTTTGTGGTTTGATTCTCAGCAATGATTTTCTAGGATTTTGTTTGTGTGTTATTTTTTCCTGATGAGTCTCCGGGATGTTGTTTGTATACGATTTTCTGTGATGAGTCTCCAGGATGTTGTTTGAGTGTTGATTCTCTGTGATGAGTCTCCAGGATGTTGTTTGTTAATGTTTTTTCTGTGATGGGTCTCTAGGATTCTGCTTATGTGTTTTTTTCTCGGTGCATCTCCATGTCCATTTGAGGTACAATCTCAGTCAGAAGAATCAGATGAAAGGTCTGAAACTTACCAACTTCACTTTATTAATATTGACATACCTGAGATGAGGAGAGAACTTCTAGAATTTTATCTTCAATTTCCTTTAATTGTCTTTTATTATAAGCACTTTCTACAATCAATTGATTTTTCTTTTCTTCTAATTCTGGTTTTTCCTTGGCTGCTACAATACCTAGTAACTGATCCTGTAGACCAAGTGGTGTGATCATAAAATTTAACAATGTTACCTGAAACAAACATGACTAGTTATATCATTTGAAAAAGATGATAAAATATCTGGCAAATCCAGCAAAATTTTTGAATTTAAAAGGGATAATGGAATGGTTTTTTTTTCATCAACTGTGTGCTATGAGGGAAATTTTGTCCACACAATGTTGTTTTCACATAATTTTCATCGAATTCCAACAGTCAAGGGTTCTTTTACATTATTGCCAGGACCTCCATCATGCACCAATGATAAGGAGAAACCATGCCGTAATATCCTGAGGACCAAATCCAGGACCTCTGTGACATCACGGCTTACTCACTGAGCCACCCCTTAAAGCGAAGGCTATGGTTTATTGATTGAACAGAAAATAGATTAAAACATCAGTTAGAAGAGAAATACCAACCTTCACAGAAACTTCAGGTAAATAATGTGGATTCCTAAGTCTTGTTGTGATATAGAACTGGAAGCCCTGACTGTACTCTATGATATGTTCACCTAGACGTATATAATCTATATTATTCTGAAACAAATAATTTATGCTTTTAGCCTGAAGCATTACAATATATGAGCAGCCGATGAGGCAATAATAATTTATATAACTAAAGCTTTGAAAGCGTAATATATAGCCAGCCATAAGCAAAATATAAGAAAATACTACATTGCTACTTACTCTTTAATATTTCTCAATATGAGGCCAAACCAATTGTAGTTTTTAATAAATATTGTTTTGTTAAAATTACAAAACTTAATAATTTAAAGCTTTTTGTTTTTAAATCATTTTTTGATAGGTGTTTCCAGAAAATCAAATGTAAATTGGTGTGAACAATGTGGAGTCTAAAATGTTCCAATCTGACCAGATCTGTTCTTAGATATGGATCTTATATTGTATCATACAGTCAATAATACTGATCAATACATACAACACAAATCAGTAAACTTTCTAGCAAATTTCTCTTGGTGACTTAACCCGTTAAGGGTGACGTTTTTAAAACGTTAACTACCCCCTATTGTGTAATTAATTTGACGAAATGACGAAGAACTATGTACTATGTTCTAAGATTAGGTTGGGGAAATTACCTCCAAGGCATTATATTATGCCCTACACACAGTGAGTGGCAGTTGTCCAGGACATAATATAACGTCCTACACAAGCTGCGATCGTGGGGGAATTCCCAAGGGATTCCCCAAAGTGACGAACTATGTTCTAAGAATATGTTGGGGAAAATAACTCCAAGGCGTTATATTATGCCCTACACAGTGAGTGGCAGTTGTCCAGGAGGTTATATAACGACCTACGCACTTAACAGGTTAATTACTATGGATATTACCATATATGGTGGATGCAGAAAGTGAACGAGAAAAATGTCAGTGATAAAAAGAATTAATAGTACCATGATTAAATTGTGGATTGATGATTAGATTGATGATTAAATTGTGGATTGAGGATTAAATTGTGGATTGAGGATTAAATTGTGGATCATACAGGTTGCTACTTATGATGTGATAAATGCCTTTAAAAACTGGAAAAAGAAATCCAAGTGCAGAATGGTAAAAAGGGGTGTTTCAAATTATTTGGAGATTTCAACTTAAAGAAGGAAACAATAAGGGATAAACAATTTTGTTAGTTGATATTCTTGATACTGGTAATATGACTGTGCTATATGATTTATAGGCTAAATACTTGTATTGTTGTTTAACATACGGGCAGCCAATCGAACAGAAATATAAATATCCATTTGACAGAGTAAATACACTGTTTTATTTCTATGCAGTGTCAAATGCAAAATTTCAACAATGAGTCCAAACAAATATTCCGTGGAACTGGGTGGGTTGGTTGAATGATACTGCAGATAGAAAATCATAAATTAAATGTCAGTAATTTACTATTTAAAATTGTTTATTTGGGAAATATGTCATCATTTTCTCACTGCATGTGGGTGGGACGAGATCTATTCGCGGGTTATTCATTTGGACGCTAGTGTTGAAATTTTGAGATAGTCCCTAAAAATAATAGAATTTTACCTTGATCTGTTAGATAGTAAGGTTAAATAGAAGCAGTGTGCAATAATAATATATGTTTTATTTTTTGATTATATCACCTGGGTATGGGTATTTTATTAGTTGGTTACCTGCTTTATGGGGGGGGGGGAAATAATATGGTTGTTATGGTATATAATGTAGGATAAATGCTGAATATTTCCGATTAAGACAAAGTGAGATTTCAATGAAGAAGGGGGTATGGGGTATTTTGTTAGTTGCTTATTTTTTGTTGATAATATGGTTGTTATGGTATATAGGATAAATATTGAATATTGAGATTTCCATGAAGAAGGGTATGAGGTATTTTTTTAGTTGGTGATAATATACATGTATAGGTATTGATAAATATTTACAACATTAAATACATTACACTATGACTACTTACTTGACCTGGCTTTAAAAAACAAACATTAACATTAGTCTGTTGAATTAGGTATTTCATTCAAATGTAAAATTATTTGTTTAAAAAACACATTTAAGGATAAAATGAGAGAGACAAATGGGGTTTTAACGTCCACTCAACACAAACTTGGTCATTTCGGGACTAACATATGGTTCAATTTTATTTCAATAATTTGCTTGCGCGTAGGGGTCTTTAGCATTAGGAGGAAACCGGAGGACCAGTTTGGACAGGTGACCCTCCTCCTTGTCACGTACAAGTGGGGAATCGAAACCATGCCAAGTGACTCAATGACAGACCTTCTGATCCAACGTACTTTTATTGTCTGCAGAGGATGCCAAATCTTGTGAAATACACAACAGAATTGAACCATATTTGGATTCAATCAGATATTAAAAAATGGCCGATCAAAAGACTAGACTACTTATAGGTGGCACTGGCTTGTTTATTTTGTCTGCAGAGGATATGATTGACAGCAAGATCTTAAATTTATTAAGTTTAAATACTACAGTTACCAAATACTAAAATATGCACATTAAAATTCACAATTATTTTCATGTCATCATATACTGAAATGTCCAAATACTAAAATAGCTTATTAAAATGTCATCAAATACTAAAATAGCTACACTAAAATGTCATCAAATACTAAAATAACTACATTAAAATTTGCAACTATTTTCAAGTAGTCAAATACTAAAATAGCTACATTAAATACTCATGTTGTTAAATACTAATGTTGTTAAACTAACCTGTTTAAAAGTCTGTTTGAGTAAAATTGGTTCTAAAATTGGGTCAAGTTCTTCTCCTACATTCTCCAGTAAACATGGATTACCAAACTAAAATAAAAAATTAAATATAATCATTTCTGGTGATTCTTATGTTCTATGACCCATTTCAGAAACAGAGGTTTTAAACCTTAACTTTAACAAGTTATACCATATGTATAGGAGTATAACATTACACTGTCAGTATCCCGAACAAATTCAGTATCCAAACTGAAGACTTATTGGGTCTCCCTTGGATTTCATCAGTGAGCCGAGGTGACTCAGTAAGTAAGATACTGACTCGCTAAACAAGCGGTCTCGGGTTTGCTTTCAGTGTTGGCCGAGAAAGCCCTGGATTTTCCGGACTGGTTTCCCCCTTGCTAATGGCCCAGTTGGTGTAGAAAAGTAGGACGTTAAACCCCATTTTATCATGAATGTGATCAAAATATATTACCCAATGTTTACCTGTAAACAGTTTTCTAGACATCTGATATAGTTGGGATCATTTGGTTTAACTATTTCTAATTTATTCGCCTTTTCCATATTCTTTATCCATTTATTGGCCTGACCTTGTGGGTCAATCATTAAAGGCCAACGATTGGCTGACATCACAATTATAGCGTTATCTGTTGAATAACTGGAAGAAAACACAAAGGCAGAATGAATTAATATTATAAATATCATATCATTTTTCTGTTTATTAATTGTTTCAAAACTGGGGAAATTTTTCTAATAAATATTTATGGAACTGGAAATCTTTAAGTGGCTGGTAGCAGGTCTTTCTATGGACCTGAAATGTTATATAAACTATTAAATAGACATTTATTAACATTAAAAGACCTTAATCAACTCTCGATGCGATCTTATGTGTCGGATTTTCATTGGATTTGAACCTGATTTGCTGCTCAATGCTCATCAATGATTTAATCCAAAAATGGATAATCGAGACTATGTTTTTTATCGTACCGACTTTAGTAATGATGAACAAGGCTAGGCCTAAAATTTAAACGCTAATGAAAGTTTCAGCATATTCCCTCTATATTATCTAATTATAGTGAGAACTGCCAGCAATTTATCTAATCTTCAATAATGTCCCTTTAATATATCATTAAATTCTATCATTGTATAAAAATATAACTTACTTATCTACAGGTAGACCAGCTATTTGCCAGTCACGAATCTGAACCGGATCACCTAGTGTTCTATTTAATGAAAATATCTCTGATACAGGTATACCTTTATCTTTACACATAGAATACCATTCCTTTATAGCAGTCTACAATCAAATATTATTTGTAAAGTAAGGGTCATTGACAATTACAGCACTACTATGAAATAATATTGTGTCTTTCTTAAAATTAGAACAAGGAATAGGGAGCCAAGGAGCCACGGTGGCTAAGTGGGTAAGACGATGTCTCACATGTTCGATCCCTTCATTGGCAGAGAAAGTTCATCGGGATATTCCGACGTGGTTTCCCCTGATGATGGAGGGCCTGACAAGGACAGCTGTCTAGTTGTTCAGATGGGACAGAGGTTCTGTGTATACATTGATGTGCACATGAAAGATCACTTGGCCGTTGGAATTCAATATAAGAGTAGGCCAGAGTACCGCTGCCCAGGCAAAATTTCCCTTATAGTACACTGTATGGGGTATGTCCGTCTTCATTAGCTTAGCCAGAGCAGAACAGTAGAACGTTAAACCCCATTTCATTTCATTTCATTTCAGAACATGGAATAATCCTTGCTGAACAGAAGTACAGACTGTATGCAGAAAAATAACCCCAGATTTTCTATTTTTGTCTACTCTCTCTGTATGCATCAGCTTTTTGATCCATCTTGTCCAGCCTTTGCTACTCTGTTAGGGGAGTATTGCCGATTCCCTGCTTGAACAAATAAGATCTTCACATTGGTGTAGTCAGACGACTAAGAAGCTCAGACCATAATCAAATATTTCGTTTCTTGAATAATACAATCTTAGGGTCTCAGCAGGGGGGAATGTCATGACAATTTGATAAATTGTGTTTTATCTGACAAAATGCAGGAATTAATACAATGACACTCTGTTTAGCAAAATTAATATAAAAATAATCTAGCCTACCTGTCTATAGTCAAGAATAAAAGGTCCTAAATAGGCAACAACACTGGCAGATAGTAAAACATCTCCAACTATATTCATATATGTTTCTGTTAACGTTTCGACATTCTGCATACAAAAAAAAATATAATAATCAAAATATAAATAAACCATTAAATCAAAATAATAGTTTGTGATAATAATGGGGCTTTTTAAAGGATACATTGGAAGCTAAAAATCACGAAAGTCTTTACCTGTGTCCATCGAACTTTTTCACCTCCTAAACCACTTATCAACTTTTCTGCTCTTTCTATCTTTATTTTAGTTAATTCTATATTCTCTTCTAGATTCTACAAAATATAAATCATTATAAAATCAATTTACCTGATATCTAATCATCCATTCTTAGAACACCACTTTTGATTAGGAATTTTACATAATCAGCAGTTTTTGTTATACTCTTATAGCTTTGCTGATGTTATAACATTATAAGTGCCTACCGGTATTCAGTCAGCTTTATGTAAATTATTCACAAAGCCCTACAACCTAGCACACACAGTATTTTCTTTTGCAATTTTTAAGCGATTTTTAATTGTCAACATATTGCTAAAAACAATTAAAAACGTCTCATGTGCATGTCTTTGCAACAGCAAAGGATATCGGCTCTTTTGATTGTCAGATCAGCACAAGATAAAATATCATGTGATCTCACAAAATGCTGGTATGCAGATTTGTGAAAACGTAACACCTAACACCCTTGCCCACCAACTGCATGTAGGCTTACACATATCTCTGGGAATTCAACAGCATTGCTAGTTGCCTAAAAATCGTGTATGGGAGCTAGATTTTATACTGTTATTTTTAAATGAATATTATACTTACTGTTTTTTCTGTTTGTTTTTGAGCCAGATGATCATTCAATGTTTGTAATTTGTCTGTAACTTGTTTTAATTCAGCCTGGGTTTGATGTAACTTGGCCATTTGTTCTGATAAAACTCCTTCAGCTGTGGCTAGACTCTTCTGTTTTGGCGCCACTACCTGAATTAAATAATATACATCAATGAATGTGCTTATTTAGTCACATCGTCTTACACTTGCATATAATTTTCTATAGGATTTTAAGTAGACTGATTTACATATTTGATACAATCACATGATTTTTTGGATGTATAGAATTAAATTTCTGTACGGTTAAATATAATCAAATGGTTTTGCAATGGACAGAATCAGATGTTTTTGGGGGTGGACAGAATTAGATTGTTTTGGAGTGGATAGAATCAGATGGTTTTGTAGTGGACAGAATCAGATGGTTTTGGGGTAGATAGAATCAGATGGTTTTGGAGTGGATAGAATCAGATGGTTTTGTAGTGGACAGAATCAGATGGTTTTGGGGTAGATAGAATCAGATGGTTTTGGAGTGGATAGAATCAGATGGTTTTGGGGTGGATAGAATCAGATGGTTTTGGGGTGAATAAATTCAGATGGTTTTGAGGTTTTGGGGTGGATAGAATCAGATGGTTTGTTTTTATATGGGCTAGACTTTGACTAAAGTAATCTCAAAAAAATTCTACAGGGTTTTCCGGTCCAGCTTATTTTCTCAAGCATATATATTTAATTTGTAAGATTTGCCATGAATTTTCTGGGAAGTTTGAACTAGAAAAATTTGGGACAGATATCCAATCCACAACCGAGATATTGACATTTTAACTGTTCATTTATAAATTGTACAAACCTTTTACTTTCCTGATGGGAGTGATAAGTTATCTTTAAATTAAAATAAAGAATCAACATACCTTTATAACACTATCATAGATATCCATAGCACGGACCCAACGACATAAACCTTCACAAGCTGATGACACATTCTTTATAATAGCTGGATCAAAATCAGGATTTGATGTGTATTTTTCTCGTATTTTCTTCATGATGGAACCAGCAATGTTATCTTTATCATATTCTTTCAATGAATCTAAAAACTTCATGTCATTTAACATCTGAATTAAAAAAATACAAAATTCTAGTTTCAAAATTTTGACTCTTTTTAAAACTATTATGGGAGAACAGAAAGATAATATCTGATGACATACATCCTTTTTGTACTCTCCAAATATGTCTGACTGTCAAAACCTTTGGTGAATCCAGGCTGGGGCCCTAGCCCCCCCCCCCCCTCACCCCACCCCCTCTAAATAACAGTATAAAAATTCACTTACTATTCTGTTTCTATGAAATCTGTAAATTTGATTTTTTTTTTAGGTTGGGGTCAAGATAAGCACCACAAATGACCTTGAACAACCTGAATTTTTAAAGTTTTCACAGGTCTCCCAGCCCTCTACCTAACCAAATTGTTTGTTTTATAATAATCAAATCAAACTGACTATATTTAGAAGCTTATTATATTGGTAGGATGTTAATGTATTAAAGAAATACAAACCCTTTTAGCTGCCGGCCAATAATCTTCTATAGCTTTACCACTAGGATCAGTCTTTCTTTCTGGTTTTATACCCTTTACAAAATAGAAACAGGATTACCAGCATGTGCAAATCTTTTTCTGAAGTTTTAGGATTGAAAAATAATAACTGTCAAAAGAGGATATCTAAAAAAATTAATAAATTTGGTTACCTTCATGATACAGACAGATTCCATGACAAGTTTAACTCCTTGTGGTGGGTTTAACATAGTTTTGACAAGAGATATATCATTTTGTTTTAACGTATCCAGGGCAGCAATAGCAGCATTTAAAGCTGGCATAGCAACAGCTAATTTTTCTTCACATTCAATCTATCAAAATACAAGAACAATCATATTAGAATAATAGGACAATAAACAAGAAATCAGCTTGCAAATAGAATTGCCATAATTTTCTCGGCACATTTTTATCATTTAAGTAATAATACACTGAGTTCCTCAGGATTTTTTCAGAGATTTACCCTGGCCAGTAGGTCTGGACATAAGGTTTGGCAAGGAAAGGAAAGAAAAGTCCAAATGTTCGGAAGCTATGATAAAAACCAGATCAACCTGTGTACTCGTTGACATACACATAAAAGAATCCTTGGAATTTGATGATGTCGATTGTCGTCGACATCACTTCCGTGTGCTATGAGGAAAATTTAGCCCAGTGTCCTGCCCCACTGACAAAAGGACCACTCTGGAGATTCCGGAGAAACGAAAATTTGTAAAGCTCCTCTCAATATCTAGAGACACCAGAAAGAACCAGAATCTGTACAAATCTTCGTATCAAATTTAAATCATATAATAGTCTTTGAAATTCTGTCCAACAGAGTAACTTACTTTGATAGATCTGGCCTCCTCAGCTGATTTATTGGCAACAGCTTCATCTTCTTCTACAAGTTTCTTCTTAGCTTCAACTTCTATTGTCTCCCCTTCTATTATAACAATCAGTTCCTCTGTTTCCTCACTTGTTTCTATCAGTTTAGGTTGTAATTCAACCAACTCAGTCTGCATAACACTGATCTGTAATATAAAAAAGTCTCTTTAATACATATGAAGGTTACTGTAGTTCAAATGATGTATTTCACATGAGATTTAATATAATTTGTTTGGTATATCAAGTGATATTTACTGAAATAAAGGAGATATTGCTTCAATTTATTCAGATTGACATGTTTTTCCATTTTTACGTTGAAATATAATCTCAGATTTGTCCATTTTGATATCAGGTATTCTACAACTCATCAAGTCACTTAGATTTTAGTGACTTGATAAACCTGTATTTAATATCAAAAGGACAAACTACATGTAGAAACAAACAGTACTAGATATTTTTTTTGTTGACACAAGATGATCTTAGAAATCAAAAATATATACCTGTTGTTCTGAGAATTCCAGTTTCTCTAAACCAACCATATAACGATTCTTTAATGTGAGGATTTCAAATCTTTTTTTATTGAGCAGATTTTTAAATGTTTTAATAAGTTCTAGATATGATGTTGGTGTTACATAATTTCTTCTTCTCATGGTATCATAATATCTGTAAAAAAACAAAAGAGTTATAAAAAGAATTGTTTGTTGTTGATTTTCCATGACACATGAATGATCAGACATCAAGGTACTTTCTTGACAAACGTTTTAACAAGCTTAAAAAATCCTAAACTTCTACACAATTAATGATGGGAATGTTAATTACTTTCAAAACTACATTTTTAAAGACATCATAGCAACAAATCTAGTCTATTTATGAGGTTTGTTATAAAAATATGTACAAAGTGAATTTAAAAATTATGATCAACTAACTTTGTAGAGAGAGCTCGAACACTTTGGTGAAAATGTTTACACATAACAACGGTTTCTTCTCTGACTTCCTGTGTCATTTCAACGTCATCTAGAAACTTATTAGCCACCAATTCCAATGCATCTTCTGGCCATGCCTAAAAAAATAATTATGGTACATTTCATATTAATTCTGCAGTGTTTTACCCGACAAGATATAGTTTGTTATCGCATTCTATATTTATTACATTAATTCTGTAAAATTCGTGAATAAAATATTGTTTAAACCAACTTAGATGAAGAATGCACTTAAAACAACAAGTTTAATTCACACTGATATTCTATTCCAGACACAATGGCTCATAGTCAACTAAGTTTCTTAGATAATTTCATAATAAATTCATTCAATGTATGATGTACACTACATTCCATAATTAAATGTCCACCTACCTGGAACCAATCAATGGTACAACAGTTTATCAAGGATGGGAACATCCTTAACCTATTTCTAAAAGCATCTCCGATTGGACTAAAGGCCAAAACAACGTGGAGGTTTCTTCTCATTCTCTCTATAAATTTATTATACATATTTAACGGCGTCAATTCTATCTGAGCATTTTCTTGTTGACATACAACCATCATCTGAAAAATAGTATATCATTAATTTTATATAGTTATTATATAGAATAACAATTTTATTACATATGTATATCTTTATATCTTATGTTGGCATTCACTTGTTATCTGGGATCACCCATTCAATCATCTATCTTTTTTGTTTTTAAATCGAAGGTCAAGATTGTTGGAAATAATCTAAACCTGGCACCCAATGTCAACCTTTTCTGGAAATAAAAACAGTGCAATGTACATACCCTTTCTATGATTTCCAGTCTTTCTTCGTTTTCATATAAATTAGGTATATCACCAGTATTTAATATCATATTCACATCTTCCAGGAAAGATTGATCCTAATATACAAATTTAAACATGTTGTAGTGAAAAAAGATAAATCAGATGGTGGATAGATAAAGTGGACAGTTAATACACAAAGTTGATAGCATATAGATAAAATTGATAGCTAAAGTGGATAGTTGATAGACAAAGTGGATAGTTGATAGACAAAGTGGATAGTTGATAGACAAAGTTGATAGCTGATTGACAAAGTGGATAGTTGATAGATAAAGTTCATAAAGTGGATAGTTGATAGTCAAAGTGGATAGTTGATTGCTAAAGTGGGTAGTTGATAGTAAAAGTGGATAGTTGAAGATAAATTTAATGGCTAAAGTGGGTAGTGTTGATAGACAAAGTGGATAGTTGATAGTTGGAGGATAGAACGGTAGACCATGGATATAGTGAGCAGCACATTAAATTGGATAGGAAATAGACATAGTGAATAGACAAAGTGAACAAACAAAGTGTAGTTATTGATGACCAAAAACATCCTTAAATTTACTCAAATTCAGATCTATTGCAGAGAAACACAGACCAAACTTCTGATTTTATATCAGGTTCTATTGAAAGAAAATCTTAGCCAGGTATATTATGTACCTTGATCTGATGATCACCGAACAGAAAGACTGTTGACACACCTTCATCTCCAGCCCTTCTCATCATCTTACGTAAATCATCCCTCCATTCTGTCACTGTATAGTTTTTAGTTATTTCTATCTGAAACACCTCAAAATCGGCCATAAATGCTGCTAATCTTGTAGCACTCTGACGACCACTGCCTCCAATACCTAAAACAGATATATCATGCTTTTATAAGATGAATAGAATTTACATCTCATGGGTGCACAAAAACCAAATATGTCTACTGTTCTGCTCCTAACCTGGGCTAATGAAGACGGGCATACACCATACAGTGCGCTAAGAGGGAAATTTTGCCCGGACAGCGGCACTACGACCTACTCTTATATCGAATTCCAACTGCCAAGGGATCTTTTACGTGCACGCCAATGTGTACACGGGACCTTGGTTTTTCGTCCCATCCGAACGACTAGACAGCTTTCCTTGTCAGTCCCTCCGTCCTGCATCACTGACAAGGGAGAACCACGCCGGAAAATGCAGATGAACTTTCTTGGCCAATGCGTCTTACCCACTTAGCCACGTGATCCCCAAATATGTATATCATTTGGGCTTGGGGGAAGATGCTTTGTAGAAAGAACATGCTAAAGTTGATTTGGGCTTATCTGAACCACAGTATATTTGTCACTGTATGAGCACCATGAAAACCACATGATTTTTTCTATCTGAGAAAAGGTGTAAAAAAATCTAAACCCATGACGAAAAACAAACCTTTGCTTCCCATTCACTTACCCCTTGTTTTACAATGATTTAAAATCTTGAGAGCACATAGTCTTGACAATTTCACTTTTGTTTAAAATATTCTATTTGAACTAACTTTAAAACAACTCACCAACTAGAAGACAGTGTCCATTTGGTTGTTTTAAAACACGACTGATTCTTGACACATGTTCAATAGCGAATCTAAACATCACTAAATCCATCGGAGCTTTAGTCATTACATTATAATCTTCTAAATATCTCTCCATAGTCTACAAAATAACAAAAACAAACAACCTAAATCATCTTATTAAATATGTGTGGTTCATATCTCATCTATTCTGGTAGATTTCTTATTCCATTCCTGCGATTTCTTCCCATCTTCATTAGCCTGGTTGGTACCAAAAATTAAGACATATTAAACTCCATTTCATTTTTGTGATTTCTTTAATTAATAATCTGTGCCACAAACTTATATATATTCCTGTTACACTAAGGTGCCTCTGCTGGTGTTTTTATTACTATTAACATGATAGTACACCTGATCTGGCCCTGATGTTTTTGTCACTATAATACACTTATACACAGGGGCGGATTGGGTCAGGGAACCAGCCCAGGCTCCCGTGTCGGAGTGGCCCCTTTTACTGACCTCGGAGCCTGGACTGGGCGGAGGGGGGGGGATCCAGGGGCTTTTCCCCGTGAAAAATTTGAAAAATGAACCCCAAATATGCGATTTGGTGGCATATCTGATTATAATCTATGTCAAATAATGTATCTCATAAATCGATTAATTTAGGCCAAACGCCCGACCTGCATGTAATTTACAACCATCAACCTGTGAAATTATCATATCGTCATATTATTAATTAACTTATTTAACTGGTTAAAAAATGGGACTAGTTGAGAAAAGTTTTGAATTTTTGGAAATGGGAGGCCATTTCCGGCAATTTGAGAACATTCCTCGACATCCAAATTCTGTAATTTGATCTCTGAAAATAACGAATTAATAAAAATGTCAAGGAATGTTTAACAACAGCCTTAGGAAATCGTCTCGCACTCATATTCAGCCAGCAGACCAGCTATCATCAAATTTTGCTGAGGCCTTAAAATTGATTTTTTTTTTTGGAGTTACGAACCATCGGCAGACGTTTCTGGCGTATCCGCATAAACAGGGTGCAGGTGACTTAGCGGGCGACAGTGTCGGGTGAATCCGATGAAATTTTCGGATGAAATTCGGAATCCCCATTGCAGGGTTCCGAATTCCGGCCCACACCCAGCCCAGAAAGTCTATTATACCAATCCATTCCAGACTCCAGTGATGGCGTGGCGGCCCGTTAAAGCCACCAGCCACATACAACATGATCATCATCGCTCCATGGCCGGTGCAATACCACCCAAATAATGTTCAGCAGAAAAAGTTTTTTTTAGATGAATTGGGCAAAATTATTTTTTTCATTTTTTGTCCGACCGGCCCTTCGGGCCAATCCGCCCTTGCTTATACACCTGATCTGGCCCTGATGTTTTTGTCACTATAATACACTTGTACCAGGTGTACACTTGACTCAGACCTGACAATTTTCAGACCTTGTCCAGTCATAAAGTAAGATGTCATCTATAGTGACAAAGGCCTGTGGTTCTGATGTTACCTTTGAGCATAGTCTGATGAACTGTCGTTCCAGTTAGTTGTAAATATTTACCAGTGTTGTGCCAGGGCCAGTGTATACTTATTCTTTCTAAAACACCTGATAACACCTTTTATTTATCAACATTTGTGTATATTACAGTAAAGTCTTACCTCTCTTAATTCCTCTATGTCTAATATCTCATCATAAATTTTCTCATCTGCCTTTTTACCCATAAAATCACCAAATTGTAAACTACGCAGGTTGTCATCAGTTACCACTTTACCGGCTTCTGCTAGATGACTAAATAAGGCATTGAATTTATCTTTAAAATGTGCCTCTACACAAGACTGTAAAGAGAAAAATATCACAAGAATACTAACTTATTTTATCTGGACAATTAAAATTAAAAATTTAATCGTAGTCTTACTATTTAACCTTCTTCACACAGAGAACTATCTACTCACTTCGAGAAAAGATCTCTGCCCTAAATGGCCGCCATATCCAAAAATGTGTGTACTGTTATGTAGCAGGGATGTACATAATATGTGCTGTGCAATGCGATTATTCATATATAGGGATGCCTAGATTGTTCTGTACTGTGGTGTCTCAAGTTTAAATATACGTCCTACTGACTTGGTCGTGGGGAATTCACTTTGGCTCACTCAAAACAGGTGGATGGATTCCATGCGTAGGGTTGTGGGATTGATTCCTGACAGTAAACCTCATCTCACCTTGATCATTTTATAGAAGTTATTCCTATCTTTATCATCCACCAATCTGTCATAGAAAACTCTATAAACTTCATGTACCCAGATTCGGGAGATTTTATGAGCTCCCTCTGTCCCTTCTGGTACAACGTCTGGTTTTAACAATAAAATACCCTAAAATATACAGTATCAAGATCAATGAAGAAATACACACTTTATGCAGTATTTGATTAAATAATTTAGTGAACAATGACATTATCGATAATAATACTGATGTTATTGATAATAATACTGATGTTATTGATAATATTATTGATACTGATAATAATACTGATGTTATTGATAATAATACTGATGTTATTGATAAAAATATTGATGCTGATAATAATACTGATGTTATTGATAATAATACTGATGTTATTGATAATAATACTGATGTTATTGATAAAAATATTGATAATAATACTGATGTTATTGATAATATTATTGATGTTATTGATAATAATATTACTGATGTTATTGATAATAATACTGAAGTTATTGATAATATTATTGATGTTATTGATAATAATATTGATGTTATTGATAATAATACTGATGTTATTGATAATAATACTGAAGTTATTGATAATAATACTGACGATATTGATAATAATGTTGGTATCTATAAAATTGATGGTTTTCAAAACAAAAATGGCATTCATAACAATGATGACAGTGATGACACTGATAGTAATGATGGCATTCGTAACAATGATGGGATTAATAACAATGATGGGATTAATATAAATGATGGCATAAACTGGTATTACTTCACTGTTAAACTAACAAGAAGGCATCCATTTGTTATTTCTAGAAAACAGATCACATTTATTTCAATGCACATTTATGTTGACCCCCTTCAGGTCACATTAATTTCATGACACAATAAGTTCTTGTATGACAATATTTACCTGTATAACTCTAGAGAAATCTCTCAGATTAAACAGATAATGTGATTTAGATGGTGTTGGTAGGAATGTTGTTATAGCATTCTGATAAATCTCAATAGTAGCTCCAACTACAATCTACAATAAATAATATCAACATGTGTTTGTTTCCATTAATAAATCCTATTTAAAACATGCTTAATTAAACAACATCCTATTTAAAACATGCTTAATTAAACAAAATCCTATTCAAAACATGTTTAATTAAACATCATATTTGCAAGACCTTAATTTCATTGTATTGTCTTATAAGCATAATAGCATCAAAATAAAGAAAGGTGTATGCCTTCATTCAAGAACATATAATTTGCAAATAAGCGATCCGTTCAGGTGATGTTTATCAGTTCATAAAAATGCAAACTTAGTTTTAATGCCTATATTCTAATTACCCAAATGAATTGTATCCATTCATAAAAATGCAAGCTATATTTCAATGCCTATATTCTCCTTTTCAAAGTGTTAGTTCTTACCCTGGAGAATCTACGTAGCGAAGTTTCAAATGATTTAAAATGCCAGTCAGCAATTGGTGAGAAAATATTCTTCATGGTTTCTTCATCAAATGTTTCAATTCCAATAATGTTAAAATGGCGTAAAAATCTGGGTGTAACATTATTTCTACCACCACCAGGGGGACCCATTGCAGCCACCATTATTATATCAACGAGTTGCAGAATAGATGTGTCTTTTCTGTGAACAAAAAAAAATAAATATAATAAAAAGTCTCTGATATTTAATGTCTATGAAACAAATATCAAAACCACAGAAATGTCTGTTTTTTTCTTAATCAAACTGAAAATACCGTAAATCGAAACTATAGCACTGCACATCCAACCTACAGCACTGCACACTCAACTTACATAACAGTACAACCAATCTACAGATTAATACACCCAGTCTACAGAATACCACCCACAATCTACTGAATATTACACCCAATCTACAGAATATCACACCCTATTAATAGAATATCACACCCAATTAATAGAATATCACACCCAATTAATAGAATAACTCACTCAATCTACAGTATAACACACCCAATCTACAGTATAGTACACCAAATCTACAGAATAACACACCCAATCTAAAGAATAGCACACCCCATCTATTGAACAGTACACCCAATCAACAGAATATCAAGTTAGAATTATTTACCTGTCAAACCAGTAACCATGATCTATCCACTGCCTCAGTACCTCTATGGGGGGTTGGGCACCATATTTTTCTTTAGCTGGCATATTTAAATCATCAACAAAAACACAAAGTTTCTTGCCTACAGCTGGTCCATATATACCTTTCTTACGTCTGTAAAATTGAGAAAAAAAAAAGAATGGAGAAAAATGATTCCCTTTTTTGATCATATTGTCAGAACATAAATTTTGGATGTGAGTCTGAACCCTTTGACCACTGAATGTTTCACAGCGTATACACTGGGATTTAGTGATAGTTGTTGCCCGGAAATTACAACGTACAACTTTGCTTTCTGGTTTATCTCCAATTTTCTACCATGTTGTGCCAGTCATACCAACAGTCTGGACTTAAACCATAAACAAGAGAAATCCAACTGCATGGGTTCAAAGGGTTAAATTCAAATTTAAACTTATTACAGGAATTATCTTACAACATAGGAACATAAAGGTCCTATTCATTACATTCTAAATTCATAATACGTAGAAATAATATTTTCAATTGTGGTCTTGTTAACATATAATATCTATTTTTTCATTTGTCAGTGTAACCACGAAAATATTGTCAAAAACTCAGAAATTAAAATTTGTAAACCATTTCATTCTGCAAGCTTGTTAGACCAAACTTAAAGCTAGCATTGATACAAGACATAGTCAAAATGTTATCTATATTTATTGTTACCTATCTAACTTGGAGAATATGATATCTTGTGTTTGATTGGCTGAAGTTTGTGCAGAGAAGTTGATATTATTGATGACGTATTTGTCCTTTTGTAGATTTAACAAGAAATTATTGGTTATGGCCGATTTACCAGTTCCAGTCGGTCCAACAAATAGAAGAGGTTTTCCACGAGTTAAAAATCTTTGTAAGAAATATCGTTGTTTTTCTGTTTCCACTGTGTTAATGATGAGATCATTAATCTGTAAGACAAGAAACAAAACAAGGATAAACATCATGATTTTCTGTAATGTTATTTAATATACATCATGGTTTTCTGTAATGTTATCTAATATACATCATGATTTTCTGTAATGTTATCTAATATACATCATGATTTTCTGTAATGTTACCTATATTCAATTGCTCATTTTTCCTGTCCTTATAAAATCTTAAATACTAGTACCTGACAAAGCTTAAATACTTTTATACATAAATTAAACAAATTTAATAATTTATCAAAATCTACTTAAAATCTACTTGTTAATGATTAATAATATATCTTATTTTGTCTTATCAAAAAATGATTTTAAAAAACAATCTAAGAAAGTGCATTCATTTACATTGTGTTCAATCATAAACATATAAATATGAAAAGATCTAATAGGTATAATGATATTGAATCAATCAAGTTTTTTCATAGACATTCAATACATACATATATAAAGTAAGAGAACAATGTTCTGGGGAGATAGTTCAATAATACAAATAACTCAGCGTCCCAGTAAACACAACATTTACCGGTATATAAAATTGGATTCAAACTTTTCTTGAAATTTAAATTAGGTCAGCTTGAGACTAACATACAGTATTATTTTTATTATTGTTAGGTTTTGCAATTTGAGGATGGTAATTAGACAGGTCACCATTGCTCTTCTCTATTTTTTTCTAATTCCAAATGCCAAGGCATCATTTATGTGCAGTGTTTTCTTGGCCCATATTGGGATTTGAACCAGTTCCTAACCACACAATCACTGCAGCTCTGTGCATGATATTTATACAAATGAACCCACATTTACCATTGTAACTCCTTTTATCTTACATTCAGACTGCCGATGTAATAAAAATGAGGCGGGTAATATTTAACATGCAATATTTACATACATATACTATGCACATTACACGACGTAATGTACATTACACAACATAATGTACATTACACAACATAATGTACATTACACAACACAATATGTACTAACACAACAAAATATGCACATTACACAATATAATATTATGTACATTACACAACATATCGTCTTACCATTGTACGCATTTCTCGATCTTTCTGTTTAAAAAAAAAATAGAAACATTGTTTGATAATAATATCACTACAAAAGTTAACTAAAAGTTAATACATGTGTCTAAATATATAATCACTAATATCTGTAAATATTTAATATCTATAAATATTTGTAATATATAATCACTAATAATATCTGTAAATATTTAAAATTTATAATCATTAATATCTATAAAAATTTGTAATATATTTTCACTAATATCTGTCAATATTTATATAATTTTTCATCACTGATATCTGTAAATATACATAATTTTATGGTAGTATATTGAACTTAAACAAAGATGCTAAATGTTAGCACTTCTGCTGGGGTTCAGGACAGTTCAGGTACTCTATGCTCTATAACTTCATATTATTACATTATTGAATAACATCAAATATATACAGTGATTGTTACGAAAAAAAAATGATTATATTGAACTGAATGATTTTAAAACCATAAATATTTCGTCTCTGCTCAACATGTATAAAACTTTAATAGAAACAACAATATGGTTCACATAAAGCCATCACCAAACATTACAAACATAAGAGTTTTATTACAAATAAAATACAATACACAACAACATATAGACAAAATAATAGTAGTTTCTTCTGGGAGCCAGGAACAAATGTATATCTTCTTCAAGCACAGATATGCATTATTATTAAATCAAACAAAATAAAATCAAGTTATTGAATTTGCCCTGTGTTGATAAGAAACAATATATAGTTGTGGTATGATTATTATAGTTTGCCATCGTAAACCATTGTTCAGTAAAGCATGTCATATCCTATATTTCGTTTTCTCTCAATTAGTCTACAAATGACTATTTTTTTCTTCTTTTTCAAAACAGTGTTTTATATACAGTGGTATCTAATACATTGTGTTATCTTATATAATATATATTGTGCTATCTTATACTACATATTATGGTATCTTTTTGATTGTGCTATCTTATATATGATAGTATATCGTGGTAACTTACACATTATTGTAACCTATGTATTGTGGTAAATTATATATAGTGGTATCTTATATATTATAAATAGTGGTATCTTATATATAGTGGTATCTTATATTATACATTATGGTATCTTGTATTATGTATTGTATTCTATATCCCACATTGTGGCATCTTACATTATATATTGTTTTTTATATTATATTTTATATCATATATTGTGTTATATTGTGTTATATTATATTATATTATATTATATTATATTATATTATATTATATTATATTATATTATATTATATTATATATTGTGGTGTCTTATATTATATATTATGATATCTTTTATCATATTTTGTATATTATATTATATATTATGATATCTTTTATCATATTTTGTATATTATATTATATATTATATTTTATATCATATATGTTTTATATTGTGTTATATTATATTATATTATATTATATTATATTATATTATATTATATTATATTATATTATATTATATTATATTATATTATATTATATTATATATTGTGGTGTCTTATATTATATATTATGATATCTTTTATCATATTTTGTATATTATATTATATATTGTTGTATCTATTGTATTTTATATAATATTTGGTATTTTATATTATTTATTGTATCTTATATTATATATTGTATTTTATATTATATATTGTGGTATCTTATATTATACACTATCGTATCATATATTATATCATATAAAGTAGGGTATCTTACATTACATATTGTGGTATCTTATATTAAATATAGTAGTATCTTATATTATATATATTGTGGTATCTTATATTATATATTGTGGTATCTTAATATTATATATTTTGGTATCTTAAAATTATATTGTGTGGTATCATATATATTATGGTAGGCTATATTACAAATTTTTGCATCTTTGCCATGGTATCTTACATATGTTGGTATATTGTAGTAACTTATAGATTGAGGTATCTTGTAATTATATTGCATTTCGTACATTGTACACTGTACAGTAGTAACAAAATGACAAAAATATGACCATAAACTAAACCAAACAAAACATAAATAATAATAAAACACTACCAAATAATAGTTGGTGTTACAATACAATACATCTAGCAAATACATATATATTAAAATTAAACATTTAGTATATTGATGACATCGCTATACGTATACATGTAATATACACATACATATAATTCAACACAGATCTTACCCAATCTACTGCTGTAAAAACACTTCCTGATATTGCCTTAAAATGGAAAATTATTTGAAAATGTGCCTGTTACTTAGAGATATTCTTTTTTCTTGATAGACATTTTTATAACATATTCTATTGACTTTTTTTATTCCCTTATATAATATCTGACACACATCATTTGACCTTGTTTAATTATTATTTAATAGAAATTCTAATTAATCAAAAGTTTATTCTATTAAGATATCATTTTGTTTTAATATTCTATTACTATACTATGGATTAATTTCTGTTAGGAAAATAAGCTGATTAACACTATTATCTATAATTAGTATATATCAATATTCCAAAAATAATAATGATAAAATACCTGCAGGTCCTGTTCAAAGTGAAAAAAAAATAACAAAAAGAAAATAAAAAATTAAATAACACTGCACACTAAGCCACAGCAATACGTCAATGACATATTATCAAAATGCCTGATTTTCTCATTAGCTTGAACACTTGGCACTATCTACGCTTTTTTTTTACACATGAAAAAAACAAAAATGGACTAAAATTAATTTATCTATAAAACACATCTAGAGCAAAAAATTATTGAATAAAGGTAAAAAGTTTTAAAATAAAACCAAGCAAAAATTAAAAGAATTTGAATCAAACAAAACTTCTAGTTTCAACTCACACAAAAAGTAACTAATCAAAATCACACACTAAATAATAGAAATATTTACCACATTTTTATTAATTTCTGAAGTTGAATAAAGTCTTTAGTGGGGTTTATGTCGACTTTTCAACTGGGAGTAACTGCTTTCAACTAGCTGTAAGTGTGCCTTTGCTAATCAAATCAGCAACTGAGAGCAACTGAATTCGAAGTGCTTATGTCAGGTTGCACTCATGTCGAAGGCAACTAGTTGTCGCTAGATGAAACGAGTTTCAGAAAGTTCATCATGGGCAACTGGCAACTAGTTGATTTGAGTCTTAACAGGCATCAGTTCGACCATTTTCAGTTTAAGTCAGCTGAAGCCATTTGCCGAAAAGACAGTTACTCTCAATTTTACGGTCGACATAAACCTGCTTTAAAGTCATCAGCTTTAACTCATCCACATCAGAGAGTAATAACTAGAGACAAGAGATATAAGCTATAAATACAGGTAAGATAAATCTAACAAACCTTTGCCTTTGTTTCCACGTTAAATGGTTCCACAAGAGAACTCCATGAACACCAGGATCCATACTGTTTCCTTATATAAACGTGGTCGTAAATGGTCCCTTTTTTCGGTATTAACAAATTTCTGGCAAACTTCAGATTCTTTGGTCTGTAAAAGAAACCATCAATATAATAAAACAATCTAAGCATAGAGTACGGTACTATGAAATAAAGATGACTAGAAGTTTCCAGGATTAATAATGTTAAAATATCTTCTTCAAATGCCTGTCTGGGAAATTTTCAAATGTGAATATCTTTTAATAGTGCACATCTATCAACTTATTTTTGTTTAATGAAAATAAAATTCAACATTTCACATCAAAAGGAAACTTACTTGGGGAATTTAGCAGTATTTCCTTCCATCTCGCATAGACCTCTAAAAAACTCATCAAATTTAAGTCTGGATGTTGTATCTAATGTAGCTCCAACTGACCAGACTATAGAAAAGAAATAGTAGGCAATGATCATATTGGTTCGTTCTTCATTTAGTTTTTGATCCATGACAGAAGCAGGTTGACTGTAAACCCCTTCACCACCTTCACCTCCCTCCATCTCTTCTTCTTCATCTTCTATAAAATCCATGTCATCATCATCTTCATCCTCGTGACCAATTTTCCTAAGCACCAAAAATTAACACAAACACTTAAATTCAATATGGTGCCTAGCTCATTATGAACAAGCCAACAGTGAGGCTGATGTCCCCCGCTGAAATCCCAAAATAAATAGATGACATATTAATTAATTGCACATTTATTTTTTTTTTCAAAAGTATCGAGCAATCAAACTATACACTAAGTTTCATCATTCTCTATCTGATAGAATCACGATTATCTTGTCCCAAAGCATGCAGTCATCACTCTCACTTAATTAGAATTAAAGTTATCATGTCCCAAAGCATCAACCAATCAGATTGCTTATCTCTGTTTACCATAAGCAAACAATGTTCATCATCGAACTCTATCAAGGCATTCACCTAATGAACGGCTACACCAAGTTTGAACATTCTACCTCAATTAGAAGGAGAGTTATTGAGTTCCAAAGTCTCGACCAATCAAATTGCGTATCGCTCTGCTTACCCTGAGCAGAAAATGCTCATTATCAAACTTAGTCAAGGTATTACTGTAATGAAACTATACACCAAGTTTCATCAATCTCACTTAATTAGAACTAAAGTTATCGTGTCCCAATGCATCAACCAATCAAATTGCTTATCTCTGCTTACCCTAAGCGGAAAATGCTCATCTTCGAACTCCATCAAGGCATTGACCTAATCAACACATACACCAAGTTTGAACATTCTAGCTCAATTAGGAAGAGAGTTATCGTGCCCCAAAGTATCAACCAATCAAATTGCTTATCTCTGCTTACCCTAAGCGGAAAATGCTCATCTTCGAACTCCATCAAGGCATTGACCTAATAAACACATACACCAAGTTTGAACATTCTAGCTCAATTAAAAGTTATCGTGTCCCAAAGCATCAACCAATCAAATTGCTTATCTCTGCTTACCCTAAGCGGAAAATGCTCATCTTCGAACTCCATCAAGGCATTGACCTAATCAACACATACACCAAGTTTGAACATTCTAGCCCAATTAGGAAGAGAGTTATCGTGTCCCAAAGCATCAACCAATCAAATTGCTTATCTCTGCTTACCCTAAGCGGAAAATGCTCATCTTCGAACTCCATCAAGGCATTGACCTAATAAACACATACACCAAGTTTGAACATTCTAGCTCAATTAGGAAGAGAGTTATTGTGTCCCAAAAAGTGTGACGGACAGACAGACGGACAGACAGACGGGACAGACAGACAGACAGACAGACAGACGGACGAACCCATTTTAATAGTCCCCTGCTTTCTTCGAAAGGCGGGGGACAAAAAATATGACCATCTATGCAAGTATGCTTAAAACAGGAATGCAGAATTTACAGGTTGAAGAAATTAGAGTTTCCAATGTAAGATATGGGTTAGTAATGATTATGCTGACCAAGTCAATTGCACTTGTGGTAGAAATATCTTATTATCAGTTGAAAAATAAAATTAATGTCTGTTTGATTTTGAAGAAAACTAAAGTATTGTGAGAGAGAGAGAGAAACGGGGTTTAACATTCACTCGACACAAACTAGGTCATTTCAGGACTAACACATGGTTCTATTTTATTTCAATAATTTGCTTGTGCGTAGGGGTCTTTACCAGTGGGAGGAAACCGGAGGACCCGGAGAAAACGCACGAGGTTGGACAGGCGATCCTACTCCTTGTCACGTACAACCGGGGAATCGAAACCCCACCAATTGACTCAATGACAGACCGTATGATACAGCGCAGCGCGCATGTGCTAACCATTCGGACATCCGTATTGTGAGAGAGATAATGTTGGAGAAATGGGAGTACTATCGTGAGAACTTGGTTGTGGAAATAGGAGTACTATTGGGAGAACTTGGCTGGAGAAATGGTTAGTACTACTGAGAGAACTTGATTGGAGAAATGGGAGTACTATCAGGAGATTTTGGTTGTGAAAATAGGAGTACTATTGGGAAAACTTTGCTAGAGAAATGGGAGTACCATCATGAGAACTTGGCTGGAGAAATGGGAGTACTATCATGAGAACTTGCCTGGAGAAATGGGAGTACTATCAGGAGAACTTTATTAGAGAAATGGGAGTACTATCAGATGAACTTGATTAGAGAAATGGGAGTACTATAATTGGGAGATTTTGGTTTATAAGTTGGGAACAGACAATGTATTTATAAGGGAAATCAGACAACCAAAAAATTAAAACTTACTTGACATCGTCCATGAGACATCCATACAGTTTTAACATACTCATAGTAAAATGCATCAAGTGGCAGGGTAGTAGGTGACGACAATATTTAGTCACAAAATTTAAACATGGTGGTAAAATCCATTCAAATAACATCTGAAAAGAATTGAGGCATGAAACAATTGTGCAACATTAAGTGTTGGTAATTCTTCAGGAAACAATTGCAAGACAAGTGAACAAGTGATTAATATTTTAATTATTCTACTTCTATCAGCTTCCTGGCACACATGAAAGGAGAGAGAGAGAGAGAGAGAGAGAGAGAGAGAGAGAGAGAGAGAGGGGATGTAATATTCACTCGACACACCAAACTATATCATTTGGGACTGACATATGGTACAATTTTATTTAAATAATTTGCTTGCAAGTAGGGGTCTTTAGCAGTGGGAAGAAACCTAAGGACCTGGAGAAAATGCAAGAGGTTGGGCAGGTGACCCTAATGCTTGAAAGGTATAAGCTTGGCATCTAAACCAGGCTGTTTGACTCAATGTCAGATCTTATGATCTAAAAGCCCCTTAACATGAAAAGCAAGGGAGTGGAGTTTAACATCTCATCAACTAAATAATTCAGTCTTTTTGAAACTAACACTTGAATATATTGTATCGTTACATCTGCAATGCACAACAGTAAAATTTTCACAGAACACATCATTTTGGCTTACTCGTCATATAGTCCCAACTGCTATATGAACATGGAACTCTAAAGATGAGTAAAATGTTATCTAAACATAACATTTGAACATTAGGATTTAGTCTTCTTCTTCTCTTTGGGCTTAACATCCACTTCAATCAAGAGTGATATTGCAGACAATTAGGATTAATATACACAAATATACCTTTATAGTTTCTGTTTGTTCTTTAGTGAAAGAATCAGCTAAATTTGTCTCCATCCATGATTTAACCAGAGGTTCCCAACCAAGTTGTATTGCATCCAGATATATCATACCACATCTATCAGGAAATCAAATAATATTTTAATCAATAATAAAAATCTACCACTCGTATTTAGATTCCACAGTGCAATTACAATCTGCGATTTTCTTGGTTTAATTCTGTATAAAAATTTCCTACAGACTGACCTTTTAATTTGATGATATTCAAACAAATTTGAAAGTCAATAAATAAAAGCAGTTTAATATTAAGGAAAGAAAATGGAATAGGTTCAACATCTTGTCAACATTTGGTCATTTTGAGTCCAACTGAATCTTTTTTTCCCTTTTTTATGGCACAGGAGAATTTTTCTTGAATAGCAGCTTTTTGAACTAGTATTCTTCAAATTCTAACTACCCAGGTATCTTCAATCATAAATGGGACCTTTTTCTGTTAGTTTACCTGCTGACAGTAGCTGGTGAAGCTTGTTCTAAATCTCTAGGTTCAAATATCATATTCTGTTTATTACTCATCTGTATAATCTCTCCACTCATTAAACATAACTACAAGATATAATACATATACATGACATATCCAGGGGCAGAGCCAGGAATTTTTGCAGGAAGGGTATTTTGCCAGGCTCCAGTTAAGAAAATTTGACAGTTGACAATGCATGATCGATGCCATCATCTTCTCCAAATTACGTAGGCATACATACACACTGAGCTTTTTTAAAAGAGAAATCCAACACCCCTGACGTCAATTTTTATTATGAATTAGTAGGATCACATTGTGATTCAATTTCATTGATGCAAATCATTAATTGTGATATCACATATGCCAATCCCATCCCACCATCTGGTGATAAAGGATAAAACATACGACCATTACACTTTTTTCATAAAGTGTTGTTTTACAAATTTTTTTATCTATGGACCCTCCACCCCTCTGGATCCGACCCCTGATATCTATCTGTTACACAATTAAATGTATAATTTTCAATGAAGATAACAACAAAAATTACATTTGGTAAACTCTGTACTATATAAGTCTATGGTCCACCTGAGACTTCAGCAATACTCCAGTCTCCAGGGACTATATAAAGGGAACAGTGGCACAATCTCACTCAAGCCTGTAGAGTTTGCATAAGAACGAAACTAGTAGCTTTATGAGAGAAATCTGGGACCGTTACCCATCACTATATAGCTTTCCAATTCTAATTTCTAAAGCTAAATCTTGAAACATGTGCAGCGTTATGGACAACTTACCTTCTTATTGTCATCTAAGACTGTGTTCATGTTTTCAATCCACACTGCATCGACGGGGCCATCAAATATAATCCACTTCCGTTCATCGGTCGTACTGGAGGCGTGTTCACGGAATGTATTGGCTAGAACACCATCAGTCCATTCATGTGATACAGGGTCAAAACATCCATATAACTGACCCATTGTTACAGCTTTAGGGTTGATAATACAACTTATTACCTACATAGAACGATAATACAAATTATTACCTACAATAGAACGATAATACAAATTTTTACCTACAATAGAACGATAATACAACTTATTACCTACAATAGAACGATAATACAACTTATTACCTAAAATAGAACAATAATACAAATTTTTACCTACAATAGAACGATAATACAACTTATTACCTACAATAGAACGATAATATAACTTATTACCTACAATAAAATAAATAGAATCAATAGAATGTAAAAACAACAGCAACATATTCAGGAGAATCGTTCAAAGTAAGTGGCACAGATATGTTAATGTCTGGAAGCGAACCTGCAACCATGGGCATGCAATTCTTACATTTTTACAGCAATCAAATCAGTAGTACCAGGATATACAAATACAATCCAATAGACATGCCATTCGGTACGTCTTTACAGCCAGCTCCATATTTGTTTACATTTCTGTTTTAAATTTTAAAATTGTAAATAATGAAAACTGTCATACCTTGAATTCATCCATGAGTTTCTTTTCTTGGAGATCACCAAGAGCATCAGCCAGACATTTAAAAGCGGATGTTTTACCGCCAATTGGATCCCCAACAATCATCAGACCATGTCGAACCATTATCATGTCATAAATCTGGAAAATATAAGAGTTAGATAAAGTGGTCGTTCTTGCTATATAAGTTTCAAAATAGATAATATAAATCTAATATTTAGAAAATTTCAGTCTATTTTTTTTATTCTTAGCGAGGTTATGAATATTTGAAATTTTGACAAGATTAGATGCAATGACAGACTGAGTGCTTAAAAAAAATAGTTGACTTATCCCAAAATATTCCAGTCAAACATTGCTAAAAACGAAACTAGTTCAGAGAAAAACCATCAGGTAAGCAGTTATTGCCGACAGACAGCTATACTGCTGAATTCAGTAACTCGAGCTTACCTGTATAATCTTTTCCACAAACCATGGAACAACTTGTAGATTACGTTGTTTAATTCTGTCAGTCAAAGCTTTCTCTAGATGAACATAATCAGGTTTAGGTAGCTGAACACCAGGGAATAAATCAGAAACAATTCCCTCAAATAATGGAATATCGTGGGACAAGAACTGAAACAGAGAGAAAAGTTTGGATATAAAATTAATAAAATCTAAGAATTATTGCTTAATATCTTGTGATTAATTAGATGATAGACTAATCAATGTCACTGATACAATAATAATGATGTCAATATCTGAATATGGTGTCTTGCTTGAAAGTTTGAGCCACCAATTTTTTGGGTCACAGAGGTTCTTAACCTTAACCCTACCCCACACATTTTGACCAAAAACAATTATCAGCTATACCCATATCTTCAATGCAACAAGAAGACGTTTCTGTCTCATGTCGCCCTTACAGAGCACCAGACATACAAAAATTGTGCTTGATTAAACAACAGATAAGGATCCTTCGTTTCATGACCTCTATTTATGTTAATAAGCAAGATTTCTCGATTTTCCTACCTTTGGTAAATTGACATCATTTATAGATCTAAGAACAAGTACATCTTCTCGTTGTTCGGGGTATTTAAGTTTTAATGTGCCTGCTGCTGTTAATACAGACTTCACTGCTCTCATACCATAATCATAATGATGTTGGGATGACAACTATAATCAAATAAATACGAAATATTCAAGTTAAGTTGACAATCATAAAATATAAGCATATAAAACATATAATCATCGAGCATATTAAATTCCATAAAATTGAAAAAGAAACCCTGATGTCCAACTAATTTGAAATGAGAAGAAATGAAATGGGGATTAACGTCCTACTGTTCTGCTCCAATTCGGTTAATGAAGACAGGCATACGCATTGCAGTGTGCTATGAGGTAAATTTTGCTTGGACAGCAACGCTACGACCTACTCTTATATCGAATTCCAACTGCCAAGGGACCTTTTAGGAAACTAGAACTAGAAAACCTGATGTCCCACTAATTTGAAATGAAATAGGGTTTAACATCTGACTTATAAAAACCAACCATGATAATGAAGATACGCATATGCCATGCAGTGTTCTATGATAGAGACTTTGCCTGACCAACTCCTATTTCAATTTCCAAGTGTCAAGGAATATCTAATGTGATAGCTATGGTATGAACAAGATCTCGGTTTATAGAAAGTCACCAGGCCAGCCACTAATCTAGCCAACATAGTGTATTTTTTCTGTATAAATGACATTAATTTCATGACAGATTTAAATCCAACCTAGATAGTTTTATCGTTTGTTTGACAAAAACTAGAGGATCCCAATTGATATTTTCTTCACTAACGAACATAAATGCAACACAAAGTTCTACTGACCTGTTCAGAACAGAGTCTGTATGTAGCCACAATTTTAATAGCAAGACTTCTGGCATCAACAAAACCCATAGAATACAGGGATATTTCACCAATCATACCATAGTCTGGTACCATCATAGCAACTGTACGAAATAATACCTGGACAAAAAATAATATATTATTGTTACATAATTATTTCTACAACATCCAAGGATATTGTTCAATGTCCACTTAAATCATTCAGGTCATTTCAGGACTATCATATGGTATATCATATATTTTCATGAATGGAAAAAACCATGAAGTTGGTTATGCGACCCTACTCCAGTGATGTTATAGAAATGAAATGAAATGAATTGGGGTTTAACATCCTACTGTTTCGCTCCGAACTGGGCTAATGAAGATGGGCATACGCCATACAGTGTGCTATGAGAGGAAATTTGCCCGGACAGCGGCACTACCGCCTACTCTTATATCGAATTCCAACTGTCAAGGGATCTTATACGTGCACGCCAATGTGTACATGGGACCTCGTTTTTTCGTCCCATCCGAACGACTAGACAGCTGTCCTTGTTAGGCCCTCCGTCCTGCATCACTGACAAGGGAGAACCACACCGGTAAATCTGGATGAACTTTCTCGGCCAATGCAGGGATCGAACACCCGACCTCCAGGCTAGCGAGCCAGTGTCTTACCCACTTAGCCACCACAATCCCCCTGATGTTATAGAACCCAAAGACAGTTAGTGAATCAACATTATTAATTACTCTCTCATTTTTAAAGAAAAGTCTGAATACGTTTGCAATGCTCACCTTAAGATTATCTGGTAGTTCAGCACGACCAGCATACCCAGGATTCATAGTAATAAATATAGTACAAGTTGGATCTAATAGTATCTCTGTTCCTTCAAATACAAATGTCTTACATTGTTCAGCTATACCCCGCTGTATGGTCTGTACTTGTTGAGCAATTACAGATAATACCTAGAAATAAATTTATTTTTTGAAGTATTAAAATTATCAAGCATTTATCATTCTAATAACATAATTGATCATTAGAGTTAGATATTTCCTGGTCAGTTGAGAGATTCGTATAATGAAATAACTGTGATAACAAAGATATACATCCAAGTTATTCTAACATCGATAAAGCTTTCATGTTTAACACCCAACAATCAGATTAGAGCAGGCCTATTTAATATGTGCAGATGGCATTGATGTTGGAACTAAGATCAAATGGATACTGTGTTTAATAATCAATTAATCAGATTAGAGCAGGTCTATTTAATATGTGCAGATGGCATTGATGTTGGAACTATGGACAAATGGATTGATAATGTTGTTTATTGACAGAATAAGTTACCTCTAGTTCTATTCTGTTGAATTCATCAAAACAAGCCCAGGCACCGGACTGAGCTAAACCTTTAAAAAATTTACCCATAGCTTTATAATCTAATCCATCAGAACAGTTAAATACTACACACTGAAAAAAAAAAATGGTCAAAGGTCAATCTGAACTTGCACATAAATTAGAATGAGAGAACCCAACACCAAAAATAAAAATGGTCCATGGTCAAACACCACATACAACTCAAAATGAGAGCACAGCACTGCACATACAGTCATTCTACCAACCTGTTTAGCTACTGCTTTAGCAAGATCTTTTGATGTTTCTGTTTTACCAGTTCCTGCTGGTCCTTCTGGTGCACCACCAAGATTTAATAATAATGCCCCCATCAGTGTTCTGAAAGTGTATCAAAAATCGGAATCAAGGTTCTGGAATTGCATTAATATGTTTTGGGTCCTGGAATTGCATTAATATGTTTTGGGTCCTGGAATTGCATTAATATGTTTTGGACATGATAAGATATTCACTGCATTAGGTAATAACACAAAAGACCTTGCACATAAAATGAAGCCAACTCCCATCCCCTCGAAAAAAAACATCAACAAATAAAAAAGAATTTCTTCAAGCACCCACCAAATGTATTTTTCAGCTTTCTAAAGATAAAACCAGATAAAGGACCACTGTCTGGGCAATAAACTTCTATTAAATAATGTTCAGAGCTGCGTAGCAATAACATGTTAAGATTTAGTAATATAATGCACATATTTGGGAGTGAATATACCAAGATTTAGTAATTCTCAGATCTGTGTTCAGAAAGTGTACAAAGATTTTTAAAAATGTATCAATATATAGGCCTAATGACGAAGGTATGAACAGATTTCTTTTAATATAATAAAACTTGAATGGTTTAATATATCAGGTTTATTATCTTGAACAACTCTAGCGATGTTTTTATTATTAATAGAATCATGGATCTAATAATGTATTCAATAATTACCTGTAACATCTATCAGTAAGAGGTGTAATAACTAATCTTCCAGAGTTACCCAGGTATTCATACGCATATGCTACAGATGTAGTTATCATTTTTACCATTATAGCATTCTTCTCATAATAATATCTCAATTGGCTGATCCACGAAAAATCTGATTCCTTCTGGGTATTAATATTATGTAGATTAGATACAACATCACGAGCTGAAATAAATGTCATGATGTATTAATCATATTCTATTGTATTCAAGCTTTGGTATTTCTCCCTGGTAAACTCGATATAGGCTACTATTAAAATAACTTATCTTTTTGTGCTTATGGACATCAGAGTTTGATTTCCCTTTGGAATCGATGGTACTATATTTTAATCATCATATATCAAGAAAATCTCGAACAATTGGATATGCTCTCATGAAATATGTATGACTTAAAAAGTACCAAGCATATATAAAGTAATTAATACATTTATTATATTTCAAAAGACGCTTAAATCAACACATCATTACAAAAAGACATATTGAATATACACATATCTTTGGGAATGGAAACTATTAATCAAAAGTTACCTACCATGAACATCTATAACAATAAGAGCCTCTAGAGTAATTCTGGCCATTTTGGATAATTTTCCTCGTACCATGGCGACGACTTCTTCCACTTGTTTTCTGCTTTTCTCTAAATAACCTTCTAACTGACCTGCCATTATAGCCTATATATAAAACAAAACTCTCAATTTTAAAGTGCCTCTTAATAACTTCTACACATCATTGATAGTTGTATTCAGGTCCAGATATGCGTCAGATATCCCATTGATCCTATGATTTTGAAAACATCTTGACGTCTTGGAAGAGAAAACCACCCCTGCCCCCGCCCCCCCACTACACGGGTCTTCCATAAACATCCTTGTTTCAAATATCCTTGTAACGTGTCTGTTATCTGGTATCCATGTGTGGTGTTCCAGTTTATGTGTAGCATCTTCTTTTGCCAATACATTCAATAACCAACTGAATATTAGTGACATAATTATTTAGACATGGTGGATTCAGGACCTACTAGTCCTTAAAGCTTAAAACAATCATAGCTTTAAGAAGGTTGAAAATGAATTTCTCAAATTATTTAAGTGGATCAAAGTCTTTTCACCTGTGTTACTTCTGCTGTCCAGTGTGTTTGACTTGCTGCTAGTACAATCTGTCCCGGCCATTGTAAAACCCAATCTTTACGTGGTGTTTCAGGATATGCTTTAACAGCTTTCGTCATCACGGTTCTTAAACTTAACTTCATTACTTCTTCAACCTACAAAATATACAAAATATTTCTAAGAAAAATTGAGGATGAGAACAGAATCTGAAAATACATATTCAAATATGATTTTGATGATCATTGTGTATTAAGAAAAATTGAGGATGGGAACAGAATCTGAAAATATATATTCGACTATTATTTTCGATGATCATTGTTAATATATTATTAATTAATTAAATTAGTCATTTATATAGCACGGTTTATCCAGTATGCCTGCTCAAATGCGCTTAGTCGTCAGCTCTCGTGAAAAGAATAGTCTTCAATATAATTATTTCAAGGGTCATCAAATTTAAAGATATCTTCGTAGATTAGCATTTAATTTACATGTTTTACACTGTTTCAATTTACAGTGAGGTCTGAGATCACTCTTTTACAGATATAAAACTATTACCTGTAAAAGCCATTTCTCCACCAGACCTCGAGAATCAGCTGGGCAGATAGTTTTAGGAAAGTCAACTCTTTCTTTCTCTTTAGATTCCATGGCAATGATGACCTTCTCCTCATTAAAGGTCAACTGAGCAATACCCTCAAAACATTTCTTGAGATGAGGTTGAACACGAAGAGGATCTTTAGTTTCTGACAAGATTTCTAATAATTCATCATTGGACAGGAAGAAAAACCTGTAAAATAAAATCAGAATTTAATAGGAAATATAGAAAAACAAAATCTATTCATTCTTTAAAATCCACAAAGGATGCAACACTACTTTAAAGTACTAATTTGAGGGACAGGGTGCAGGGGGTGTCTGCCAAGTTATAATATATCATTTATAATTTCCTTAGTGATCTACCGTATCTAAAATATCTACACTATTTCTAATACAAGAGCCTTATTTCTATTATCATGAGAGGTGTAAATGTTTGAGTCAATATTAATAATATTCATATCAGTATAGCCTACCTGGGGAAAAATAATCTTTTCTTCTCAAGATAATCATTTAATCCTTTCTGTATATCATCTAACATAGACTGAAAAAAAAGAAATGAAAATTCATATAATTCACATCTTGAAACAGCATTCACTTTGTGATGTACGAGTATTAAGAAATAATGTGCCTGTATTCCATTGTTGGTACTCTTGTATTCCCCTGGTACATCCATACTCGCTAATAACAGGCTTGTATTGATATGCCAATATTCTCCTAATTTCTTTCAATAATGTACTTGCATCTCCACAGGGTATGCATGCATTCCCAAAATTGTGTGCTTGAATTCTTACAATGATATGGTCACCTTCCTACAAATGTGTGCCCACCGTTTCACAATGATATGACCACCTTCTAACAATGGTGTGAGCACCTTCCCACTATTATATGACCACCTTCCAACAATGGAGTCACCACCTTCTAACAATGGTGTATCCATCCACAATGGTGTGACCACTTTCCCACAATAGTGTGACCACTTTCCCACAATGATATGATCCCCTTCCCAAATGGTGTGAGCCCCTTCCAACAATGGTGTGACCACCCATAGTGGTGTGAGCACTTTCCTACAATGGTGTAAGCACTTTCCCACAATGATTTGACCACATTCTCATAATGGTGTGATCATTTTCCTACAACAGTGTGAGAACCTTCCCACAATGGTGTGACTACCTTCCCACAACGGTGTGACCACCATCCCAAAATGGTGTGAGCACTTTCTCATGATGGTATGAGCACTTTCCCACAAAGGTATAACCACCTCCCCACAATGGTCTGACCACCTTCCCACAATGGTGTGACCACCTTCCCGTATGGTGTGTGTGTGACCACGTTCCCACCATGGTATGAGCACTTTCCCACAATATAACCACCTTCCCATGCCGGTATAACCATCTTCCCACAATGGTTTGACCACTTTCCCACAATGATATGACCACCTTCCGACAAAGGTGTGACCATTTTCCTATAATGATGACATTTTCACAGTATCCAATAATGATGGTGTACCAGCATTCCTTTATAAAGAATCTTTATTTATAATATCCCTACTGCCAGCTTTTTATTTGCGCCTAATGTTATAATTACCTCTGAATGCTGAAGTTTTTCTAACATCTCATCTTGACCAACAACGACTAGAGCACTTGTATCTTCTATAGCTTTACTCATCATACTCCTCCTACAGAATTAATCCACATACGTACAAAATACAAGATAATGTTGAAACTAATTAGTAACTCACATGCAGGAATATATTCTATTGGGTGCTATTTTGAGATATTATGAGTTAAGGAAAGCTTTAAAAAGTCACAAAAATGGGACAGATCTGTGTGATAAAGCTTAATATGACTAGCCCCTGCTTGATTTAGATCAGGAATAGAATTGTCGATATCACTGGATTATTGGATTTATTTTGTGGGATGACAACTGTTCGATATTGAAATCTATACATAAATCCATTGTTTAAAAATATCCAATTTTGAACTCCACTGTAGATACAGTAAATGAAATCAAATTCATCAAACAAGCCAACTTCTTCTGTTTTAAGTTTGTAGTGTTTAGTGAATAACCTACCAATGTTCATCAACTTCTTCAAACATTTGGCCTTCAACTGGAATCTGATTTCTGATATCCTGAGAACCAAAGATTGGTTCTAAATATAACCAAGCACTCTGTACTTTTAACCATGATTCCAAGATAGAACGCATACGATGCTGAAATAATGACAAAAGAATTGTCCTTTTAACAACCAAAGCTTCCATACATTAATGTAGATTTAATCTATCATCTATCAACCCATTTTTTACCCCAAGATAAATAAGATTTAATGATGAAAATTTAAGGCTTTTATATGTTTAAATAATAAATACTGTAAATTTTTTCATTTATATCATTACCAATTGTACATCCCATTCGCTAGCCTCTTTTTCAAATGGACCAATGAAAGGAGAGCCCTTCATGGTGGTTGTCTTGACGATATGATCATCCAATAGAACTTGAATATCATCAAATGATGACAGAATATCGATTCCCGTATCTTTATAAGCTACAAAGTTAAAATTCATATTCTGCCAATCTTCTTTCATCTTCTTAAGAGCCTGTGAAAATTTGAAAATAAAATTAATTTCATTATAAACAATTCAAAGTAACATACTTATCTAAGAATCGCCTTTTTTAAAGTTACAATTTCATATTTTCTAAGAAAGTCAAAACATAATTATTTCTATGTCTTTTGCTCAATAGGTTGTCAACTCACTATTATACGATCATACGTTATCTTCCTCACACTTAAAAATCTTCAAACCGGAAATAATAACACAATTACCTCCCTTGTTTTCCTATTCCCCACCATTGAATAGCTATCTTCAAACGTTATGATATTTTTGCCAATTTCTCAACGGGCAATAGGGAATTATAGGATTAATAGGATTATTCTTTAACAAGGTAGGACTGTTTATAGATACCATCTATTTTAGGGCTTTATTTTAATACATTTTAAAAATATAACTTAAAAATATGAAATTGTAACTTTAAAGGAAATGATACACATACAACAGAATAATTTTCATACAAAAATATATGAAGATATAAACATTAGTAGATTTAAAGAAAGATAAAATTACCTTTTCTAGCGAGAATTCTTTACTAGCTTGAGAACTTATTCCCATCAATTCATCTAAAAACTTCTCCAAACCGATTCCTAGAACGTCATTGAGTGGTGTATCTTCCTTAGGTGTCACATCAAATCCAACCTTTAAAAAATAATTGAATTGATAGTATTTTCATCATAATTTTTGCAGAGATTCTTGTATCTTATAGTTTATTGTCAATAATATCTGGAACGTACCTGTAAATTCTTGAAGTAAGATTTGAGAATTTTAAAGTTACCATTAACGGTAACCAGATTTATAAAGTTCAGTCTTAAGAGATTTCTTAAAAGATGAAATGTTTTTAGAATAAAACTGTTAACCAATTTTAAATGTACCTTCATACTCATCATATGCCAATGTCTTGGTTTAATACCTGGATTACATAAGGCATTAATCAGTGGCATGTTAATCTTAAACTTCTCTAGTTTGGCTTTTATTGTAGCAGCAGCTTTTAAGGGCCCCTTTAAATCAGGATGTCCAAATATCTTGGTTAATTTATAGGCTGTTCTCCATTGGTTTTGAACCTTAAAATATAACAGAGATATAAATGTGTTTTTTCCAAACATGAAATGATTCAATCAATCTATCCATCCACCCACTTACACACCTGAGAATCTGTAATACCATAACACATAAAACCAACAAAGGTATGAAATAAGAAAAATTGACATCCTATGCTCCGTCTGCTACCATGTGTCTATTCTATTACCAGTATATTATGATAATGCCAGAAAACCATGCTAACTGTGATTTTAGATTACTTCACAAAATGAGGATGATCACTGCAAATTTCAGGTTGATCACTGCACATTCTGGGAATCACTGAACATTCTGAGAATACTGCACAAGCATTTCATATACTGCTTGCTCCATTAAATCAAATGCTTCAACTCTTGCCTTTTATATATTCTGTACATTAAACTTAACAGGGAAATGACAGGATAGATACCAGCTTTCTTTACCACTCAAATTCAAGAGACTCACCTCCTCCTCCACCACTTCAGCATTAACTTCTAGTAACGGACCATTCATCCATTTCTCATACTGATCATGGAAAGTAACGGCTGTCGACCAGAGTCGGTCAAATGGTTCCTTTTCACCAATCAGATCTGTTATCTCATTATATAACGTCTGAGTCTCCATTCCTAATAACGTCTCTTCCTTATTTATATTACCTTTCTGTAAAATTAATATTGATAATCTAAATATTTTAATATTATGTTTATATAATAATGCTGTTTATAACTGAATCTAAGAGTTGAGCAAATATGTGCTACACCTCCCACAATTACAAACACACCGATTTTGAAGTACCACAAAATAAATATCAACCAAAAGTATCAATGCTTTAATATTAAACATTTATAATTCCAATCTTAATATTCTTCCAGAAGTAAAACAAAATAATTCACAAAAAATATGATGCAATCATGTTTTTCAACTACCGGTAATAGGCCTCCTTTATTAAGGGATGTGGTTGAGAAAGATTTTAATCTTTCATAAATAACAATACTAATTTACAGATGATCAACAGATCAGATTCTATACAATATTTTTGTTACTGTGGAGAATCTTTTTTATCTGTGGAGAATTCTAATTGCCCAATGACATATTTGCATTCGATGTGTAGAACCTGCGTTTACATCGCTATCAGCTAAAATAATATTATATAGAATTTCCAACTCTAAGTAGAACTAATAAAACTACCTCTTCTTTAAAAACTTCAAGTTTAACACCCAGTTCCTGCAATTGTGTATGGTACGTCTCTGCTTCAGGTATCTTGTCTTTCTGTTTAAATTCACGAACAGATTCCGCTACTCTTCTAATGTCCTCACAGAATCTATCTTTTCTATTAGCCAGATTTTTCACAGCCATTTCATGTTGTTTCTGTAGTTTAGTTTCACTGTCATAGAAAACATGGATATCATATAATATAGTATCATTGGTATACAATAAATCCTATATAAAAGGTGTTATAAGACCCTCCTGTCAAGAATCAAACCCTGTCATTGAATCCATACAGAGGTAGAGAGAGAGAATGGGGTTTAAAGTCCACTCAACACAAACATGGTTATTTTTGAATTAATACATGGTTCAATTTTATTTCAATAATTCGCTTGCGTGTAGAGGTCTTTAGCAGTGGAAGGAAACTGGAGGACCCAGAGAAAACTCATGAGGTTGGACAGAGGTTGCAGATTTTGTAGTTTTTCTCCAATCCAATTACCTCCAGTACCGTCATAAAATATGTTTGAATCAACATTACAAGAATGGAAATAAGTATAGTCTTTGTCATAAAAATACATTGTCAAAGAGATAAACTTACGTGTTAAGTATAATGGGTATAATTCTATCAGGCCATTTAAATGTACTGCTATTAACAGAAATATCTTCTGATGATAAATACGCATAATCCATTAAAAATAAAACGTTACCACAAGCTATCTCCAGTTTATCCTGACAATGAGAACAAATTTAACATAGACTTGATAAGACAAGAAAAAGTTTTTAAAGGGGAGTTTTTGTCAAGTTTTATTTCCTTCTTGAATTTTAAGCAAAATAAAAAAGAAAAGAAATATATATCCATTAGTTTACAAATAGCATTCAACTATTGATGGTGCCCAGAGTACAATTTATCTTTAAATTTGAAATTTGTCTTGCTACTCAGTACAAATATCAGTAAGATCACGGAAAACAAGAGAGAGAGAGAGAAATGAGGTTAAAGATTAATGTCGTCTCGTCACGAACTATGTCATTTTGGGATTTACATATGGTTCAATTTTATTTCAATAATTCACTTGCGTGTAGGGGTCTTTATAAGTGGGAGGAAACCAGAAGACCCACAGAAAACCCATGAGGTTGGACAGATGACCCTACTCTTTGTCAAGTACAAGTGGGGAATCGAAACCACACCACTTGAGTCAATGACAGATCTTATGATCTAATGCGCACGTGTAAAACCATTTGGCCACCCAATACCTCTGGGCGGTAAAACAATGTATTAAAATGTTCCTTACCTTGAGTTCATAAAGTTCTCCCATTCTCAGATTTTCAACATACTCCTGCATTTCAACCAAAGATTCTGTAGTTTCAGCATGTTGTGCATTTTTCTTGACAATTAATTTATATTGGTCACATATAGATCGATTAAATTCTACGCTAGTTGTCATTATATTGGTTACCATGGTATCAATTAAAGATCTTGCTCTGTCTATTAACCACTGAAATATGATAAAATATATAAACAACATACTTTTATCACAGAGAGAGAGAGAGAGAGAGAGAGAGATGGGGTTTAACGTCCACTCGACACAAACTAGGTCATTTCGGAACTAACACACGGTTCAATTTTATTTCAATAATTTCCTTGCGCGTAGGGGGTCTTTAGCAGTGGAAGGAAACTGGAGCATGCGGAGAAACCCCACAAGGTTGAACAGGCGACTCTACTCCTTGTTATGTACAACCAGGGAATCAATACTTTTATCAAAAGTTTGCTATAATTTTGGTGTGGAGTTGCACAGCTTGATCCTTGATTATCAAGTACTGATATATTCTTTGTAATTAAAATGCTGGATGAGGAATGCCTGGGCAATGAAAAACAAAGCTAGAAACCAAATCCAGACAGAAAAATCCTTCTGGCCTTCTTGCCAGCTGGTCCACTTTTAGTGTGCTTTCTTTATCTCAGAATTGCAGGAGACATTTTTCAAAGAATATAACAATTTTTACTATTACTCAATTTGTAAATTGATTTTTTAATATTTTACAAACAATATAAATTTAACAATATTTATTGTATTTTAAGGTTAAATGGCATGTAAATTGACTGATACGAAAGCTTACCAGCCAGTCAATATGACTTCTAGTCAGTCAAGACTGGTTAATATAACTGAAACAAGAACTCTGACTTGCAACACAGAAGTTTAAAAGTGGATATAAGAATAAATACATCTTTCATTTTCCACAATTTGTTAATAGTGCATAAATGATATATCATTAAAGCAAATTTTGTTTACCTTGTTGATATGGTCACAGTTGAGGTGGAAAAGATGCATTGGAACTAACACAGGAAGAGATCCAACCTCTGACACCATTTTCCTGAGTTTTTCGATTTCCTGAACATATGTTCGTAAAGGTCGTTCACGGCTGATGAACTTATGGACTGTCTGATCAGCTTCGTTAGATAGAAGATATTTATATGGTTCATAGACTGTTTTATATCTATAAATCATAAAATAGATATTTACTATAAATTTATCATTAGATAGAAGACATTTATCATAGACTATTTAACATCTATAAATTACAAAATTAATATCTACTATAAATTTATCATAATATTAATATATACTATAAATTTATAAAATAATATCTACTATAAATTTATCACAAAAAATAACTACCTTAAAATGATAGTGAGAACATTAATACCAAATACAAAAGTACTATGCATAACTTGATATTATAGATAAATATGTCCGGAATAAATAAATAAGTCAAGAATCATATATTTCACAAGCTTTTTGACAAGTCTTTTATTTTTTCATGAACATTGTACAACCCCTGACACACTATTAACCCCAAAGCAACTCACTTGATTGGTCCGTGACTGTTTTCCATGACAACTTTATGAATTCTACTTTTTGCAATGTCAACCAATTCTTCTTCTATTTTAACACTACTAATATACTTGATGTCCAAGTCTTCAACAGTTTGAAACAATAAGTTCTCTAATCTAGGTAACTTGACAACACTGACTATCATGGTGTCAATAATTAAATTAAAAAAGTCTGTAGTATGTGGAAATGGAGGTTTAAACATTATATCACCATTTTCTCCATCTTCTAACTGGAAATAATAAATACCGGTAAAACGTTATTAAAAATTTTTTTTTTTTAAAAAAATCAGTGCTAAGGATTCTATCTGTTAGGATGAGCTTTAACAAAACCACATCATAAAGTGTTATGGGCAGACAATTCCCAGTAATAATTCAGCAGGACTGCAGACAACACAAATTGGAGAATCATTCAATAGATCTGGGTAGTCAGAAATAAGTGACCACAATGCTGTTCATTCCGTGGGTTCAAGATTGGAAATTGTTTTATCAGTTTGGAAGCGAACTCAAATGGATAAAACCAACCATGGTAAAATACCAGCAAAAAGAAATAATATGAAATGGGTTTTAACATCCTACTTTTCTCCACCCACCAGGCTATAATGCGTATGTAATTATGCAGGTCACAATTCTGTAGAATACAATTACTGCTTATTACTGAGCGACGTTTCCTTTAGGCTTCTCTAGTCATTATCAAGCAATGATGACAGAGATACATCATAAAGTGAGCTATGATAGAAATTTTTCCCGAACAGTGTCAATTCCATAGGATCTTTATCAAATGAGTACATGAGTACATGAGTGAACTTTGGTTTTATTCATGCAAGAAGAATGACTACATGCTTTTTTCCCTTCCCAAACCCTCAGTCCGGCTCTACTGAGAAAAGAAAATCTGGCTGGAAAATCCTGAAGAATCTCTGTGAACAACACCAGGATCAAACACAGGACCTCCTGGTTAGCACCATAATCGCTTCACCACTATGGCCTCCCTGCAATAAATTTGTCTTACCATGAATATAGTGACAGGGTGAATCATTGTTGGTAGCGCCATACCAGTAAATATATCATATACACCATCATAACTGTTACCATGGCAATATTCTTCTACAAGGTCAACTAGGTCATAGATAGAATTCTTTACACATTGTCGTAATAAATTAGACATTAATGAAGCAACGCTACCAAAAAAATGATCCATCTTATCCATTCGTAAATCCTGAAAACAGATGAATTAACTTTGTCTTTGAATTGTGATATTACAATATTGAAAATTTCTTCAAATCAAACATTAGTTTATAAAAGAGTCTCTGGCCTTCGACGATTGCGAAATGTTCCATTCAGACTTAAGTCAGCTGGTGACCCCCAGCTTATCTTCTACCCAGTGGCCTTTGGCTTCTGAAAACATGTCCAAACCATTGCTCCAGTAGGTGTCATGTATGCAACAGAATATAATAATTTTTTGTAGAACATCTCTTAGCACTTCTTGCTTCACATAGCAAAAATATTTTGTGTATATTCGATTGTTGGTAACCTTGCTCACCCATAGTAACTAAACAATTTAGATTTTTTCATTTGACAGGGGAATTATTTTATACGTGGAAGTTTCAGGTACCAGTCAAATTTTGTATGGGGGAAGTTCCAACTACTAAGACTAAATGCTAGAGATACCAGTCCAATGTTTTGTACGGGGGAAGTCACACTATTTAACCCTGTTTACATTACAGATTTGAAGCATTCCAGGAAAGGCGCCGAGAAAGGAACAGTAAATATTTTGGAGTGTGGAACGGTTCTGAGTACGGAATGCCTATAGCGCCTTTTGCACAGGCTGCACCAAGACTAAATGTTGGAGATACTGGTCACATTATACCTGATTATGTTTTGGCATCATAGCCTCGACATCATCTCTTAGTTCATCCACGATGTCACAGCAATCATTCAGCCACGTCTTACGTAAATATCTTGCTCCTTCTTTACTAGACGTCTGAACATGTTTTAAAAACTCCTCCATCGTAATGGGCATAATCTGACGTAGCTTAGGTATATCAATTAAACGAAAATCTGCATATCTGTAAATTAAAATGTGACAGAAAATAAAATGTGTTCAGAACTGACTTGGCTAATAAAGATGGGCAGACGTCATACAGTGTGCTATGAGGGAAATTTTGCCCAAACATGTACAGCTCTTATATCGAATTCCTACTACCAAGGGTTCTATTACGTGCACACCGAAATGTGAGAGAATTGGTTAGATAAAAATACAGAGTAAAGGCTTTTATTATGGACTAATTAAAGAGCCAATCTCACTCCCATCAGTAAAATATTCTTTTAATTTGACTTCATTTGACTACATGGTCCAATCTGGTAAATTATATTGTCAGCAAACTTTGAGATAGATTTTGTAATTCATTGCTGAAATAAAAGTGTTCTACACACACTAGGGACATGGTATCATTCAGATTTGATGAAAAAAGGAAAGAAACTGAGCTTACCATCTATAATCTAATACACATATTCAGTTGATAGATTGCCATGCAGAAAGTATTAAATACCATCAAGATTCATCAAATAACGCCCAGTTTGTGCTACCGTTTAGTTTAAGAAACACCATTTAGTTTTGACATCGGTCATCTAGTTTATGACCATTTAGTTTAGTTTTGATATTGGTCATCCAGTTTATGACCATTTAGTTTCATAAACTAGACAACCAATGTCAAACTAAACGGGAGCACAAACTGGGCGTTTTTTGATGAATCTTGATGGTATTTAACACTTTCTGCATGGCAATCTATTAACTGAATATGTGTATTAGATTATAGATGGTAAGCTCAGTTTCTTTCCTTTTTTCATCAAATCTGAATGATACCCGGTCCCTAGTGACATGTTACAAGGGCTTAAGCATGATTTGTTTTGACTTACCCATAATCAAATATTTCTTAAACTCAAAATGTATACTTACTTGGTATGAAATAAGTATAATATTTTTCTCATCACAGGATGTACTATATAGAGATCAGTTGTCATAAAATATCTTCTTTCTAAAACTGTAGAATGCCAGGGATATTCTTCTCTACCAGCACTGTTAGAGGGCTACAAAAATAATTTATAATGCATAGCAGCATGCCCATTAGAAGGAGGACACATATTATAAAATCAAATATAGTATAAAATGATACCTAATTATGATGAAAGATACAGGAATAACATAGTAAATTATATATACTTTCTTCTAGGAGTGGGTGGGTGGGGGGGTCTAGTGGTTTAATGCGTGCGCATGAAATCATAAGATCTGTCATTGAGTCAAGTGGCATGGTTTTGATTCCCAGTTTGTATATGACAAGTAGGGTCGCCTGTCAAACCTTGTGGGTTTTTCCTGGTCCTACGGTTTCCTCCGCCTTCCGAAGACCCCTAGCGCAAGTGAATTATTGAAAAAAAAATTGAACCATATGTTAGTCCCAAAATGACTTAGTTTGTGTTGTGTGGACATTAAACCCCATTTCTCTCTCTCTCTCTTTCTTCTAGGACTTGGTATAAACCCACACACTTCTTTTGTTATAACATATGATGTTTTTCAAGTATAGATACAAAGGAAAATGGAATGTCAGGATGAGAATGGAAAACATCATAAAAATAAATATGAAATTTTCCTCATGATTACACCACTTTAAGAAAATTGTTTGACTGGACATTATCTAACAAATGATTTTAAAGAATATTTTCATGGGAAGATGCTTTTAAATTCAAGTCATTTACCTTTGGAGGTAATGGAATACCCAGTCTTTCCTGCTCAACTGGATCTAACAATAAGTAGTCTAGAATAGCCTGTCTTACAGCAAATGTATAATCACTCTCCATTTCCTTAAAAATGAAAATAAATATATCCAAAACGTTTGGAATTAAAAAGGATTCAGATTTTGAATTCCATGTAAACTTTTATACCATAAAAGTTAAATCTCTAATGCAATACCAGTTAGCTTTAATTAGCGGTAGGTGTAGTACATGGGGTAGGGTATGTTTACTTTCTCTAAAACACCTGATATTCCTTCTTCTTTATTTGAGGTGTTCACATAGCTAACCATTTTTCATGGTACATTTTTTATTAACAAATTAAACATTACCTTTAAAAATTCGTTTGTTGCTTTAGGGAAATCAGATCGTAAAGTTTTAGGAACAAATTGATATAAACCATCAAATGTTTCCTGGGTAATAGGTGCTACCATGTGTGGTTCTATAGCTTTATCTACAAGTTTGTAATATCTGGAATAAATAGTTTGAAAATTTATATATCTATTTTTTATTATACATTTATTAATAAGACACTATTGTATATCAATGTCTTCAATACCTCACAATTGTAAATCAATGTCTGACTATTGTAAATCAATGACTGACTATTGTAAATCAATGTCTGATTGTTGTAAATCAATGTCTCTCCAATGTGAATCAATGTTTCACCATCATAAATCAATGTCTCACTAGTGTCAATCAGTATCTAATTATTACAACTCAATGTCAGCATTGCATTCCAATGCCTCTCCATTGCATTCCAATGTCTCTCCATTGTAACCCAATGTTTCAACATTGTAATCCAATGTCTAACTATTGTAACCCTATGTCTAGCCATTTTAACCCAAAGTCTAACATTGTAATCCAATGTCTAACATTGTAATCCAATGTCTAACATTGTAATCCAATGTCTAACCATTGTAATCCAATGTCTAACCATTGTAATCCAATGTTTAACCATTGTAATCCAATGTCTAACCATTGTAATCCAATGTCTAACCATTGTAATCCAATGTATCACCATTGTAATCCAATGTATCACCATTGTAATCCAATGTCTAGCCATTGTAACCCAATGGTTAACCAATGTAACCCAATGGATAACCATTGTAACCCAATGGATAACCATTGTAACCCAATGTCTAGCCATTGTAATCCAATGTTGTAATTCAATGTATAACATTGTAATTCAATGTATAACATTGTAATTCAATGTCTAACCATTGTAATCCAATGTATCACCATTGTAATCCAATGTCTCACCATTGTAATCCAATGTCTCACCATTTTAATCCAATGTCTCACCATTGTAATCCAATGTTTAACCATTGTAGGTAGCCACGGTGGCTAGGTGGGTAAGGCGCTGGCTCGCTAGCCTGGAGGTGGGGTGTTCGATCCCTGCATTGGCCGAGAAAGTTCATCCCGATTTTCCGACGTGGTTTCCCCTTGTCAGTGATGCAGGACGGAGGGTCTGACAAGGACAGCTGTCTAGTCCTTCGGATGAGACGAAAAACCGAGGTCCCGTGTAAACATTGGAATGCACGTAAAAGATCCCTTGGCAGTTGTAATTCGATATACGAGTAGGCGATAGTGCCGCTGCCCGGGCAAAATTTCCCCCATAGCACACTGTATGGCATATGCCCGTCTTCATTAGCCCAGTATAGGAGCAGAACAGTAGGACGTTAAACCCCATTTCATTTCATTTAACCATTGTAATCCAATGTCTCACCATTGTAATCCAATGTCTAACCATTGCAACTCAATGTCTCCATTGTAATCTAATGTCTAGTCATTGCAACCTAATGTTTCACCAATCTAAACTAATATCAAACCATTGTAAACTATCAACTTTGTAAAAGGTACAAATCACTTGGGTTTTGTATCTCTGTAAATCAATATTTTAATTCTGATTCAAAACATCTCCATAAAAATAAACTAGCCAACAGAGCTTCAGTCCCCTTCCATCCAGATTGCTATTTGAATCAAAATGTTGTAGGTTTAAGTTAATTTCTTACCTTTGTAAATCAAGTTCATCAGGAGTACTAGGACGTGATAAACCATGTGTAGAATAAAAATAAGGTGGAAACAAAACATCTAAAACAGCCTGAGTTCTAAAATCATGTTCACGATTTGTTTCGTCAAAATAATCATCATCTTGATATAACTCAGATCCTGAAAAATAAAAGATTTCTATTTGACTTTGGTTAATGTGGGACTAACAAAGTAATTTTTTTCGGTAAATAAAATAGAGCTTTCTTCATGAGAGAGAAATAATGTTCAATGTCCACTGGACAAAGACTTTCTGGATTAACTGACTTGTGTCTAGAAGTCCTTATCAGTGGGATAAAGATGGAAAACACATCGAAAACTTTATTTATGGCAGTTTACATTCATTTCCATATACATCTGTATGGATCTCTTTCAGGTTGCATTAACATCACAGTAGGACTACTCCCAACAAGAACATGTCATATGTTTCATAGCATACAAAACATTTTCATGAAAAACAAACCTGGTGTAAGAGCTTCAAAAACAACAGACATATCAGGTACAAAACCTGATGGAGGTCTTCCACTATCATAACTTTCTTCTGTTTCTGCACCATCTCTTGGAGACATAAGTTCCACAGGGGTTGTTGGTATTTCTATAGGACTGACTGAAGCTGTTACTGGAGTTGTTGGTATCTCTACGGGACTACCTGAAGCAGGTGATGGTGCTGGTGTTGCTGGTCCTTGTGAAGTAGTTTCTGTTGCTTCTTCAGCATCCTCTACTATTTGACTAGGATCAGAGGTTCCTAAAATGATTCATATTGGTCTAGTTACTTCAAGCAAAGGCCTGCATCCTTAATGTCTTTACTCCAATGCTACTATTACTAAATAAATTTACTAATTATTGAATTTTTTGTACCAAAACTGATACTTGTCGACATATATTATGCTTTTTTAAAATGTCTAATTAAATTTAATAAATATCATAATTTTGTTTTTACCAAACTGATAGCTGCCAATATAATCTGCTTCACTGGGTAATGCTGATGATCCAATGATAGGTGGCAGTGTTGTTGTACTATAGTAACCATTCTCAGCCGGTGTTTTATGATTTGACAAATGAGGGGGTATTTTCTCCCCATTCTGATTTTCTAGGGGGTTGATATTTACATCTATTAACTCAGTGGAAGATCTGAAGATTATTAATACAATTATACATCCTGACTATGTCAATCAATGATAACCACTTGTGAATCATTAACATTTTAAAAATATGACTCAAAGAAAATAATGGAAGATGAATCAATAAAAGATTTGCTGTGTTTCTGAATTACTTTATATTTGTTTTAAATATGAAAATACAAACACAAACTAAATAAAAATAAAATATACTTATAGTCAAATAAATAAAAAAATTTACTTTTCAGCACATTAAACAAAGTTTTGGTCTGCCAATATTAAACTTTTTTATTTCATTTAATATTTACACAAAATATATTTTGTAGATTTACCTTTGTCTTTCATGTATAGATAATATTGGTTGATGAGAATTTCCATTGGTCAAATGTTGTTGTCGTGGCGATAAATAATGCATTTCCTCCACTGTATATGCTATCACAATACAACAATATTTTTTTTACAATTCCAATAAAACAATTTCAACTAAAGTCAGATTTATGTTAAAGTGTTTCAAGGTGGGAATGATGAATTAAACTCCTGAGGTAAAGGATAGTGTCATCCTAGAGCTTGGTCTGGCTGATAGTGCATGTGAAGTAGATCAAAGGTTTTTGTATCTCTTTAGCTCAATGATTACCAAAACAAAAGTAGGTTATCAACAACCAGCTAGTAAAAGCTCTTGAAAACCAATGCCACTGCTTCTTGTACCTCTCTCCCTCGAAAATAAAAAGAAATGGCCAAGAAAAGTTCCTAGCTCATCATATAAATAAGACTCACCAAATCGTGTGGCTTCATAGATCTGTGCTGTTGTAATATGTCTTGCCCCGGGACTGTAATTATTACCAATGGCATCGCTAACTTTACGGAAATGTTTCTTTTCTTTCACTGGTGATGCTTTAGTGTATGAGCCTCTTTCTAAGATCTTGGGTTTTTCACTGAAGGCGGGCTGAAAATATTTCAACTTATAAAATAGACCAATATTTTAATGTGCTTTTCACAAAAAAGTATATTATTCTAGAGCTGTTATTAAAGTCATTATATGCCTTTTGAGGGATCTTGAATCACTCGAAAACAGACAATTCTATCTTTAAAAGGAAATCAGTCCACAAATGGTTCAATTCCATTTAATGGAACGTCCTCTAAACCTATAAACAAGCCAGATTAAGCTCTTGCATAATGTATGTTTAATTAAATTTGGATTAAGTCATAAAAAATTAGATATTGTCTGAATATCGGCAATACTGATTTAGCTCTTGCATAATGTATGTTTAATTAAATGTGGATTAAGTCGTAAAAAATTAGATATTGTCTGAAAAATGCATGATTGGGATCGTGAACAAATTGTCTCTTATTTCTCTCTTACCAGATGGATTACAAATTACAAATTTACTTTTGCTCTTAAACGACAAATTCAATTCCCATCAAGGGCAGTAAACTTCTTTAGCTGGAGAGCAAAATAGCATTTTAAAGCTAGAGACCATGACAGTAAGAAATTTAAGATTTTGTTTTGAACATTCTGATTGCACATCTGTAATTTAAACCAGAATGAAAAAGCTGACAATATGTCACTGGACCTTGAGTCTATCATAATGCCATCAATCATCTTTAATCAGCTCGTTAGTCGACAACAGATCAATAATCAATATATGATTAATCCACAACAATTGGTGAATAGATTTCTAATTTCCTTAAATTATTCAAATCTGACAACAATATTCAATCATAACTCATCATAGCGGTGATTTCCTTACATTATTACCGTCATCGTATATCATTGGTGCATGTCGGCCATTCATACACAAATAACATACGGTCATTTTACTTGAATTAATACTATACTATTTCACGTTTCATTAACTCAAATCTTCTCAGACATTTGTCTTAATATTCCATGAATCTCTTTGATCTCTTTATTATTTTAAGAAATATGGAATAATTTTGTAATTCAGAATAGACAAATGGATATTCAAAGAGGTTCTTACTTTGGCAAACACTAACAGAATTATAAGTGATTTGATCATTTATAAAATGAAATCAAGCATGATTGTGTATCCAATATGATGAATATAGCTAAAATGGAAATAGACTTATATTGTTATTTTCTGTTGGCAATTGCTATTTTTTTTTTAATTTTATTGTCAGTCCTTTCCAAATGCTATTCAAATATTTGATTCATTTGATATAAATAATTTCTAGAGTATTTTAGGTGGTTTATTTCATATCAACATGTTTCCCTTTATCTGTTTGATTTTATTAGAACATTAGTGGATTTCATTTAATTAATATTTGTAAATATTTCCTTCAGGAAACATAAAACGGAATAACATCAACATCAAATAACAAAGACTAACAAAAATATAATGAATGACATTGATTAAATATTCAAAATCAAATATTTGTGGAAGGACCAGATAGACCATGAATCTAATACTGTGAAATATACAACAGGATTTAAAGATAATAATGTGAAATATGCAGCATGATATAAATATAATGCTGTGGAATATACAACAGGATTTAAATAAAATACTGTAAAATATCCAGCATGATATAAAGATAATACTGTGGAATATATACAATGATATACAGATAATACTGTTGAATATTCAGTATGATATAATGAAAATACTGTGGAATATAAAATATCCAGCATGATATACAACAGGATTTAAATATAATACTGTGGGATATTCATCATGGAATAAAGATAATACTATAAAGATAATACTGTGGGATATTCATCATGATATAATGATAATACTGTGGAATATTCATCATGATATCAAGATAATACTGTGGAATACCATGATATAAAGAGAATACTGTGGAATATTCAGCATGATATAAAGATAATATTGTGGAATATTCAGCATGATATAAAGAAAATACTGTGGAATGCGGAATATAGCCTATGATATAAAGATAATACTGTGGAATATAGATCATAATATAAAGATAACAATGTGGAATATACAGAATGATATAAAGATATCGACTGTAATAAATGAAGTATTACAGTTACAAGTTCTACTTCATTACTCCCTGCCATAGGTTAAGTGTCACTCAATATATTTCATTAATATCACTTTATTTTCAATCACCCTTGCATACAGGTAAATATCATGTACTTATAGGTGAACTGTGATCATATATTTAACACCATACTGCTCATATATGTTTACACCTTATCATTTATTACATATAGATTTCTACTAGATTTCAATATTTTTTGTTAAATAAAAATTAGACTTTTAGGCAAAATTATTATATGACTTAAAGGTATCTATAAACAGATTTAAATAACCCAAACATATCATTTTTGTTGATTGTGTCAGTAATTGTGTGTGTCAGAAAATAAGACTTTTGATGGCCTCCAAGAACTGGCCCTTGAAATACTGTTGTGACATATCAAACAATTTGGTATTATTCTTATAATTTTTGTCTATCTGAATGTATTTGGAAAGGGTTATTAATTTTCTTATAATATTGACATTTTTTCTTTTCAAACTCATATTCAATGATCATAAAAGTACACAGAAGATTTTGACATATATGAATACTATAGGCATTATTATTATAAATAGTTTAGCCTATATGTAGGAATAGTAACAAAGGTCAGAGGTGAAACCAAAGATAAGACAAGAGTAGGTTTTATTTACTTCAAGGTCTTCGACTATTGTACAAAATAAAGAATGTTTATATTGTCACCAATACTTCAAATATTTGATCTCAGGTCACAAATAATAATTATCTCCCACTCAAACCAGTTAACACAATACTGTGGTCAAGTTGATACCAACATACAGTAATTTTTTTCTGTTTGGATTTTGCCTGGGCAGCATCTACCAATAGACTAATTTTGTTGTGCACTATCAATTTGTACACATACGAAAAACAAATCTTGCAACCCTCCAGAAATATCGCAACTGAGCTAGATTTAAGAACAAGAACCATAATTCCTGGTTATCCAAAATAAAATTAGATATCAATAAACATATCTGTTTATATATGTCAGCTTATCTTGTCAAAATATATAAATATTTTATCAATAATACTTCTAATTTAAATCCAATATGAAATCTATATGTGAGTGGGTACTTGAATGCCAACATGTATATACCAGTACATGTTATTGTATAAGGTAACAAATTAGAAAGTTGACAATTGTAGAAGAAACAGGGAGGTGGTAATAATTATCTAGAATAACAATGATCTACAAACTTAATATATCTCTACTTTAAAATACATACACACAATAATGACTTATATGTTCATGCCAGTTATATAAAGCTTTGATGATTGGGGTAAACTTTAAAATATCCACACTTCACTTTCTGAGGGTATTGAGTACAAGCCTTTTATAAACAATATTTAATTTGAGATTAACCTGAATTAATGTAATAGCAAATATATTTTTTTAAATTCTTGATGGTGTGAGAGATGAAAAGATTCTGGTGGTGAGATGTGAAGAGGTTCTGATGTGGAGAGGTTCTGTTGGTGAGATGTGAAGAGATGCAAATAATTTCTGATGATGAGATGTGGAGAGGTTCTGATGATGAGATGTGAAGATGTTCTGATGATGAGATGTGAAGAGGTTCTGATGATGAGATGTGGAGATGTTCTGATGATGAGATGTGCAGATGTTCTGATGATGAGATGTGGAGAGGTTCTGATGATGAGATGTGGAGAGGTTCTGATGATGAGATGTGGAGAGGTTCTGTTGGTGAGATGTGGAGAGGTTCTGACATTGAGATGTGAAGAGTTTCTGACATTGAGATGCGAATACGTTCTGATGGGAAGAGGTTCTGATGGTGATATGTAAAGAGGGTTTGATGGCAAGAGGTTCTGATAGAGATATGGCCTGTCCAACCTCGTGGGTTTTCTCCGGGTCCTCCGGTTTCCTCCCACTGCTAAAGACCCCTATGCGCATGCGAATTATTGAAATAAAATTAAACCATGTTAGTCCCGAAATGACCTAGTTTGTGTCGAGTGGACGTTAAACCCCATTTCTCTCTCTCTCTCGATAGAGATATGTGAAGAGGTTCTGATAGGGAGATCAGAAGAGGTACTGCTGGAAAGATGTGAAGTGGTTCTGATAGATATATGTGAAGAGGTTCTGATGGTAATATGTGAAGAGGTTCTCATGGTTGTCATAGTGATATGTGAAGAGGTTGTCATGCTGATATGTGAAGAGGTTGTGATGGTGATATGTGAAGAGGTTCTCATGGTGATATGTGAAGAGGTTCTCATGGTGAGATGTGAAGAGGTCCTGATGGTGAAATGCCAAGAAGTTCTGATGGTGAGATGGAAACAGGTTCTGATGGGAAAAGTTTCTATTGGTGAGATGTGAGGTTGATCTGGTGGGGAAGTCTGTAAAGCAGTTCTGATGGTGAGAAGCATGGGGGTTCTGATGATGTGATTTGCAAAAGTTCAGAATTTAGTTACATGGTTTCACACCTTTTTAATATTATAATTTCAGGTGATAGGTCATTATATAGACTTGAAATACTCTGTATTAAGCCCACGTCCAGGAGCTCTGAATTCTTTTCAACACATGTGTCAAGATAAGATTTGGAAAAAAGGCAACTTAATGGATTATCAGGTAGACATAAAAAGGTAAGAGACAGTTTTAATATATTTAAAGAGGTTATTGAAACCCTTTTATCTATGGTAAGAAAGTTGTCAATACTTGATAATAACTAGGAAACATGATGATAATAATATCTTCTTGTCTCATAGATAAGCTATACCTACGTAAACTCTTTGCATGTTTTTTTTTATTTAAAGGAAGATCTATTAACTATGTAACATTTAATAGTTTTGTTTTTATTTAAAAGAACATTTATTAATCATGTAACATTTGATAGTGTTGGTTTTTTTTAGCAAGGAACTGGTCGCTAACCGCTTCTCATCTTGTTCTTCTTCGTCTTGTTCTTCTTGGGTAGG